CAGTAAACTAGTTGAGCTCAGCCAACAGTAATCTTGATAGTTGTGGCGGACAGACTGGCAGTTAAAGGCCATATCTTAAAGGTGGGGTAGGCAGGATTCCATCTTTTTTTGTGGTATATATACAAAAAAGCTTTTAATATCAGTCAATAGCTACTAGTTAATGATGACATTTGGTAATTCAACGATATCGCTGTATTTTGTTATGTCTGTGTACTCAGCATTTTAAATGTTTTGAGCTGCCCGCTATTTCTGACTGTACACAAAGCCGTTCTCCACCTCCCCCAACCTGATTGGCTGTGAGGCGGACGCTGCTCCCCCATGTTGTGAGGCACACTCCACGTCCTCGAATAACTTTCACAAGCCCAGACAAAGTTAGCGTGCTACAATATCGGACAGCAGAAACCAATCAGAAAATTGTCTGAATCCTCCTTTGGTCATGACTGCCAACACAAGCAAGAAAATGGAGTAAATACCGGAGAATCTGGCAGAATAACGGGTGCTTCAAACAGAGATAAACCAGACAAGAGCTAAAAAGCTGGGTCGATGGGGACGTTTCGGGATCTTACAGACCCTGTAACCTTTCTGCTGGACAGGTAACAAAGTAAACCGAGTGTCTGTAACAGAAGTGTTTCTTGGCAAACAGGACCTGCTGCGTGTTGTAGCACCGCTAAACTGTTAACCTCAGGTCCTGGAGTTTGTCACTTTATGCTAGTTGTAGAAGTCCTGCAAACATTGTGTTTGCTGGTAGTCTGTTGGCATCTACAGTAGCACCAATGCTTTTTTTCTTTCACGTTGACTGGGCCCCATTTGTAATTATCTGAAGTATTTATCTGCATTATATCTGAATTTAATTAAAACAATATGAGCGAGCAGGAGTGTCTGTTCGTGGGCGGGGCTTGCTGGAGCAGAGAGGGAGGGGAGAGGAGGAGCTGAGGGGGAAACTGGTTGGAGGGGTAGTGTTTACATTCAAGATTTCTCCCAAAAACTGGCACTTCCTCAGATCCTGCTTAACCCAGCTTTAACAAAAAAATCTAACCCCATCTTGAACACCAAAACTGTACAGTTGATACACTGAAGTACAAAGCGATGGGACTAAAACATATGCCATATAACAATTCACCCCCATTGCAACATTTGAACCAACTAATTTGACAACTCCTGTGCATGTGTTGATAAAAGAAATAAAGGAAATTAAAAAAAATAATAACTTTAAGAAGGGCCTTAAAACACAAGATTTGTGTGCCAGGTACTCCTGTGTGGTACTCAATATTTTGAGATAATTAGTTTAATTAACATCAGTTAAAGCCACTGTACAGTTAAAATAAAAGCCCAACAGTCACTAGCAAGATGTAATTTTTGATGGGCTTTAATTCTAAGAATGAAACGTTATCATTTTATTGAAAAAGAAACTACTTTCAATTGACTACCGATGACTGGAGGCAGGCAGCATAATTTCACACAATTAGCTATTGTGGAGGCAGAATGGCGGGAGAGAGAAAGAGAAACATGACAGCAACTCTGGAATGAGAAAATAAAAAAAAAAGATGAAGTGACTAGAGTGAGCAATAACAAACGTTAACTTTGGGAAATTATCTCCATTGAAATGGAGATTGAGCATGAGGACATGGATGAGGATGAAAGAGATTTTGCCAGTTTTAATGACATTATTGACAAGAGAGAGAGTCCTTTCTTTCAGGCTGTTTTGTGCTTTAAATTATTACTTCCTGCAGATATCTTGCAATTTTTTAAGAGTTCCCCAACCTTCTCCCTTATATGGAACCCTTGTCAACATCTGGATTTATTGTATTTGACTGCCAATCTTGCCAACTTTGCCTCCATTCTGATGGGTCAAAAAAGGCATGATGCTATGCATAGTCATTTTGTTTGTGAGACAGCGTTTAACTGTGTAAATGCAGTGATTACAAATGTACATAATTGCCGCTCTATTTCATAAGAGCATAATCTATAGAAAAGGCACAGCAAACACTCTGGCTCTGTAATCTTTTCATGTGTCTGAACTGAGCATGACTCATCTTTTCCAACACTTCTCAGGCTCCTCTCTCCTCTCCTCACTCCACTTCAACAGCATGTCTGCTATTTGTTCAAAAGCTTCTGTATAACATGGGGACAATTAAAAAATAAGTGACCATCGGGCTATGGTACATAGATTTTTCAGACATTATCTCTTGACTGCATAAAAGCTTTCTCATGTGTGATATAGAGACAATAGAAGACAGAAGGCATTAAATATTTACAGTCTCTGTCATCGTTTGGTGTTTCGGCTGGCAGTGCCGCTCAGTGGTTGAATTTTCAATATTAAAAGAGGGAAATCAGGCAGAGTGTAATGAATAACATCAGATATAGAAAAAAATGCATGTCTGCTATATTTTGATATGAGAATTTAAACTATGATTCAAGAACAAACTTCAAAATAAGCTCCAGCTGGCTGCATATGCCAGAGCTTTTCTCTTGCCATCTACTGAATCTCGTGGTGATTGGGGTTACTAGATCCTTCTGAAATGTGTATACAAAACCTACTGTGCTCTCAAGCTACTATACTCTACACAGGTGAAGTCATGAACTTCCTTTCACATGTGTACTAAGGCCTTTGAAATCCCCTCCTAAATGAGAGAGAACATGTTTTATAAAACCAAGAAATTAACTTTTATCTCATGCTGGAGAGTAACAAAACTGCATTAGTGACATAATTAAACTGCTTCGTCTTGTTGTCAGTTATCTGTCCTCTGCTAGGCAAAATGTTGGCTTGTGATAAACAATCTGTTGCTCCATGAAACTGTGGGACCTCAGTGGATGTTGTGTTGTTTTCTGTGATAGGGCCACAACTCAAAACCACTTAGTGAATCTTCTGGTTCATTTGATTTTGTAATTGTCTGTGATTTCCACAGAGTCAAAGACTTTCATCAGATTACTTCCCTGACTTGTAACAACTATCCATTAACCTGTCAGCTTCGTATTTACAGCTTAGAATATAGGTATGGTAGAAGTCAACATGCATTGAGATATCTTGAATGAGAGCGTAAAGAGCTAATTCTGCAAAGAAATAAAAGGGTAAACAGAATATTTTAATTCAATTTCAAATGCTAACTCAGTGACAAGTCTAATGATAAAAATAAAATACTCAAAATTTAGCCACATTTATTGTAGATGGGCAGACACAGGTGAGTAAATTTTGTCAAATTAGTTGGCCAAGTGTGCCTAACATTAGCAGAGCTCACACCACCAGCTTCCAGTCCTCCTTTAAGGTTTATGCCCACATGACCGGTTACACATCACTCTGGTTGAGTGGCTATTGGTGTAACCTGACAAAGCCTACATACAACTTTATTTCCATCAAGATAAAGTTACTGCCAAACTGCACTGAACAACAAGAAACCAGCTGTTATCTGTGCTTGTTTACATCCAGATAGCAGAGCATTATAGTATTGTGGAAGCAACCACTGACAGGAGGGCTAAAATAATAAAAATATTATAGCTAAATATTACAGCTAGAGAGGGTGACAACATTTAGTCACTTTGACCATGGAACAATGTTTTCCATAAGACATTTTCTCACATTGCTGCAGTTCAATTTTTCTTTGCATCTATAAAAGAGTACAGTTGACTGAATATTGATAATTTGTACTATATTTGCACATACACAGCATAAATCTATGTCATCATACCTCACAGCTGCTGAGGTAAGACTGATGCAGGAAGGGGAAATAGTTATTGAAAAAAAAACTTTGCCCTCACTACTGAAAGGAAAAAAAAAAATAATAATAATAATAATAAAAACAGGAATTGTGGTTCTAGCTTGTAAAATTTCTGAATTCAGTGGATGAGATCAACTTAATGCGCATTATTAACCTGAAGCTCGTGAGAATCATACTCAGCATTTCTCCCCTGTGCTCTGCCAATGAAGCGTTAATACAGTGAGAGTTTTTACCAAAGACTAAAAAAGAGCGCACTTGAACTCAGATGAACTGACTTTGAAGACAATCTTTTATCTTTTAAAAGTTGTTCTTGCTGTAGGTAACAAACAGACGCTGAATCCCGAATAAATCATACAGGCAGGGCGAAGAAACAGCAACAGCTGTAAACAAATGGGATCCATTCAGGCACAAAGAAAATTTATCACCAAGGCTTTGAAATTTATGGCAAAGTGTTGAAAAAGCTAAGGTAAAATTTTATGATAGCTGTCACTGGGAATTGGGAATAACCTTTGAAACTACAGATACACTAAACCAACCAGTCTGTTTGACTGTGTCAGCCTGGCAACACTTAAAAAAAAAACAATGTTTCAGGGCTCTCTGGTCAGAATTATATACCGTGCAATATGAATATACAAAGTTATTCTTTCAGCTGTCCCCATGTGTCCCCTGTCTGAGGCCATTTTGCTTGTCAGATGTGCTCTCAAAGTGATGCATCTATAAACCATGATGCAAAGCCACAGTGTACCGCCATTGAGTTCACTCATCCATATACTGCTTTATTTTGAGAGAGATTGTGTTTTTCTGTACTTGGCATAATCATGAACCTGTCCGCTTTGCTGATAAAATAACTTTTCTGAAGGTTAAACCTTTTCCAGTCTACTCTGGAGATGCCACTCCGCATGAAAGGTCCTTACCACGGGTTTCATAGACCCTTGAGAATAAAATGTTGACAAAGTTTTTACTTTTCTTTTGGCTGTTCTTGCTGGGTTTATTTTCACAACCTGTTGTAGAAAAGAAAATACATATGACCTAAAAGAAACAAACACAAAGAATTTTATTTTTCTAACCCACTTCTGACTCAATATTCAGCAAGGTTTGTCAGTGGGCTTAAATCTTATGGGGAGGATCTTCAATGGACTGCTCCACTGCATTTTGGGAGTACAGCTGAAGTATGATCGAAAAATCATTTACAGGGCTGAAAGACACATCATGTGAACATTCCAACTGCGGTGAGCACATGTATATTTGTAACATCTCCATGTCAGTCTCATGACCAGAATCACTCACCACCTCCTTGTTATTCATGATCGATCTTCAGGGACTGTCTTTCTGATATCACTTCCATGAAGCCCCTCATCTGAACAAACACAGAAACACAAACACACCGAACTAACCACTGTGAATGCAGTCTGTATCTGTCAGTACATTTACAAAGAAAGTTAAAGGGCTATTCCGGCATAAATTTAAGTTATGGTCAAACACACTGTAACACAGTTAGACACCCCCTTGAGAGATGAATGTTGCCGACTGCTTGCTTCTCTAGTTTTACCAACTTTAGGAACGACCACACGATAGCAATACACAGCGGTCTACATCTTCACACACAAACCTCAACCAAAAAGCCACTTGTAGCCACAAATAATGTTAAGAACAGCACCGAACTTCATCAACAGTACATAAAGAGTCCCAGCACATAGTACTAGCTATCAAACATCTTTTTAGCTTTGCCTGGTTTCTTTAGCAAAGAGACCAAACATAATTCACCCACTCTCCTCTAGCAGCCGCTTGTGAGCCCTGATGAGTTGATCACCGAGTTTAGATCAAAGCAGCAGGCAACACATTAGCAAGAGGCTAATTGGGTGAACGTAAACAATGAAAACGCTGTTACTTATGCAGCTTTGTACCGTTTGTTCGCACGACAGAAAAATTCTGTATTTCAAATCATTTCTTTGTCTGCTGGGGGTTTGTTTACTGCCAAGCTTCCTAGCAACGCATCCATGCTATTGAACTTGCAGCTCAGGGCCCAGCATGCAAACTCTGGAGTATGCGCAGAATGCTTTGGCCAGTTTTAGTTTGACTTTGAAAAATTAAGTTCTTTAAGTTCCATTTAATGTGATTTCAGTCAGAAATGTGTGTTCACAGGATTTTTAAAAATCCAATTTTACTTAGACTGAAGCAATAAATAGAATTTTCTTTTTCAACTGCATGAAAACAGACTCTCTGCATCACAAATTTGCAGAATTTCAAAATGCATGTTACACTTGTGCCTTCACAAATACTCCAGCAAACGCTCAATTTATTGAGTTGGACTTCAAGACAGTTGTTTGGGTGCTTGTCAACACTGTGGGAACACACAGACCACTAACAGAACCACAGAGTTGACTTCCATTTTCCACATCTGCTGCACATGCAAAGAAGACAGTGAGTCTTTGTTAAATCATCAGATACCATTGTAGGGCTGGCGGCACAGATTAAACAAACAAATCATCAAAATATTGATTTTGACTGTGCACATGTTTTTATGATTGAAGTTTATGAAGTATGTGTCCCTCATTTGAACTCTCTTCTCCTCTTAGCCTCTGCACTCTAGGTGTCAGAGCTGCTGTGGGAGAAAAAGACAAGTCTTTGAGTTCCTCTGTGAAAGTAGGATATCAGCTCAGAGTGTTTTTAAAGGTAAATCAAAAAAAAAAAGAAAAGAGTTGAATTATTTAAAGTCTACAAAGTCTTTTAAATGTCTTAACTTTTAATGAATCAAGATTAGCACGCAAACTCTCCTGTCTACCTATGAGCTGCCCTTCTGTTTATGCCTGCAACTGTCAGTCCAATTCTCCTCTCTTTGAGTATCTGACCACAGATCATTGGGTCGCTTTGAAACTGTCATAAATGTGCATCAGTCAGTGAGTCAGTCACTGAGTGAACAATTACTTCTCTTTGCTACTTTACCTTCGTGTCTGACAGAACCTGACAGAACTAATTGAAAATAAAGGTTAGTTCAATGTTAGAGTCACAAAGAAAACTTCTGCCTTTGCGTTTGTGAATATATTACATTCCCAGAGGTGAGATTTTGAGGAGTATTTGCATGAAATCAATGAAAAATGTGCATCATTTGCTTAAGTACAGCCTGGACTAGAGAGAAATCACACACAGGAAAAAACAAAGTCAAAACAAAGAAAAAAAACAGAGTCCCACAAAGAGACTGAGACTGTCACTGCCTACAAAAAGCAGACAAATCTCTGCTGACATCAGGCGACACCTGATCAGGCAAAGATCAGCAAAAAAAAACTACAGACCAACTTTGTAGACATGCAAGGGCTGTACCTGAACCACAATGAATTCTGGGTAGTCAGATTGAGTCCTAATGCACACTTTCAGCTGCATGAGAGCGGGCTGTAATTGCTCTCACTGGGCTAGTGGTTAGCTGACCAATGGGCCAAAGCACAATTAAGCACAAAGTATTAGATATATAAAGAGGTTCACCTGCAATCCAGATGAATTAGTCTGCAGTCTACTGGCAGGTCAAATAAAACATTTCTGTCCAGCATCAGAACATCCTGATGTCTAAGTCCTAGTAAATAACTTTTTCTGCCACACTGAAGCTACTTGACAATATCGGTGTCCCTGATTCTGACTGAGAAGTGGCTAGATTCTTTCACAGAATAAAGTTAAGGTCTAGAGAGAGATGAAAAGGAATTGTTAGTCTCAGATTTTTACTAGAATCACTCAGTTTTCTGGTTCCTTTCTTAAAGTTTTGTTAAGCTTTTTGCTTAAAGAATAGCATTTCCGACACTAAAGAGTAAACAGTCGTTTCTATTAAGGAGCTGAAACAAACACTCATGTATGGTTGCATTGTTTTGATACACCCACTTCAAAGTGTTAGGGTTCATGGCAAATTTTGCAGTTTGTTATTCATTATCATTTTTGTTTGTGTGCATGTTGCGTGTGTGTGTGAGTGTGTGTGAGTCTATGACACTGCTGGAGATCAAAGTAAACTCTTAAACAACACTCTGCTTTATGCATAAGGCGCTTAGCGACTCCTGCAAGCTCGCAGTTAAAGGTACAGAGTTTTTCTTCAGCTTTTACTGCTTACTCAGGTTCAAAGGCAGTGGCACGCAAAGATAACAGAGACACGGAATAACATTCACAATTGTTTAAACTCCCCAGAGTGTGCATACACGAGGGACCATTCTTTTGAATTTGCCGTTACAATAATAGTCATAAATCAACAGTGTTCATCATGATATCCAGATCAGTGCTTTAAGAAAACTCATGCCCTTTTCGTGTGCTAAATTAATCACAATGCGAGGGTAAACATAAGGTGGATTTAGGGCATTTACAATGCAGTCAACTGAAACTACAATGACAAATTGCTACATCATTGGGGAAATAACTATGATGTGATTTGATGAGACAAAGATTGTGATGAAGTGAAAGACTCAGTGAACCAGGATGTACTCAGTGGCTGTGGGCGTCTGTCCTTATGGACAGTAAGAGCGACACGATATGTTCAGAAAACACTTTTTTAGTGAGTGGTATTGAGACAAGACCACTGGAAAAATAAGAGTCGGAAATGAACTGAAAAGGCGTGGGTCTTGATTTAGAGTTTACATGCTGTATACTAAAGTGGTACTGCATTCATTTGTCCCCTTAATACTGATGTGCTGTAGCCTCCATACAACATACAGAGTCAAATGTGTTCTCTGTGAAGCATCAAAGACTGATGCTATGGATAAAATCGTTTCATCTCAGGTTGTGTAAAGTCCTGCTGCTATAGTAAATGACCTCTTTTAATGGACAGAGCACCCATGATGCCTGTGCTAACCATGTGCTGGTGCACATTATTAACATAAAAACCCAGCTGCACATCCCAGAGTTTAATAAGTCCGGGATTATATAGGCACATACTGTCACACCCCCTCCTTCCATTTCCATCTATCTGTTTGCTCTGGCTCTTTTCTCTTTACTGTACCTGTCTCCTTTACTTTCATCCCTGATGGCTGGTAGGTAGGTTCACCATTTCTTTTGCATGTGCACTGATGAAAAGAGCCTCCTGTGGGGATGTGTTTGTCTGACATTTCTATTTGTTCAGAGCATGGCTGCCGATGCTCTGGCAGAGCCTGAGATGTTGGATCACAGCCTGGTCATGTTTCCGTTTCAGATTCAAACACTTGACCTTTAATAGGAATCTGTTGTGTTAACTTGCTTGCAGATGTTTATTTAGATCGGATGGATCTTGACCTAGCCTTCTGTGTTTGTTTTCTCGAGGTTAGAGAGTTGTTGCTCCAGCAGGTCTAGCCATGAGACTTGCTTGATCCAGGGTCTTTACAGGATTAAGGTGGTTCAAATATCTAGGATGAGTCATATTATTTCTTCAAGATTGGCAGTAGGTTGATCCTTTTTTGGCAAATACTGTTAATGTGGTCTAAAGTCACTTACAGCTGGCATATCATCTGTGTCTCTCTGCTAAGAACAGCAGCTACTGTATCACAGTGTTTAAAACAGTATCAGTGTTGTGTCTAACACTCTTTCAATAAAGTGTGCAAAACCATATTGACATCGCAAGGAGCTAAATACAATTAGCAACCTGTTGATGGAGGTAATAACATTTCATACAAAGCTCCTTTATAAGTTTGCAGTATTGCCTTAGTCAAACATGGTTTTATTATTCGACAAAGGCTGCAGGAAAAGTGAAAAAAAGGCAAAAAATTGATTAAGCACGTCAAACAAGAAGCAGAGGTTTAATAAACTAGGGATTAAAGACATTTTTTTATATAAATGTGGAGATTTGTTTACAGCATAGTCATCCACACATTATTAATTTCAGCAGATACTGCAGGTGTCAGTAATGACAGGAATGAGAAATTAAAAGATTCTTTCTAAACACTGTTGTGTGAGCACTTCAAAAACAAGTGATCAGAACGGTTTTTTGTTTTTTCTTTAAGGGGGTTACCTAGTGGTTTAATGACCATAATGGTCATCTACAATAAAGAGTTAGAGTCCCGATATCCAAATATAAATGATAAACAGTTTGAAACAGATTCAGTTTCAGGCTGTTGAAACTATTACAAATATTCATTTTTTAAAACCAGTGTTGTAGTACTGGAGTCCAGGACAAGTCCAGATACTCAAGACTTGTGACTCAACTCGGACTTGTGCGCTGACGACTTGGACTTAAGCTCTGGCTGCATTGGGACTCGGAGGAGGACTCAAGCTTATTTATCAATGAATGCTTTGTTATTTGTTATTGTTTTATTTTTTAATATTTCTGTTATAGGGTCCCAATAACAGATCGTTCTTCAGCCTACAGCAGGCATATGTGTTTGTTTACCTGCATTCGCATTCACATGCCATCTCATTCAGCAACAGTGTGCGGCAAGATGTCAAAGGAGGCGCCACGGGTTGTACGGTTTGCTTTCAAAGATTTTACCACAAATTTAAATGTAGAGCAACATGTTCATTGTGTAAAAAAAAGTAAAACATTGAAGAGAAAACGAGGACAACGCTGAACTTTAACAGACATCTGTCCAGGATGCACCTAAAGAAGTGAGTAAATGGCGATGCTAATGTTACTCTGACTGCTTATAACATTCTCGTGAGCTAGCTGCTGAATAACACCAGCATTAGCCTCTGAAGGTATTCAAACAACGGCTCCAAGGTGTTTGGATAAGTCATGTGATATATTTTCAACTTGACAAACTTGCATCCATAAACAGATACGTTCAGCAATATTACATGAGGCGGCACAGTGGTGTAGTGGTTAGCACTGTCGCCTCACAGCAAGAAGGTCCTGGGTTCGAATCTGGGTCAGGGCATTCCTGTTTGGAGTTTGTATGTTCTTCCTGTGTCTGTGTGTGTTTACTCCGGGTACTCTTGTTTCCTCCCACATCCCAAAAACATGCTGAAGTGGGGTCAGGCTAATTGGCCACTTCCAAATTGCCCATAGGTGTAAATGTGAGCGTGAATGGTTGTTCATCTCTATATGTCAGCCCTGCGATGAACTGGTGACTTGTCCAGGGTGTCCCCTGCCTTTGCCCAAAGATGCTGGGATAGGCTCCTTGACCCTGGGAACGGGAGTAAGCAGTAGAAAATGGATGGATGGAATATTACATGAATAAATGTCAACTGCGGCTGCATTCAGAATAAATAATATCCTCGTGAATTGGATGGAGTGTGACTCAACTCAGAGGAGGAGGACCCAACTCAGACTCGTCTTGGATTAAGACTCCGATTTTTTTTTTGGGCAACTCAGATGCGACTCAGACTTGCCCACTGAGGACTTGAGACTCGACTCGGACTCGAGCTTTGGTGACTCGAACAGAACACTGTTTCAATCACATGGTTTTTGAGGCACCAGTTGAGCTCATATAATCCTGCTTCCTGCATAGAGGCTATAGCAGCCATTCAATAAATCTCCAACCTCTATTCAGCTGTCCTCATTGAAAAAAAAACAAAAGTGGGATAAAATATAACAGGTCCTTTCCTGGGACAGAAAGTGTCTACCTTCATACAGCATAACTAAGTCATTCATGCTTTACTCTAATCCACTCTGCTCTATGGTTTAGAGGTGAACATGGAAGAAGAAAAATGTGCGCCTGAGTGAGAGCAATAAAAATAGCCAAACTGTGATTATGCTTTTACACAATTAAGGTTTGTGAGCATGTGAAAAGGCTTTAATGGTTACTTAACTCGTCCTTGCATGGGTCCACGCTCATCTGGACTCGCTCCCATGTGCCTGCTCCACCTAAAGATATTATTCTACATGCTGCTGAGCAATAAAAACTGTAATCTCCAAGCCTATTCAAGAAGTTGAGGCATACTGGAGCGCTGTATCCACATTATTCTGTTTAAATTTCCATTTAAAGCAATAATAAAATGTATTACATCCTGATTTTATATTCGCTTTGAACAAATTGTCTCATTCAAGTTTTACTCCTCCTCTAATGTGCCTGAAGAAGGATTTATATTATCTCTCATGTTTATCTAAGCTTTGACTATTTTCTGGTCAAAGACAAACTATAAGCATAATGCCTCAGAGTAATTGTGAGATGTTTGATAAATACAAGCTCTAGTAGCCTAACAAATCCCGGGCCACAAGGATCTCTGATACTGCAGAAAAAACAGAATTATCCTTCAATTAATCTTTATATTACACTAATCCTGATTAGGATCGCGATGAGTCTAAATGCAAAGTAAGCCTGCGGAGACAAGTGAAGGGGTCAATGGATCTACATTGATGACAATTTCCCCTCAGTGAGCTCAGACCCACTCCAGCTGAACGGTTACAAGTACAAACCTTTACCACAGAAATCAGTCAAACTCACTTGACTCAATCCGATTGTTGTGGCTTTATTGAGTTAGGTTGACAAGACAAGTATCGCAGGTCAGGGAGCGTGTTCAATCCGTTTAAACACCCACTTGACATCGAGACACAGGGACTTGACAAATCTCTTTATGGGTCCCTGAGGAGGTATCACTCTGACCTGTAGTAGCCTCTACACTACATTTCTCTGAGTATAGCGCAAACACTCTACATTTATTGTGGCATTTTTGATTTTTTTCTTCTTTTTCTTTTGCCCCTTTTCCCTGTAGGCTTTATTCTGTCCGGAGTTAGATTTCATTGTGATTTAGTCTTACTTTTTCACACTCCTGAGAAGTGGTTTCAGAAATATCTTCAACAACTGGTAAGCTATGGCACAAATAAGAGGCAAACTGAGATAGCAGCAAAGGGGGTGATGATCCCCACTGCTGTCAAACTTGTTCTTTGTTATCAATTCCAAATAAAGGCCGTCCTAAAAACTGTTTTGTTGCAGCCTGACTGCCTTAAGTGTTCGAAAATTTCCTTCCATAGCCCTGAACCTATTTCATCCACTCAAACTAAAATAAATGGAAAATCTCTTCTTTTGCTATGTGGTGAAAAGACTGAATTAGAGCTCGCACCATTGTGTCACTGTCTCCTACAAAGCTCAGCATTTAGAATACACTCCCTATGTCCTCCTACACAACAGCATCTGTTAACGAGTTTTGTATGAGAGCGCCACTTTATCAAATGGTCACCTCAGCCACTCTAACACAACACACATCTTCCCACCCCGCTGGAGCTGGATAAGTGTGGGGGAGTTTTCCCCTGAGAACCAGTAGCTATAAGGTACAGGGAAAAGCCATTGACTGTAGATTGTGATCTGATCATTGACACTACCAGTGTGGGCAGAGCATGTCTACTAAGCCTGAATACACCAGAAAGCCGACTGAAGAGCTTGAATCAAACCACAGGCAATTAATGTTTTTGTTTTTTTCATCGCTCTAAATAGCACGACTTCAGTTTAAAAGGGAAAAAAATGTGTAAATAATTGATCAGGCGGTAGATGGGAGTGCATTACAGGCAAATTAAAGCATAACAGCCATGTAAACAATCTCCTCCAAGGCTTCTACTTAATATTTTCTGTACTCTTTGTCTCTGAATCTCCCTGTCAGTTTCTTTCCTCTCTTTCTTTTTTCCACTCCTCCCTTCGTTCCTCTCTGCGCCAACTCTCACTCTAGTACACTGCAGCAGTTGTAACTCTTACATCACCCCTCTCTCATCATTTCGGTGGTCGGTGGAGAATATTGAACAGTCACTTAGCCTCATATTGACATGACTAGAGAAAGCACAGAGATTTCTTGGTATGTTTACTTTCTCTTTTCATCCATTCGCTCCTCTCATGTTCTGTGTGCGTGCGTCTCACGACAGAAGGAATTGGAGGGGCATGTCTTTGACACATGATGGTGTTAAAAAGGTCGATCTCACCTTGACTTATTTCCTTTGTATCCTTCACTCTTTGGCTGCTGGGTGATGTGTAATTTTCCCAAAGCAGCTGTCCTGTATCATCAGGAGACATTTCTAAGGTGGAGTTTGATGTGTCTGGAATTCACAATACCATCATGCCTTACACTCATTGATTTTTCTTCAATGCAGTGACAATGTTATTGACTTGGAGAGAAAGACAGCGGACCTCATGGTATGGATACCGCTGCTTATTCTGACATTTGAGGTAGTTTTTGTTCCACTCTCTGATACTCTGCCCCCTCAATAACCTTCCGTCTGCACTTTGGCCCATATAGAAAGACATACTCCTGTATGATAGAAAATCTGACCATTAAAACAGGCACAGGAAAACATATCAGAGGCACATGCAGACTGCGCACCTATCATTACTGGTATTATTGAAGAAAGGGAAACAGCCTTGTTAGTTTTGAAGAACAGGCTCTGGCATAAAGACATCTAGACAAATCAGACAAGGAGACCTTCCCACTGACTTGTGTAATTAGATGTTATCATTCTGAGCTAAAAAAAAATATTCATACTCTTGGAAAAATCCTGCTTCAGATCAGCCCACACTATCCTTCTGAGACACAAAGCCATAGCCTATACTGTATGCCATTCAAACACACTGTATTTTCTCATGTGCTGTAAATCATATATGGGAGCATATCAAATATGGAAGTAGAGGAGAAGAAAGCTCACAACGCCCCCAACTCTGGTAATTACCTTCACTCCGGGGAAACACAAACAGTTCTTACAAGTGGCTCCACAGCCTTATACATAAACAATGCCATGTGTAGCATGAAATGGCTCTCACTTATAAATTAATACAGTATAGAATGTAAACATCATGCACTTAGGTGAAGGGAGGCATGGAAGCGTATATCAGTCAGTTCCTGTGCTGCTGTGGGGCATCTTTTCTGATTTGATTCAAGTTGAAAAGATGCATTTGTAAAAAAGGGAAACAAAGTGTTAGTCTGTTGTATGAGCTTATTTCAACTTTTAAACACAGAGAGGCAGATGGGCCAGAGTTAAAAGGTTTATTTTCCTGTGGAGCTCATACCTGGATGTGACTTGAAGGTATATGCTATAAAAATCTGTACCAGTACTGCTACCGTTGTTTTTTTTTTTTGTTGTCATGAAGAATAATATCTTTAAATTGTTGAATAATTGCCCACCACTCTATGTTTTTTTTTAGTGTGGCTGTTGTGCTTTTGTGTTTGTTTTCGGATGCTGTGTTACTGCAGATATAAATAAAAACATCTTTGTATTTGCATTTTACCCATTTCACAAAGGAGGGGATTTGTCAAAGGAGTGGGCTAAATGAATTAATAAGCATAAGTGTATCTCTTTAATGCAGTGAGACAGTCGTTTCAAGTATTTTACTTTTAGAGAAACTGTACACTGATGCTGTTCTACAGATATAAAAACAAGTGATGAAAAAGTTGATGAATGCAGTTTCAGTATGCACTTTTGCTGCACTTTTACTATCATCCTTAATGTTACATTTTGATGTGACGTAAACAGTCCTTACCTGGTTTACACACATTTGGTTTTTCTACAACATGCTTTGGTTTTAAAACATCAACAAAGGTTGATAAACCTATCTCCCCACTTCCACTCAACATCACACCCAGTAGTTGTGGTGAAAGATGTCAGCTTTGCTCTCTTCAAAAAGGTTTAAGTGTAATTGAGTTTCCTGATCACAAATAAAAGTGTTTATAATCAATTATCATAAAACTGTTAATCTTAAAAACAGCATTTTCCCTTCATACTCTTTAAAGCTCAAACTCAGTTAGTTTAGTTCACTCAGCTCAAAATAAAACAGGCTGCTCCTCCCAGAACAGAGGCGAGTCAGGCTTTTACCTCATTTTCATTTCTATTCTGCACCGATGAACGCGCGTGTTTCTTTGGAACAAATTATATATAATTGATAAACACTATACACAATATCTCTGTGTGCTCATCTATTAAATTCAATTAAGACTACAGAAATGTGTGAAGTCTGCTGCCAAGCTACTATAGAAGGCAGCTTCAAGGTTATTGTGATAGCACATTAACTTAATACTACAAAACGATATTCTCTCATTTCACAGCATTTCAAAGGTCACTTTTTTCTGTTTTTTCTCCAATTATTTTTCTTTGTTTCTGATCTATCCAGTTACTCTGGTTCTTTCCCCTGTTTGTCTTATTATCAGCAGAAAGAAGCTAATTACAATATACATATTTTATATGAGGGGCTAACATTACAGAGATATAAATGATCAGTTTCCCCCTGAAACAGAGTCTTCCCTGACTGCCCTTTGATTTCAGCTAAAGTGATATATTTTGAATTATTTAGCACACTGTTGATACCAAGGCTAAAATATGACCCCTTTAGGTTAAGAAAAGCTATGACGTTTCTGTTGAGTCTTTTTAAAATAAAATGAAAATTAATATAATCATCAACAGATTGATTGGTCACATTCACTACAGCTGGCCTCTGATCCGTTTAGACAACCATATACAGTTGAGACCGTGTGTGACCTGTAGACCACTGGAAAGTTTATCCTCAATGTGTAAAATCAAAAGGTGCAACCAGCTTTTACCGTTTTCTCTAAGCACTCAAAAACTAATACGAACATCAGAAAAATGCCAGTCTGGGAGGGGAGATCATCATTACAGAAATGCCAGAAAACACCAGTGGCAGCAATGTAACGCCTGTACAGTCTGCATTAGAGGATTTCTCCCAGATGTTTCAGGTGTTTTTTGCTATTTACTGATATAAACAGACAATGCACCGTGTTGGTCCTGTCTTTGCCTCACAGCTGGACTGAGTCCACTCAAAAATGCTGCAATCGCGGTGAGAGAGGTAACATTAACCATGCACGGCAAAAGTCTCAAAACCTGATAAGAGGAGGAATACAGGGGCATTTAATTCACTGGGACATGGAGATAAGAGTACAGGAATACTTCACATGACCCACAGTGGGAGCAGGAGCACTAACACACACAGAAGTCGATGATTCCTAATTTGAGTCAAGTGAGTCCCCTACCTGGTTTGTTGAGTTTCCAAATCTAATTCAAAAGCAACTAGGGATGGGAATAGATAAGATTTTATTGATATTGATGCAGTTCTGCTTATCTATTCAATTCTTTAACAATTCCCTTGTCAATGTCTTTCTTTGATTTAAAAAAAAGTAGACTATAGGTTTTCACCATTAACTCAACATTTTTTTCAGTCTCTGATAACAGGAAAAAGATGTATGCCATCTTCAGTGAGAGTCTAAAAATAATCAAACAACAAACTATTTGTGCAGCAAGTATTAAGTCAGATACATAATATGTTGTTTGGTCTGGAATGCATTTTGCTTGTGTTAACACGGGACATACACCGTCCAAGCCCTGCTCAGATGGAGCGGCAGCAGCTGACGACCAGCGGAGAGCATGGAATACATGTGACTCCTTATATTTGATGCCGTTCCCCATTGACAAATGTTTAAGCATGTTGCTGATGTTTCCACCTTTGCATGTTATCACTGCTCGACAAACATTGCATGTCGCGCTGTTGTCGTCTTTCTCAGTAAAATTAAGCCATGCTTTAGATCGTTTCTGCCTACTTTCCGTACAGTCTGCCTTGTTTTTTTCCTCTGTCTCTGTTCTCGTTCACGTAGACTGGCACTCGTGAGACCGTCTTTTAAGGCACCCGGAAGAAAGGAATTGTTAAGATAAAATGTAAACAGAGTTAAAGGTTAAAGGTAAAGTTTTCTCCCCTGTCTCTCTAATTTTTCGAATCCCCAGTTTGTGAGGATAACCAGTACAGTCTAGTTTTCCTTTCTTTGTGACTCAGTACTGAGTTGAATCTTCGGGGCTGAAGCTGTTATACAGGAACAAATGACACATAATTGATAAAACTAGAGCTGCTATTACACACTGAGGAAAACCAAAGATAATCAGCTACAGCGCACGTGCCTCTCAACTATCTTTATTTTGTGAGATTTTGTTTTTTAAGTGCCCCTCAGCTGCAGATTTAGCTTTATTCATTCCCACCCTTCATCCACTCATTTATTTTCATCCTCACTTTGCTTAACAATGTGCAGAATTGGATTAATCTGCACCTAATGAATGAGAGCAGATTTTAGACAGTCTGCGCACAAAGTCTGACATTGAACAAGGTCAGTGTGGATTTGTGATCATCAGCATGTCTTTAAAACAGGAGGGAGTTAGAAATCTTTCTTATTACATTACACAGCATCATTAGCTCCTCCAGAGTTCTGACAGCAGGGAAATACAGTAAAGCAGACATGGAGAACAATAATACAAAATAGATGCTGACAGAAGATTTGTTGTGGTTGTAAATTATGATTATGTAATCAGCTTTCATGGTATATTTGTCTGCTAACAGTGTGTTTGCCACCCACTGAGACCACTTTGATTTACATCTTGACACATGGAAACAAAGCAACACATCCTGATTTGTTTTAATGGAGCTGATGAATGGGTACAATACAGTCTACCCCTTTTCTTTATGCAGTTACCACAGTACATTACAATGTGATTCAATAATATATGATGTGCCTGCATCAAACATGGACTCCGTCATGGCAGTGATGTAGATAAGTGACTGTCAACAAAAACAACTGCAGTAGTTATACAAACTGTATTATTCAGACAGGGGGAATGGTAATCCTAAAATGACTACAAACTACTCTGAATTGAAAATCCCAAGTATTGTTCTTCAGGACTAATTTCTTAATGGTTCAAAGAGAAATTCAAATTTCAGTTAAACTACCAGCCTGAAGGTACAAAGAACTTCAAATGAAGTCAAAATAAAGCAAAATTCAACAAAACTAAACACAAGATAACAGTCTGCAGGTGAACAATGCCGAACTGGTTTGCTGAGTGTAGGTATCGTTAGCAAAGCTAGAATCACAGGTTTCTTCCCTGATATCCTCATATCTAACTGGGAGTTGTTCCAGTTGAGATAATGAGACAGCACAACTCCATTTCTGTTTTCTAGTTCAAAATTCATCTGTGTTTGTTTACATCAGGACAGAAGAGCATTATACCATAATAGATGACTGGTTCAGGCATTCAATAACCTACATTTTGAGCCGACAATAAAAAGAGCTGCTCATTTAACCCAATAGTCATTCTGGTGCAGAGTAGCAAGTGTGAAGATGTTTTCTAAACTATACATCCACATCCCTTATCATTAAACTTTAGTTCAGACATTTTCATTTTTAACATTGCAAATACAGTTGAGTTTCTCTGCTTTGCAGATACTAAATTTTTTCAGTACGTTTAGCAAAAGTCAACCTATTGTATGCTCACTTTTTCCTACAACAAAGTTTGTTCAACTGAAGAAATATAGTCAACTCACATTTTTAGATTTACTGCATCTATTTCTATGTCGTTTGCTCCTAGCCCAATGATGCTAGCATATGTATGTGCCTTTCAGTCACACAATTGCATTAACTAATCATAGGATGCTGTGTAAATTCAACTACAACATAATGTGATTTTTCACAAAACATTCCAAGTATAGCTCATAAAATGTTAAAACTGGAAATCTAAATTACAGGTATTTAAGATCTGATGTTAGCTACATGTTTCATTTAAGTTGTCATAGCAGCAACACAGATCATGGAAAATACTGTATATAAGCAGCATCCCTGAAAGACTAAGTAATTTTAAAATAAATTAACATATTACGAACAAGGTTTCATAAAATTAAATTGTAAAAATTCTGGTCATTTCATCCTACAGTATGTAATATTTTTTAAAGGCTCAGAAAATCTTACAAAAACCCTGTTCTAAAGGGGTAAGGCAGAAAACGCACTACATTAAAAACAGACTCTGTAGTTGAAATCCAGGCATGGACTCAAAGTCACTTTTTAAAACATCACCTGTGTATAAAATGATTTGCTGCATCTGCAAATGCAGATTGACTGTACCACGAAAAGAGGAAAGCATAAAAACACAATCTGGAAACACCAGGGCTCAGAGCTTAGGTCTGTGTGGGATGGACTGAGGTGAAGCAAGCACAGGTAAGAGACCACCTGCCGGGCACTGCTGCCTGTCGTCGTCCCTCTGATGGTGCCATTAGGACACCTGCAGGGTCATCAGTCAGGGACAGCCCTTCACCACTGTTTCTCGTCATTAACCCTGGAACAACAATTCGAGGTAATGGACCCACAGTGAAGATGTCTCCCCACTGCCACCTGCAGCTGTGCCTTGGACCTTTGATTTCCCCAAGCCTGATCTTTCCTCCTTAACCAAAGCCAGAATCTCCTTGGCTTTGCTTCCCCAGCTAGATCTCTAAGATCTTATTTCATTTGTGACCAGACACCCCCACAAAGCCTCTGCTGCCGACCCCACAGGGTAGCTGACAGCTGACCATCCTGCTGCCCTGCAGTCAGTCATCAGCTCTGTGTATTTGCCCTCCTCTGTTCAAGAAGCTGCCTCCATCACACTGGAGTGAGACAGTTATGCTATGATCACTACCCAGCCTATGGTTGACAAAAGAACGACGACAAGTTGAGATTTTGGTTGGGAACTCAGATTTTTCCTTTCATGTTAACGTTGCCTCTGAACTGGTTGGTGTTACTGGAATCTTGCTCTTTGGGGGTAAAGGTGTTCGCTGCTCTACTTCTTTCTGATGGGATGGACTTGTTCTTCCAGGTTGTTCTCATTAGTTACCACCAGGACTGGACGATTATATTAATATTATACTGATTATATTAATTAATGATCATGATAAATTTCAGCTCGATCACGGTGATCAGCTGTGAGCGTATTTACTCGCTCAAACATAGCGGAAATGTGTGTCACAACAGCCGATTGGACTCGAGCTTTTCCTACTCACTTCTGTGCGTTGCCTGAGAAGTAAACAGGAGATGTAAACAGAATAACTGAACATGGAGCTAAATGCAGAGCTGAGGGCAGCAAAATAGATATCAGCCGTGACTGTGAGTCATTCTCTGAAGATGCCATTGTTGAGAAGAAAAGTTATTCAACGTCGATTGTGTGGCGGTGATTCAGGTATCTCCAAAGTGACGTCAAGCAATTCAGCTGATGTTCCAGGTATGTTGGCGGTCAGAGCCCTCAAAAACCGGCAACACAACAGATCTGTTTAATCATTTGAAGAAGTACTTCCTGAGTGATTATGCGGAAAGCATGAACATGCGAGCGGAGTCTGCACAGCCCGCCACTGCTGACGGCACAAGTGGCATTAGCAGTTTAGCCACAACAAGCGGTGCAGCCACCAGACCGAAGCAGCGATCAATCATATCATTTATGTTAACATCATCTAATGTTTACATTTTAAGGCGTCTTCATTATCCCTGAGAGGGTGATTTGTTCATTCTGTGTCTTGCATACCTGCAGAAACACTCAGGACTATAAACTAGTTCACCGTATTGTCAAGTATTTATCTACATTTTTTGTACTCTTGAGTTAAAGTGGTTATTTATCTTTTTCTATGTTTATCTTGTTCAATTTGCTTTATTTACTTTGTATGTTAATAAAATGTTAAACTAATTTCTAGTTTCTTTAGCTTTAAGTACAGATACTTTAAAACTGGCAGTTTCGTTTTTATTTTATTTATTTAAATCATGATAATAATCGAGATCGGACAGTATGACAAAATATATCGTGATCATCATATTTTTTCCGCCAAATCCCCCAGGCCTACCTACCACAGAAGCTCCAACACTGCATGGCAGTTTTTGTCTGCCCTGAGTGGTATATCATCTGGATCTGGTACTGAAGCACTGGAGGACCTAGCTTTGTCCACAACAGTGAAGATGAAGAGAAAAACTGTCCTTTGATAACGCAAAGCCTGAGATTTTGTTTGGAAATCACGTGTCCTTTAGGATAAAGAAGAGGGACCATCTAGCTTTTCATCGGCTCTGAGCTCAAAAAACAGCAGCTGTGATGGTAAAGGGAGCTTTAGCTTTAGCTTTATTGCACATAATATATGGTTAACATAAACAGGAAAATAAATGCACCAAAAATACTAAACTATATACAGTATGCAGGTTTTTGAGCAACTTCTGATGCCAAGAAGATGACATCCCTCTTAAGCAAAGACTTGCGGTTTTAAGCAAGACAACGCTAAACCACATTCTGCATTATTACAACAAGATGGCTCTGTGTAGAAACAAAAACTGGGTGTCAAACCAGCCTGCCTGCAGTGCTGACTTGGTAGTCACTGACAGTGTTTGGCCCATTATAAGATATAAAAAATGAAACACTTGAGCAGCTAAAATCCAACATAAGGCAGGACATGTGAGAACATATCGCCTTCACAATAACAGCAAGTGGTATTCCTCTATTGTTAAAGACAGAGGTGATGCAACAGAGGGGGGAACATAACCCAGTCCAAACCTTTCTGAAATGTGATGCTGGCAACAAATTCAACATGGGCATACACTTTTATGAAAGTAAAGGACATTTCTCTGTTTTTACATATGGTGGTTTGACTTTCAGGTTCTGGTTTTAAAAGTATTTTACACAGCATCCATACTTTTTTTTTCAGAAACAGGGTTTGACACTTTTTTAATGAACAGATGAATATTGCATTCTCTGTTCTCTAGGGAACATTTTAGGGTCTGTAGTGGAGCAGAATTCCTGGCCTCTGCTAAGAAAAAATGTCATGTAATCCACACATTAAAAAAGCTATTTCATGAACCATATAATAAGATTATTTTCTCCAAAGTACCTAGTGTGGCATTGAAAATGATCAGGAGAAAAACTTTCACTTTTATTTTTTTTTTTCCTGAGACACAGTTTCAAGAGTAATACATGAAAAAAGCCCTGGTTTTTGATCATCAAATGTCTCTTAAAGTCTAGGAGATTCAGCCTTTCAAAAAAGGATGTCAACGTTTGCAATAATAAAATGTGACTGTCTGACAGGAAGGATCTTCTTCTTAACCACTCAACTGGAATCACCCGTAAGACTGTGAAACAAATACTGGAAAAAAAAAGTTCTCACAGGGCAGTATCCTGAAAGCTAAATATTCATGCTGAGTTTGTATTTCATATTTATTTAAGAGTAGTACAAGTTGACTTCAACAACTTCACAAACTGTGCAGCAGGAGGCTTAACGTCTCACTGTAGTTCCTCATGGTAGTAGTGGACTGCACTGTGTTAACCTGAGGCTAAATATGACCTTGGGCACTTGTCCTTGGCAGGTGAACTGAGATATGTGCGTTAGGACTCTTGGAAAGGATTTATCAGATGGGAAATAATGATGTTGACTGGCCAGATACTTCTGATTGTGCCTGAGGCTTCTTCTTTCGTGGTTACTCTCATGGGTAGTCGTTAGGGTCCTAGTATTTTCGGTTTGAATCAACAACTATAGATGCCAGAAAAAAACCCTTGAGATGCAGTAGTTTGAGTAAACGTATTTTCTCTGTGTGAACAAACACAGCTTACATAATAACAGATTAATGACCTAATAAAAGAGATTGTGTTTGTTGTAATTTGTTTAATGTTAAGCTCTGAACAGATTGGAGGAGCATGATAGAGATAAAGAGTGAGATAGAGAAAATTAACCAGAAAGCAGCAGCAGACTGTGAATGAATTTTGGTTCATAAAGACCTCATTTGTATTTTATGTCTGACTTTGATGGCCCTCCGGCTTCTAAAATATGCACATCAAGCGGGGAACATCTGAATAGCTCATAATGATGTCGAAATTTATGGCGCCATTGTTTAGACTGCAGAGGTCTTCTTTGGGCAGCAAAGTGTTCAGCTTATCTCAGAGCAAACAATGGAGCACATCAAGAAGTCAAAAATTCTGAAATCCCACTTTAGATGGAAGTTCTGTGCAGGCTGAAAATTACTATGTGCTATTCTTTACCACTGTAATTACACAACTGAGATTTTACCCAGGGATCCTGGCGGAGTATCTGTCGCTACCGTCTGACACTTTGTAAAATCAAACATAAAACAAAACATTTTTATTGCACTTCTAAAGAAAACCCAACAGCCTAGCTAGTTTCTGCAAGAAGGAGAGAGGTTTGTGGATTATTTGCAGTGTTTGTTCAATGAGCTCACTTTCAAGCGTGCACAATCTAATGCTGAAAACTAACATGAGAGGTTTGACGTCTGAGTGTGACTGATGAATAGAGAGAAAGAGACAGTACATGATCATAGCAGTAACTCCGTTCCCTAGCCCTGCAGCACTCCATGCTCTACCGTGTTTACTTAAATGAAGCCTTGGATCCATCCAGGAAAGATATAAGAACTTTATGCTTTTGAATTATTAAGCCCTCTCTCACTCTGCTGTAAATGCACGACTTCATACCGTGTAAGATATTTCTTCTGACGTTAAATTAAATATTTCTCACCAAGCATTAACTGAGGGGGTTGAAATCTCTGTCTTTCTCTACCATTTTCCCACTCTTGCTAGTGACATATATTCAAGTCCAGAGAGAGTTTTTGTGAGAAAACATCAATATACATTTTGAGTGGCATTGGCAGTGTGACGGCAGTTTACCACCTCCGTCTTACTTATATAATAGAACATGTTTCCAGCTAAAATCACTGCCCCTCTGGATTTTAAGACAGATTGACAGCTTTACTTTTAATGTTATCCTAGAGCACAGCAGTTTGTTGCAACTATGCTTGAGCTGTTTCCACATCTGTATTCAACATTTTCATGCTGATACCATCAGTTATTTCACCTTCAACCTGCAGGAAGAGTCATCTGTTTGAGAACAGCATCTTCACACTCATCTGCATCATGTATCTAAATTCTACAAACAGGAGAAGAAGAGTTTGCATCAAGTGTGTATAATACTCCACACAAATGTTCACATGTGCTGAAAATCTAAAACACAGTCAGTACGTTTACATCACACTCGAGAAAACCGAATTATTGCCTTACTCTGATTAAGACCACACAACTAGTGCATGTAAACACCACGATCTATAATCGGAGTTTGAGAAGTCCAACTGGATTCTGAGAACTCTGATTAAGACACCCTGATAATGGGATTGGAGTTCGATTATCTCTACCATGTAACCAGCATAGTCAGAGTATGATTGGGCAATGCATGTGTGTGTGCGCCACGCCAGAACAAAACCACCAGAGAAGAGTAGCAGTGTGCACCTCATCTGCAGAAAAAGTAGCGCGTACATCATGTACGACAAAAACAATGCTGTATGATGCTCCATCTTCTTGCTCGAAAATGTCCAGCAGCAGTTGTAGCCACTTCTGACGTCTAGCACGGACCTGCTGTTGTTGTTGGGTCAACCGGAAACAGCGTAGCTGAAAAGACCCCTATCGTCCCCTATTTTTAGGGAAGAGGACACGTTCACATCAATAATTCGATTTTCTCAGCCGCATGTGTACGCGGACAAGGAGAGAAGTCCGATTCGGCAAAAAAAAAAGAATTATGAGCTCAGTCCGATTAAGCTGTGCATGTAAACGCACTGAGTGTGTTGTTTTGTATATTTAGCCGATCAGTACAGCCTGTCCCCCTATTTGGTTAGCAGGAGTTACTGTGCTTACCAGCAACTGACACCAGTATTTCAAACACACTCCTGAAGAGTGACTGCACCCAAATTTGTTAGCTAAAGTACCCTCTAAGTGGCCAAAATTTAAACTTCAGTAAAAACATCAGCAAACTAGCAATTTGAAACAGAGCTTAGGGGTCATTTGAGGAAGTTTTGGTTGGTATTGTTTCAATTGATCGCCTTCTCTTTGAATAGTCGGCTGTATTATTTGTCTGAACCTTATGAACAAAAGGCTGAATCATCAGCATGCAGTTCATCTCCTGGCCTGACACTCACCCCCTGCAAATGGTTTCAGACATAAAAAATAACTATTTAAAAATAGTCCAGTCTCTTGATAATGGCCTTGTTTCATTTTTGTCCTTCCTGTCCTTTTAAAGAAAGAAAGACAGCCTTAAAAAACACTTAAAAAAATAAAAAGGATAGATTGTTAGGACTTGTAGGTCTGCTAATGATACTTGAAAGTTTACAAAAGGAAAATGGAAAAAAAAGGAAAGGTTTCTAAATTAACCTTCACCAAGCACTGAATGCAGGCAGATTTTACCTCAGACAAGTACATTTCAGAGGGCTTCTAGCCTTGTTACAGGTAAACACGTATTTGAAAAGAAAAAAAAAAAAAAAAGAGGTTATACTGTGTTTTGGTGTAGCTGCAATGCCTTTCCTTTTGACAGGGTTAAAAAATGAAAGACACCCTGCTGGTTTGGGGGATTGATACTTAGATATTTACAAGATATGACACAATTTCACTGAATGAGTTACCTCTCTGCTCTCTTCACTGTAACACACACACACACAAACTCTTACATCCCCAGGCAACCACTTTGAGTTCACAGCACAAAACTGATCACCAGTAAAAAAGAATCAAAACTCAGTATGCTTCAAGGTGATTCTTTGAGAAAGTCACTGTTCAAAAATCAATGTCTTGTAGGTGTATTTGCTGTGTGTGGTGCGCTTACCGTTATACAGTGGACATGGAGGCCTTGGGTGGGAAATGCCTTTAGTTCTGCTTGTATTTCGTTGCAGATCAGCACCAAACAGAAACCGCCATGCTCGTACCTTTGATTCAAAGTGAAAGAAAAAACTCCATATGGTTTATTTATTTTCTTCAAGTCATAGTTTAAAATTTTTATCCTACACTATTCCCTATTCTTCTCTTTACCCCTCTCATGACTCATGTATGCTCTCCCTGACTAACCCCCCACCGACTTTATTCCAATCTCTCAATTTTGTAGCTGAGTCAGAAATGTCTCCTCGAAACAATAAAAAACATTTCCTTTATTCTTAAAATTTAACAGCATATTAAAAGGAGCCTGTCAGAAGGAATAATGTAAAAAGATGTCTCAACCTTTTAAACTGAGCTACTGTTCTAGACGTGATGTGAGAATGTCAACACATCTGCTTGAGATGCAAAGATAAAACTCATCTTTGGTGCATTAGGTATTCAAATTTTTCACATCTTTGTGCCAGATGATGAGAACAGAAACATAACTGAAGACCACATACAGCTTTAGGACCATGTCTCTGTGCCAGCAAGTCACTTTTAATTGCTTGGTAGATTCAGAGGAACACAGCACTGGTCTTTAATGTGGCTCTTGCAGACTTTGGAACTGTTAAGGTGCTTTAGCACTGGCTCTTTTTTTGAGGATAAAATTTTGTGGGTCACTTGCATTAGACATTTGGGAGTCCCATAGATGTGACCATGGAAAAAGCTAAGAAACAGAGTCTCTTGCTGTATAATGATTTCTACCAGGAGACATTAAAAGTGATTGCCCATGGGGTAATGACAAACCCAGCTGACTAAGCAGGGAGGAGTTGCTGTCCAAAGACAATCAGTTCTACTCATCCAAGTAACCTCTGTTAGCCTTGCTGACAAAGAACGCTACTTCTTGTGTTGATTCGATGCAACAACTTAACTCTCAACTTCTTTGTTCTAAAAATAACAGCAGCTGGTTCACGCACGAGCTGTACACAGAAAGTGATTGCAATAAGCGTGATGGTGAGAGTTCACAGCTTATTATATTTAACACTTGGAGAGTAAATTGCTGTGTTCACTGTTAGTCATGTTAATAAGCCCCCCACCCACAAGTTCCTGAGTCTAAACAGATTGTGCTCGTTTGTTTTTGGTGTCTGCATGTTGTGGTGACCCACTGTGGTCAGTGAGGTGGCTGACCTGCATCTTTGTGCTCCAGACCAGACACAGCTGTGTAAATACTAAGCCAGGCCAAGCTGAAGCATGGCTGTCAGCCATCACTGTTTCCGCATGCTCTGGCATCAGGTTGTTTGACCAGCAGCTTTATTTTCGAACCTCATATCATCAGAATTCGGTATCGCTTATTCTCCAGCATCCACGGTACATAACTAGGGCATTATGATGTTGTGGTAGCCTTTGTTTGTCTGTTGACACATATCATGTGAACATAATCACACAAAACTGACATTTTATCATCAAATGATTCCTCTCCAAAGTAGACAGTTTGATTTGAAGCAGATTTACGCATTAATTACCTCAACTATATTCACAACTTTAAAGTTTATAGTCTCTAGATCCCCATTTAACTATTACTTGATGCTTTACTGTGAAGTGATGGAATAAAACTATTGTGTTTACTGAAAAACTGCATGAAAATTTCCCAAAACATGCCAAAATAACTGTATCTTTGACCTGTTTCTTCTTATTATTATTATTTATAATGGCTATGTTAAATATTTGGACAGACGATATCAACAGAGCTGTTCAATGAATCCGTCGATTTCAGAATAAGACTTAACCTTCATGAATGATTGTAATTTATCTTATATATACACAATGGACAGCTGTGCACCTGATCTGCGTTTATTCTGCCAATCCCCAAACGGGTTATGTTGGATAGTTAAAGTGAGATTTATCTCCACCCCTTCCTTCCACAACAGGTTTAATTTCCAGCTTGTGTCTTGACCAGTTGGCTTTAGTGCATCATGTAACACCCAGCCAGGGAGCATTTATTAATGGTCTCTGGATGTCTGGGGACGCTTGATAAAATACCATTATCAGCTCTACAGAGCAATTTGGACTGTGCAAGAAGCAGCAGCAGCAGAATTGCTTTTAGAGATGTTTGTTACATAAAGTAGAGAGTGACTAGAAAACAACACATACAAGCTTATTTTACTCCCCAGTCTGTCAGATATGTGTCACGCTCTCTCCTCTGCATCGCTCAAACATCTGAAGTGATAGGGTGCCATGAATGGCAGGTTATGGGCTTTAACTCAGGTATATTGAGGGATTCATACTCAACAGTCAGTTATTTTGGATGTCTTGGACTAATATACAAATTATAGCTCAGCAAAAACAGAAAGTGAACAGCTACTACAGACGTACCAAATTCAACTGACAGGAAATTCATAAGACAAGTGTATGTGGAAGAAAATAAGGAAAGACGTACGTCTTTTAATAACTTATTTCAATCAGCTCTTATTATGGGGGTGAACTATATAAAGCAACATCTAATGAATAGTCTAGACAGCACTCATATACAGGGAGATTGAAACAAAAGGATAGTGCTGTTTTCATATCAACCCTAGTTAAACTTGAAATCATGTAATGAGTTCATCATCCCATCTTCAGTTGCATTTTCCTGCCTGAAGAACAGAGAAAAGAACAAGTATGTCTAACAACTGCTGGATATACCATTTCTGATCAGCACTTTTGCACACCTGCATACAACCACACACGTTTTTTTTTTTTTTTTAAGTATTTGAGAGGCTGACACTGCAGCTTCGCAGAATTGAAGAATGTAAGAGCACCGGCCTTAGCCGAGGTCGGCACTCTGAATGCCTTTCTTAGTTGAGAGTATTTGCATCCCACATGCCTGAAAATCAGCAAGTCTTTTTGATGTCAGATTTCTACATATATTTTTAAAATCATATCTTGAAAGAAGCTGTAACTGTTTCCAACGGATTTCCTGCTTGAAACTTGAATTCAAACTTATCAACTAGTCCAAAGGTAAGAAAACGGTCAAAGCACAGCCAGGATTGAGCTCAGTTTATCCAACATGGCTGAACACGTTAGATGAATATTTGCTTACATTAGCAATATTGCAGATGCCATTGCTATGGTGCAGTTCTGGCTGGTGGTGGGTGGCAGCACTGTCGCTACCTGATCCTTCTCCGGAAACCTGATTTGTACTGCCCATGTGTGAAATGTATGTCACTTCCTCTACTAGCCATCTTTGCGACAGCTCAGCAATTCATTGCCCCTTACGGTTTGCGACAGCGTCGACACTTGTTCGACAGCTTCAGCATCAGCGAGGTGAGCTCGCTACAGTCAGAAAGGATGCTTCAGTTTGTCACCAACCACACGCTTTTCTTTTCTCCTGAACGGAGTGCTTCCCCCGACTGAAGCAGAGCCAAGAAAGTCAAGGGAATGGCGCCCAGTTTTATGGTTAAAGGTTCCTACTCCATCTAAATTGTAAAACTGCAATGTAGTTACAAAAGGCTTGAATGAATGTGTATATTTCAGTGTTGAAATTGTATGCGTTTTAAAAACGCTGGAATTCATTGTCCATGATGTAAAGGGTTCTTGTTAATAAATTTAATTTATAAAATCAATGAAATAAATCCCCCTCTTGATACTTTGAAAAGTCAGAGAACCATGAATTTGACCCGGTTGTGGCGATCTCTGTGGCCTGGGGAGGGTGCGCCATAGGTGGCCACACACCTCCAGAGCATCCCACCTTGATACTGTGAAAAGTCAGAGAACCATCATTTTGACCGGGTGGCGGTGCTATTTGTGGCCCAAAAGGTCTCACCGTGCTGGGCAGGAGCTCTGGCGAATGCCTCTGCATTAGCTCTGGAGCCTCCTGCTACATAGCCTGTCACATCACCAGCTTGTTTCTGATTTGATCGATCGTTTAAATAAAGTTTTTAAGGTGAAGTAAATTTGCACTTGTGCAGTACAGATCGGGTAGGTAGCGACTCACTGCCGTAAATACACTGAAATGTCAAGAGAGGAAGTGCTGTATGTTTCGCACATGCACAGTACAAATCAGGTTTCCTGGACGTATCGGGTAGCGACAAGCACTACAACATATGCACAACATATGACTGGCAGCATGGCCTACAGCAAGACAAATATACATTTTTTTAAACCCACCAGTGATTCTGCTGCCACCTTGCAAAGGTGAAGGTATTAAATTGGTTTGTCAACTATGTGCAGCCCTAACCAAGCATTGATACAGAGGATTGAATTTGTATTGTCTGCCCTGAAAAAGTGCTAACTCAAGAGAGGCAGGAAACTGAAAAGTACATAAAAGTCAGACTCGTCCTAAGAGTCTCTGGCTTTCATGAAACAAGACTTAGATATTCCAGAAACCTACAGGTTCCCTCCATGCTCACAGGATAATTCAATGATGGGCATGCACTCATTGCACTGACAGCAAGATATGTTGCAGTTAAGGCTGATGTGGGAATCTGTTAATAGTTAATTATTGGAGTAACTTTTTCAGTAACTACGAATGAAGATGCTAGTTTTTTTATTTCTGTTTTTTTCAGTGAAATCATCACATTAACTAGCTTCACTGCAGAAACACAGCACTGTGGTAACGGACAGTATTGGCTATATGTCTCCAAGCTGTAGGCTCTAACCAGTATAAGCTGCTGTGTGACTCTGTGCTGAAGGGGGCAGGAGCTTTACCTAGAGACCTGAATGGTACCTTTGCTACATAAGACCTCAAATCTGAAATGTCCTCATTTTACAGGGATCTTAAACACAGGTTTTAGATGTTGCCTTGTTCCCCCTTTTCATGTTGATGAAGGACAACATTTTCTCAAAGTTGGATTTCTTTCAGGTACCAGAGCAGTTGCCAATGTGTCGGTCTGAGCTTGGGTAAGGGTGAGATTGAGTCACGTGCAGTTACGAAGGTGGCCTACCCGGCACCATGATTGTTACAGTTACTGTGACAGCCCTAGCTTTAGTATAAAGAGATTTTCTCATCTATTTGTAAAAGTATCTGAACAAAATGTGTCAAAGATGGAAAAGTTCTTGAAATACTGGAGTCCAGATGATCTATCCAGACTGGCCATCATAACTGTGGGGGCTTTTCATTTCCAAACATTTGTCTCAGTAATTTCTCAAGTAACAGTGGCTGTTGTTTGTAAGTCAACACTAAGCTTTGTCATGCCTGGGATAGCACCCAAAAGCAGACAGTAGGATGCGTTATGACTGATTTTGGATTGACCTTTAAGGCCAGAATTCATGGCAGGTAAGCAGGTGGACAGGTAAGTGGTGGAATGGAAGCAGACCAGGTAAGGGGGGGAGGAAGTGATTGTGTAACAGATGGGGGTGGAGGACATGGAATAGCATGGGAAAGTCTGAGGGCATCTGGTGGACAGCTCAAAGATGACAGCTCCTGGCAGAGTGGGAGGAAGAAACATGCACAGTGACAGGGGGAGTAAATTCACAAGTCCGGGAATTAGAGAAAGGTTGCTGCAAGAGGGGGTAGCCACAGGATCTGTGACAAGCCAACCATATCCTGGGAAAGCAATTTTACCTGGTTTCTAGACTGTTAGCGATAAACAGTCAAAAACACCATCTGCACTTGCTGTGTATGGTGCCAATTGTGATCTAAGTTGCATCAGTTCTTGAATGCCATAAAGGAAAATTATTGCAGGCTCTGCAGAATGCCATCTGTTTGATGCTTCTGTTTTAAACCAGCACTATTGTTTTTCTGTTGCTACCGGAGCTGCTCACTGAGCTGTAATGAAAACAATATCTCATACGAGGGTTTATGTGTTATAAAGTATGACAGCCTCGCCAGATTGTAATCGTATTACCTGAGTCAAAGGTGGAGATTCAGCACCTAAAAACTGACCATTATCAGTCGTTTGACATCCTGCAATTTGTAGTAAGCACTACAGTATCAGATCACCTTCCTTTTTAGGGGCGAAACAGATAGTACATTAACATATGCTGATTTTCTTTAAAGGAGAAATTGGGGCAATTAAGTCTCCATATAAATGAAACACCAATCTCTATCACAATACATCTGGGAAATAACTATCCCATTACAAATTAACAACCCTATTAAATGTTATAGAAACCCCAATCATTTTTGAACACTGCAGCAAGGTTTTTCTTATACCCAGGTTCAGGGACAACTGCAACATTTCCCCTGCTAAACATGTAAACAGAAAATCAGTAAGCCTCCTGTTTGTGTGGGGGTAGACATGATGTGATTGCAATGGATTTATTTATGCTACAGATGTTTGCTGTAGAACACTCTGCCAACACCGGGGAGCGATGATTAATTTATACTTGTTTGGATAAGAGCATGTAACCCAGTCCTATTAATATTGCTCTTTTGCAGAATAAGATCATATCTTTGCAAATTGAATATTCATCACTTTAATAAGTCAAAAGTCTAGTCGGTATCCCACAAAAATTTGGAAATGGTTCAGAAATTAGTTACAGGTTGTAAATCTCTCTCTCTCTCTTTCTCTCCAGATCCCAGGTTTTCTTGAAGTGCTTAGTCAGCCTGTGAGGGGGGAAGGGCTCTATTTAAATAATCCTCCCAGGAACGGCTATATAAGCATTATAATAAAATTCAGTCCCAACATAAGCACAAGACTATTTACTGGATGGCTGATCAAGTGAGCTGTTATAGTTTGTATATATGTATGTGTGTAGGACTGTCGATTCATTATTTTCTCTGATTATTTAACCACTGCATGTCTGAGCATGATTATCCACATTACCGGCTGCAGAGTGCATACTCGTTCACCTTCAACCAGCACAATGTTAAACTCACTGTAATGTTATCAAATCCGGGCCCTGGCCTTTTCAGCAGCTCTAAACCCTTTTTGTCCAAATCCCTCTGCCCATATCCCTTTGTTATAACAGGCACTAATGCGACAAACTGATTAAGCACTATTAACTTGCAAATTAGTTCCTTTGTTCTAACTTCATCCCCATCAGCTTTGTCCGTTTCAAACATCCCTCGCCCAACCTAAAAGGAAAAAAGATAGTACTGCCAGTGATGTTGCTCACTTGTCCACTTCATGGGGGCATGAACTGTACCCGGAATAACTGAGGATTCTGCATCTCAGCATGCAATTTCAGAACAGATTGAAAAGCGTGTCCTATTTTGCCATACAATAATAATACAACATAAAAAGATGGCATAACAATAAAATAACAATACGAAAGAAGAAAAGCAGTCCTCATCTTTACTGTTGAACCATCATGCACACAAACATGAAGATTATCATACATGGTAATGAATAAAAAACAGTCATGGAAAATGTGGTTTCACATACAGTATTAGAAAACAGGTTAAAACACGCAGCAGTATTTCTCTGACTCAGTTATGGAGCTTGATGCAAAGAGAAAAAAGGAGGCTTAACAGCAAAACTCCACCAAAATAACTTCATTTACAAGACATAAAAAGTACTTGAATTATCTCCTAAAAAGTATGTCCATCCATCTGAGTTATTTCGAGTAAAAACACTCAACTAGTGTGGCCATGAATCAAAGGACACACAATGCAATATGGCTAGATTTATAACTTTGATTAACTTACAAAATCTCAAATTATGTTATCTACATGCTGAGCTGAAGTTAGCTTTGCCATACACACAAAGCATTATCTGGAACCACTGTTAACAGCAAAAGAGTGTACCCAAAGTCCCATTTTCAAGGGCATGTGGGGGGGCCACTATTTCCAAATGAAGCTACATTTACAGTATGTATCATTTCACATGCAGTGAACAAAGGGGTCACAATGACCATTTCTGGGTCTGTTCATTTACTTGATCTGTATTTACAAACTGAGAGCAAAGCATGAAAGCTCAACCACTTCAAATTCTTTCTTCACAGATTTCAGTTTTTATCAGGTTTGTTTGCTTGTTTTCGACTGAGCCTATAATATCTACAGCTGCAATTGCTTCAAAGTCAGCAACTTGATCTTTTTTCAGACAGACTCCATTCCTCAGAGTTTTTGATATACCTCCATCCATATGAGCACCGGTGTAATTCTTGTGCATCACGGTTGATTGCAGTACCAAGAAATGCATTTCCCTCTCATTTTTAACAAAATCGGCTGTGAATGTCTCAAGAGACTCCTTGACATGTGAACACCCATTGCAGAGGAATAAAAATCTCTATGCAGACAAGGGTGTGTCCTCGACCTTTACCTTCATCTCAGCATAAATAGCAGGTATAAACGTTTCCTCTTCATTTTGGTTTTATGAGTGACATGCACATTTCTCAGCTTTTTTCCAAGGCTCTCTAAAATGATCTTACTGTCTTCCTTTGGGTTGCTTCTTCAGCCAGTTGTGATTTTTGTTCACATTACCCTCATTATTGTCATGAGCGCCTTAGGGAGGAGTCATTAAGAAGTGATTCTATGAGCCAGATTGGCTGGTAAATCCAAACGGAGTGCAGTAGTCTTTCCAATTACAATATAAATACTTTGCACAATGTATGACACAGGTAAAGACACTGATATGATGCCATATTGATATCTTGTTCCACCCTTGATTTCCTTGTATTGTATAAAACTAATTACAAAATACAGTATGAATACTGTACAAAATGCACTGGCTTGAATTTTATCTCACCCTTCATGCTAATGAAGCACATTACTCAGTGCAGTAGAGAAGGATTTTTGAAGAGACGGTGATGCCCTCAGAAGGTGTCTCGAACAGCATGTTTATATTTTCCATGAACTGAGTAGGAAAAGGTGTCTGCACAGCTCTGATTATATCAAAACAAAGCAGTGGCCAACAATCTAACAGTGTGCATGGTTGAATTTGATTATGTGAAAGACTGCCCTATGTGTATTACGCTGTTGAATCACAACTAGATGCAGCATGTGTTATGGGATATGAATTCATCAGGTTCAGTCCATGCTAAAACAGAAAATCAGTGTAGTGTGAAAGCCCTGTGAGCACCAGATCATTCTGATCTTCAAAATTTAACTAGTCAAGTGTTACGCAGGAGCTTCTGCTTCAAAAGTGGCTTGTTACAAATCAGAACTTGTTAAAAAGCCTTGGAGAGAGGTGCAATACACTGTCCAACAAAGACCTGAATAATTTAAGTGGAAGAAAGTCACAGCATACGGCTAAGTATAGGCCAAAACATGGTAGCTGTCACTTACAATCATCTAAGTGGATGCAAATGTCACAACTAGGCTTGTAGTTGAAGGAAATGAACTTGTTTGTCCAAATCTAAGCCAATCTAGTGGAGGAAATGCCTCGGACACTGTTTCTCACCTGATGTGCCCTTCATTTTAAGATGACTCCTGTCCGCTGAGTGCCTGCTCACTAAGTGCAATCTGTGAAGCTGTCTTCCGCTTGTTTGTTTGCGAGGGGCAAGACATGGCATTAAAACAGTGACATCAAACAATGAAGGCCTATTTTCACATGCTTCTCCAGATAACGGCAGAGCTCCTCTGCACACACCTCTCATTGCTGGCAGGCGTTGACATAATTCAGATAAGAAAGCTCTCTGCAAGAGGCAACTGTTTTTAAATCACTGCTTCAGCTTTTTATGAGGCATTCCTCATATATGGCGATATGGTACGCTGGCAGGTTAATGTAAGCCCAAAACGAGACACTCAGCTAATATTATATTCCTGTTGTAAAAAAAAAAAGATAACATGACAAAAGACCGTTTACATGACATTACACTGACATTGGACTCATGCAGCATAATGACGGCTTCAATGAAATGTGATAGTTAAGACCGAAAAATGTATTAAACACAGTTTTTTTAATCTGTTTTGACATTTATTGTCACTTTAGCATACAATAACTTCATACTAGTGTTGGGTGGTATGTATACCGTGTGATGGTATAAAAATGTCTACCGGTAGAAATTAGTTTAATTAGTCTGGTTTGGGTGCGCTCCCTATAATCAACAACATCTCCAGCAGACTGCTTGGCATAGTTTTGACAAAGAAGAAACAGTTTCATTGGTGGTGGTCATGGCGGACGTGGAGATTAGTGGCAGTACCGAGCAAACAGAGGCAGCCTGACCCACCCAACACGTGGAAGCGGAGGAGGAACTGGTTCCAAAAAAGAGCGCGAGTCGCAACATCGGTTGCCTCAAGATTCTTTGGATTTAGAAAATCCGACAATGATCAATAAACAATACCATGCTAAAAGTGTCGTGTAGCTGTCATTGCTGGAGGTGAACACACCAGCCACCTCTTCCACCTCCTAAAGATGAAACACACCAAGCTTTATTATGAGAGCCAAAAGATGCGTGGCGCACCCGCTGCACCAAAAAATAAAGCTGCAACAGCTCCTCATACAAAAGTGCTTGGTAGAGTCTTTCACCAAAGGAACACTATATGATAAAAATCGCCAGACTGGTCAGGCATTTTGTTTGCATTTGTATACAAATCTGAGTTTTAAAATAAAAGGAAAATGAACAAATGCGACAGTATGATTATTTTTAAGCCATTAATCAAATTTACGGGGGGGGGGATACCGTGATATGCCGTTACCGTGATATGAAATTACTCATACTGTAATATGATTTTGTTCATAACCCCAAACACTACTTTATACTCATTCATGTGTTGTTCTGCTTGTCTGATATCACATTCTTTGAAAACGAAACCTGTAGCCTGTCAAACAACATTACTCCTGTTCATCTGCAGGTCGGACATGAGCTTCTTAATTTGGTTCTTGTGACCACCAACATCGGGCTGCTTGTGCACACTCCACAAGAGGTGCAGGACAGGAACTGAATCAAAGTGCAGCTCCTCCCGAGGCAACCAAAACACTTCTTGCAACATTGATCATAATGCGAGTGGTGTGGATGATGTCAGCACTGATAGATGAATGTTACGGGAATGGTCAGAGGTTGCCTGCAGGCTATAGGTCTAGTGCGGTTTCAGTGAGACCTGGTCGCTGGACCTTGTTGCTTGCACGCAGACGTAACTCATCTGTAGCCCCGGGTGTTAGATGCCAAACGAGCTGAGCAGCAGCATGACGAGGCAGGCATGAGGAGGAGTGGTACTCAGTCTGGGTTTTAACAATCAGTGATGTTGGGCTGGGAATGTCCCTGTACACCAACGACTCTTCGTCAATGTGGATATAACATTTCCAACCACAACTTAAGCCTATATTTCCACTAACAATGTTATATTTAGTGTGCACCACAATGGCAGGGAAAGCAGCGTATTCTTTGGTGGCTTAGTGGACTGCAAAGTATTAACTCTCAAGAGCCCCTTGCACGCCAGAAAACATTGATTCACTAGGGGCTGTAGATGAATGGAGGTAATTACTTTTTTTTTTCTGAGAAACATTTCAAAAGCACAAGTACCTCAGATTTTCAGGGGCCCAATCTGACTGCAGCTGAAAGTGGCTTTCAGTACCGATAAATACAAAACTGAAGTGGTTCTTTTATTATACCGAGACACACATTACGTGACTGTTTAATTGGCAGGGAATTATCACTGATTAACCAGGCAAGACAATTTTGGCAATGTAATAAAAACTGAAGGTAATAAAGCATCTGATTTTGCATGCCACTAGGGAATAAGAATAGGAGTCACCTGGTGATGCTCATCGTAAAGACAGATGAACCAAAGGTTTAGGATGACTGAAACTTTTGACTTGATGATAGATGACAAACCAAGAGGTCACCCAAGATACAAGAAATCATCCTCTGGGAACGACGGGAATCGTTACCAGACTCCACATCAGTCTTTTTATCAGTTCTCCTGCTGTGTCACTTACAACTCATATGTCAAGCTTATTGTATTGTTGGGTAATCCTTAGGGATGCAACGAAAATTCAGCCGCTGGAAATTTTGGACCAAAAATAGCCCATAAGTTTTTCGGCCAAAACACTGTTCTCACCGAAACAACACAGCTGAAACAGATGTTGTGATGACACAAGCAAAACCGTGACCAGCATGCACTTGTCTAGATAAGAGCCATCTGCCAAGAGTTTCATCAAGTCGGGTTTAATTCATTACTTGAAATCCAAACATCCCGATCGCCTATCTGAATGAGAGCAGAATGCGGCACAGAAAAGGAAAATCCCACTCAGTCTGTGGTGGATGTTGTCAAATGAACAAACCAACACTGGGATTAGTTTCACTTCTTCTCACCTTTATTCATAACTTTAACAGAAATCAACATTGCAACGCAAACTCATGCTCAGCTCGGCTGCTTGAAAAGAAAAACACAAAAAAACACCGATGCTACTTCTTCTCCTAGCCACGTCTCTACCGCCCACAACATTTCTCCTTTTCTAGAACTTTTGGGTTGTTTTTGCCCCTTACTTGTGGGCGCCATGATTCTTTTTCATGTATATGTTTATATTGGCTTTGGCAGTGTTTTTGTCCTATAGACATTGTAATTGAGAGATATTATAAGCAGGAGGAGAATTCCATTTCACATAGAGAACAGTCTTAAAGCTTATTAGTTATTGATAATATAATGTTATATAATGTTGATATTAGTGTTATTTATATTATATTGTTCTGATTACACTCAAAATACTCTGCATTTATCTGGTTTAAATTTATGTAAGTGTATTAGGCAGGTGGCCATGTTGTTATAGCTGATCATTGTTCAAGTCTGGGCGAACAACAGAGGACAAGTCCCCCCCAAAAAACATGATGTTGTACTTATTTAGCTACTTAGTGCTGATTCTGCTGATCTGTAAGTACTGACAAGGGAATGGGGTTGTCTACTGGCTGCTATTAATGTCTTGCACTTGTCTGGTCTGTTTGTCTGCTGATTGGTGAGTTTGGATGGATCAAACGGCAGGGTAACTGTGAACAGAATTGCCCTTAGGGGATAAATAAAGTTGTCTGAATCTGAATCTGAATCTGAATCTGATTGTCAGCTATCCTGGCACACTAAAACAAAGTAATAATCATTCTGCAGAAAATTCTACACGGGAGACAAGTGTTTCATCTAGTTAATGAAGGCAGTTTTTGAGAGACCATGAAGTCCAGCTCTAAACCTTCTCTTTCTAACAATATATCAAAAATAAATTCTTGAAACTTTTCCTGTGGGAACTATGACTACAACCTGTGACCCAAACATGTTTTACTTTTGCAACTTTTTTGTAAGCATCTATCAAACTTGAATTCAAACAGACTAGCAGGAGTATTACCACACTTACTTAAGACAGCCTAACTTACAAAGACAAACATAACCTCAAGGCAAATTTATGTTTCACTTTAAATGTGCGTGATCACGGTGGGCAGAAAATGCATGTATACACAGTGAGTCAGTTTTGTGCAAAATGTAAAAATGTAATGAAAAATGTGAGGCATTGAGAAGTCACTGAAGCTCTCAGGTTTCCCAAACTGTATTCTTGGACACATCAATAATGTGAAGCATGTCTTGTACAACATTTAAAAGTCAGTCATGCAGTATCACTGCTGGACCTTCAGATAGCCTGATTTCAACAAAATAATTTTTCATCATGTGTAATGTTGTGAGACACAACATTACACATGATGAAAAACTATGACTTTCATAGTTTCATGTTCCACTCTAGCTGTGAGTGAGAACAGGTTGACAAATGAGACAACATAGATGTTGTTTTGTCATTTTAAATGGTAATGTTTGCTGCTGTCAAAGCACACACTTTAAGTCTAAACATCGTCAGATAAATGTACCAGTAAGGTCCATGCCATTGATCAAATGAAAAAGACCAGAGCTGGCAAATGAGGACATACATTATGTATAAAAACCCTGGAGACTTATCCTCTTTGGTATTAATTCAGGGTGAGACCCATACTTTAGACCATAAAGGGCCATTTACTGCAATAAACTACTGTTTATTCAATTAAATAATACCGAAAAAGCTTTGATAATCAAAGACTTCACTCAAGGACAAAAAGGATTCAGCTGGAGAACCAATTCACAAGCAAAACAAACACTTGAACGGCAGTATACATGATCTAGTGATAGAGGTAAACACAGATGAAAATCTCTGCAAAGTAAATAGAACAGAAGAAAGAAGCTAAAGCAGCAAGAAGTGAAGTTATCAAGATATCAGGAGAGTCATTCAAACTGTCAGACCATAAAAAATACACTGGGGGCCTGTATCAGAGGAGTTTATGTCACTCTAATCAGAAACTTATTCATAATGCATTACAATTAAAAAATAATTTTATTTAATAATACAATAACTTACTAGTGATGAAACACCTTGCAGTCCCCAAGCACTAGAGGTGCACTTACCAATTTGCTGTTATTTTAAACTATCTTAAAAAGTGAAAGTAATATTACCAACTACAAACAACTTATGCAGGCCAGCAAGTGAAAACTTTGGGTAAGATTTCCACTGGGTGTAATAGGCTGTAGAAAAACAAAAGAGTAAAACAAATACAATTAATAACAATGCATCAGATTTCACCAGTGGAGGACACACACTGGGAGTAAAGTGGGTTAAGTGTCTTGCCCAAGGACACAGCACACAGATTTGGGATATGGGGGGATAGAACCACCAACTTTCCGGTTGTTAAACGGCTGCTCTACCTCCTGAGCCACTGCCGCCCTTAAACAAATATTCAATCAATAAAAAAAACAGATTCAACAGCAAATGTATTGCAAAAGCTAGGATGATGAAGGTCAAAAACAGCATAAACTGAGAAATCAAACACTGAAGAAGAAGCTGCATGTCATCACAATGAACTGCTTAAAACCTCGCGGGATGGAACAAGTAGAACAAACATTTGATGAAGAAAATCTAATAAAGGACAATGGAGCCGGGATGAGGTTCTTGAAGTTACATTAAAGATAATCACTGCTGTGCAGCGACAAACAGCGCCTACAAGGTCACTACAGGTCAGTTTGATGACTAACACTAAATTGAGGTTACTTCTTGAAAGATAGGCTCCTGGTACCCTGGTAGCAGACCTCTCCACAATCAGGCCTCTAAAGATAGATGCTGACTGATACCAGCCTCTCGCTTCTATTTGGTCTCTGACATGTTTTCATCCTTCAGAAGACTGGACAGAACTGCTGTGAATTTCCTCACTGCTGTAATATTACTCCGCCACTTTCACAAGGTGCACCAAAATGAGATCTCACTCTGACTGAGACAGTTGTTTGAGGGAGCCAACCATCACCTCAATGGTTACATAGCATTGACAGCTAGTTTAACTGGCATCAGCTAATAAAGAGCATATGGAGACTTTGTTACTCTAGTTACAGGAATGAACAAAGGAAAGCACAAAAGGACTGAGAGTATTTGTTCAGAGCAACAGAGCCAAACATAACATGAGGATGCTTGTTTGGTCCAGCAAACAATTCAACCCCCCAAACTCCTAATTTACCGTGATAGGTGATGAAGAAATATTTTGTTTCCGCTATTCAATGTTGTTCTTCTTATGCCACTGACAACAGCTGTAGATGATAATAGGAAAGTAAAGAAACTGCATTTTGATTTTGGAACAATATAAATTCACTTTGGGACAGTTACAATTGTTTTTTTTTGTGCCAGTTCTGGGACGGTTATAAAAAAAGTTAGTCTGAAGCCATATCAGCTCAAATCTAATTAGAATTTGTTCCTTTAACAGCCCATAAATTTTACAGTTGTTTCCAAAAGACAAATAAGTTACCATGCTGGGCTTCATTTCTTGTGCTTTAACAGCAATACCAAAGAAAAATGTCCTATCACAAATAGGACATTTCAATGGGTGCTTCTTTATCTATGGAAGGGGGGGGATTTTGAGTGGACACTCTGCCGAGTATTATTCACATTTGTTTCATAGTAAGTGCCATCCAGGAACATTTTGTATTCTCGACATTAATACAAACATCTGTTGTAAATAAAACATCCCTAAACTCTGGTTATTGCCTTGGACCCTAAGGAGTTCAGGGTCTGGGTGATTAGGACTAACAGTTCAAGGTACATCTATTTATCACAGGGTTGCACAACAATGCAAGCTCTAGTCTCTTTTTGCAACCCACAAAAACACACACACAAGAAGAGAAAGATTTATTTACAGTACGGAGGAAGAATTTATAAGCCTTAGACCCTGGGGAAACGAAGTTACTCTGTAGTCTGCGAGAACAGCAGCAGATACTCCAGTATCGTTTGCCAGACATCAGCAAGGTCAACAGCCAGTTTCAGAGATGGGTGCCCACTTTTAGTTCCCTTTGAGATCTGCACTGAGATCTCAACCCACCAAAGTTACTTATATTTGCTACATAGAAAGCAACAACCTTCTGAATAGTTTAATTCATCAGCTACAGAGAATCTCTGTGATGGGCCCAGCAACCAAACAGGATGCTCTCCATTGTTTCTAAGAACAATTATGAAGGTTCTGTCACGTTGGAAGTCCATATATACAAAATCTTAAAATACTGCAGTGAAACTGTGTGAGGTCAGTTTCCCTCACATAGCCGCCCACCCTGGTAGCTGCTGTTAGCAACACAAACTTGACTTGATGATCTGCTCTAGCTGATGCAAGCTCCCACTTGCAGAGTTGTTTGATAATGTCTGCCTGGGCAAATTTAAACTAATGCTGAACCAAGAGTACCACTTAGTGAATAGGGGGTTGAGAATGCACAAGCATACAGATGATAAAATGGGAAACAGATACCGTAGTTCCATTTCACATCATTCGTATTCTTCTGTCTAATCCTGATTGTAAGACAAGCATCCAACACCCAAAATGTTTTGGCTGTGGACATGGTTGCAAGTTAAATGCAGCTTTAATGTAATTAAATCAACACCCTTTCAGTTGTCGCCTTTCCAGAGCTTGGCAATGCATCGCTGGTCCTACAGAGGGCCATAAACATTCCTATATAAACTATCCTGCTGGAAAAATGTTCCAATGTGCGCCTTTTTCAATACTCCCAGTTTCGGAACGTTTGACATAAGAGACAGAAAAATGCTGCTGTAGTAATGCTCTGCAGAAGGTAAATGGCTTCTTGTTTTACATGCCTGTATGATAACCTGTACTTGTGTGCAGTGACCTACCTGCATGTTGTGTATATGAAAGTAAATCCACATAATGGCTGCATATCAGGGCACGCTCATAAACATGGCATGAAGCGAGGGGGAAAATATGACTGATGGATGTTGTTCAAGGACATATCCATGATCATCTAACCATAATGCCCCTAGTACTCCAAATAATCTCTTCTATTAGTGTGGTCATATGGCTGGAGCGTGTATAGTCATGGATCTTTAACTCAGCTATTGTAGGTTTAGCTTTTACCCCCCCTCTTATTCTGTATGTGTCCATTGCCCGGAGCTTAGCATCCTCTGCTATCTGCCTCCTCTGTCTCTCGGTATCAGCAGTCAACAGAAACCACAAACAGAGGTTAAATAGGTCACTGATCCGACCAGCAAGGCTTCAAACCCCCAAGGTCCTTTTTTTCTGCAACAGTGTTTTTCAAAAAAGCAAACAGATGTTTTATGCATAAGGAAAAGGAGAATTAATTGATCCAAGCCAACAGAAATTTCCCCAAATGCTGGCCTGATAATAGGGCACCCGTCATCATTAGGATTGATGGCACCAATTTATTATTAATGATTCGTAAAATGAGATCCAGTAGACCCCATTTTAAATACATTTTCCATTACACAGGAGCTGACAAGCAACACTGCTGATTTCACCACCAAAGCCTCCTACTGCCTTTCTTTTCCTGCTGAAAATTCAGTATCCCTACCTCACCCAGCACAATGTCTCATTTTGGTGATGCTTGGATTGTTCCAAATTGAAAGCATTTGTTTTAAAGCTGAGGGGCAAATTTCGAGCCCCATCACAGTGAGGTGGTATTGAGGTGTTTTATTTTGTTTTAAGCCACTGGATACCTTGTCCTACAGTATATACCCAAATAGGTATTCTCTTTTCCTGAAATGTCCATCATCAGCATCAGATTCTGCAACCATCTGCTATAATATGAAATACTGTCAATCAAACTGGCATCATTATAAATAGACATACAGTATGGAAAAATGTTCTGTCTGAGTCATTTACATAACTCATGATTTTAAGTACAGATTTTTTAAGGTTTCAAGTAGAAAAAAGTAAAAAAAAAAATCACAACAATGCTCTGGTATCCAGTACACTTTGCAGAGAAACAGCCGAGCAGTGGTTTTACGATAACGTCTGTCTCAAATTATTGAAACTGTCTTGCATGCCAGCTGGAAAGTAATTGCTGTCTGAATGGATACAAAATAAGGGTCAGACAAAACCACCTAAACTTGCTGAGACATAGCAGTTAATTTAAATACAGACAGCATTTAAACTGCCTGTGGGGCCAGGATAAATTATTTCACAGGCTCCCAAACTAGACATCTACCTTCTTACAGTAGATAAAGCTTCCTCTCCAAAAATACCATTAGCAATGCCTAGAGTGTGCTTAATAATTGATGACAAGAGCATCCATGATAATTAAGAGTTAAGTGAGTGCCTGTGTAGTAGTGCCTTTGCACTTTAAAGGCCCTGTGTTTGTGTATGGTTATAGCTTTGTTTCTCTATACACAGTTGGAATCCATGTTTGCATGTGGTTGCACTCCCATCGCATAGGTGGCAAGTCCTGTAGAGCTGTGAAAACAACACTGTTACAGCTTGGTGGCTTGCCACTTACCCTCCTTTACACTCGCACTGACGTAAGGGGAGTTCTAGGAAGACATTATTCCAAATGCTTCTCGTCTTCCCCACACGATTTTTGTGCAGTGAAAAGATCGATTTTTCTAGGTTCAAAGCTGAGATGCATAACTTTTTAACTGTTGTTGTTTTTTTGCAGAAAGAAGAATTATCCAAAAATGAAAATGTTTCTTCATGTTAATGGGAACATAAAGGCTATGGAAGTTGGGACTCGGCAATGGGGCCCAAAGGTAAAATTTCCAAATTTTTCACACCAAACCCAAGTTGTGATTTCAATCAATATTGTTCTTTCCTTCTGAAAGAAAAGAATACAAATGACAAAGAAATGACACAAAACAAGTTGTTATCCCTCACCTTTTAATCTGGCAAGTAAACTGTTTGAAAGCAGACACTTTGCAGAGCCCAACTGTTGTTGACAACATGCACCGTCAAACTCATGTAAGGCTGCTGTGCTGTGTGCCTGTTATTCTGGAATTAAAGGACCTTTCCACCAGCTCTGTAGCAATCTTTTCATGCATACATATGTACTAATAAGATGAAGCCACGTATGCACAGTTCTTGTAGCTGGTGGAACATAGATAGTCGAAGATGGTCTCAGGCTTCCCTGAGGTTTACTGAGGTATCCGTGACAGCAGTAGTGTTTCATGCATGTTTACAGTTTACAGTTATGTGACACGCACGTACAGACTCTACATGCATAGCAGTCAGTTCTCTGTTCAAAAGAAGAAGTGTTGATAGCATGTCATATAATTGGCCATGTGACTGACAATGCACATCTTGCAATACTATTGCACATCCTAATCGCAATGTTCAAACAATATTTTGCTCAGCCAAAGAATATAACATTCTAACTGCACATTGGCTGCATCATTAATGGCTTGTGTGTCTTTCTTTTGTACACAATGTAAAGAAATAGGATTCCTCTAATGTTGGCTGATTTATGAGCGCCAGAATTTTCTGCAAAATACCTGCATTCCTGCACCAAAATTCCAGCCCTGCACAAGATGATATAATCGTGGGGTTTCTGTGTCTACTGGGGGCACAGCCTAGTTGTGCATTCAAACCGGATGTTCTTACACCGCAGCATAAAACATCACAGACAGATTTACAAGTAATTTTGGCTTTGCTCAGACGGGAGGTGTCAAACTTGTTCAGTTGAAAGATCCAGTTCCTGCTCACAGAATTTATGGCTTGACACCGACAATATAACCTATTTTACTGAAGGCAAATTACCACTCTCTCTTGTCTGGCCATCTAATTAATTAACATGTCAATCATGCTTTGGAAGCCATTGCTAATGACTCTAATGTGTTAATAGCAAGGCCATTCACATAACAACCATCTAGGTCAAAGCATATACATAAAATGAAATTTAAATACTGGTGACCAGAATGTCTCTGAAGTGTTAGAGTAGCTGATTAAGAGTGTAAAACAGAGAAAATAACAAAGCAATGGCTGTATTAAGCTGCTTCTGTTCCGGTGTTCCAGTTACTGTGTGAGCTAGCTTAATGTCACACTGTCATGTCACACCAGGACATGAGAATAAAAAGAGCAATCATTAACATTGTCAGTTACACCAGCATTTATTCTTCCATTGACAAGCTGCTTTGAAAGAGCATGTCTACCTCAATGTGCTTGAAGAAGCTTAATTCTGTTGTGAAGTATGAAAAGAAAGGAAAAGTTGATGGCTTAACATCCATCAGACTCTTCTTTTTATCCTTATGTTGAGCTGTCATGCTATCTCTTTTGTCCTCAGTGTGAACAGATTGTTAGCAGTATACAGCAGTTAACACAGGTATGCATTATATTTCCACCTCTGTTCTTCTGTCTCAGCTGAATCGCAGTGTTCTTATGTGAGCCCAGAGCAGCCATATAGAAACTCCCACTCCAGCAAGGCAAACATAAAAACTAACGCTCTGTGCAGCATAAAGCACCCACCAGCGCCAATTCTGCCAGACGGATCTCTTGCAGACTGTGTTTAAAATGATGCATCAGATATGGTATCCTGAGTGATACACCATAAAGTAAGAAGCCATCAGCTCTTGTGGGAAGTTCAAGATTCAGTTTTTGGACCTTTTTTCTTTTTTTTTTTTTCTTTTTTTTTTTTTTTTTGCAGTTTGGATAAAGTTTGCTAGTTCCAATCAGATCATGCTGTTAGTCACAGACTGTAGCAGGTTTCCATTTTCAAAATTCAGGACGTATGTGTTAGTTTTTCCACACATGCTCATGACATTTGAAAGAAAACCTGTTTCAGAATAAATTTCTTACATGCAAAATATGACAAGGAAGGTAGCCTGTTGTAGCTAACTTAAGGTGACCAGACGTCCCCGTTTTGGATGACCTGTCACCGGCTAAAGCTGTCCCTGGAAATGTCCCCGAGTTAAGTGTTTCATGAATGAGAAAAAAATGTTGCGTATAGACTAGAAAAAGGGTTATTTTACGGTAGCCGAGTAGGTAGGAGGCACGGGTAAGCATGTTGCATGCAGTCCTGAAAAACAGTTGTTACGGGGAGTTATTACGGGGGGCGTGCGCTGCTACTAAGTAGCACCGAGTTGTTGTCTGAGATCACAAAGCCGATGCCGAAATAGAGGGCCTAAAATCACATTTTGCTTAGCACTCTGGATGTCCCTGGATTTAATTACAGAAATCTGGTTACCTTAAGCTAACTAGCCAGCTAAATTATAGGTCAGTAGATGAGGAGGGCCAAATCAGCTCTGCATGAAAACAAGCCATTCACATTTGACACAAAAGGCTCTAGCAAAAGAATAAAAGAGAGTGGGCCAGCAGTAAGTTCACAAGTTCACCAAATCTCCTCTGGGATAAATAAAGTATTCTGATTCTGACTTGCAAGCTACAACATTGGAAAATGATCAGCAAGAATACCATCGACAATGTAGTTACATAACAGGTTTAATTTTACTGTTTGTGCAATGATTGTTCCAACCAGAGCTGAGTTTCCTGTTGCTGTGACAGTTTTTCAAAGTTGTAAATCCTTCCAGATGGTATCAAAGAATGATGAGTACACACGTGTGGTGTCCAATAAACTTTCAAACTTATCAATGTCATTCTTAATGAAGCTTTCCTCCATTATATTTGATCATCTGCCCACACAGCCCTTTATTTGATTTAACCCTGGGCTGATTTTAATCAAAATGAACAGTAATTAATAGCTGACTCATTTATTTAGAGCAACAATTCCATCAAAGCCATATAAGTGATACGAAGATTATGGTCATTCTTTGACATTTGACACTGGGTTTGTAACTGCTCACACTTACTCAGGCCTACATTTTAACTTAAGCTGCTGCCTTACTGACATGATAAATCTGGATCAACATACTGAGGGAAGAAAGTGCAGTGATGTCGCTTGGTACACATCCTGCGTCCCTCACCCATAAAAATTTGAGAGGACCCTGGCGTGACACTGTGAACCATTAGTGGAGCAGGGGTGTAGCTTTTAATGTTGTTATGTTATAAATGTACCTCTGTGTCACTTTCATCAGGCATTAGCTTGAGTAAACTGGCTTGTATTCGAGAAATACAAGCCAGTGAGGTGATCACTAGCATTAGCCAGGGTAGCTTGCATACCACGGTAGCCTGTTAAGTTTTTTTGTTGAAATGATCCAAAGGAAAGGACAGCATTAACAATGAGCACATAGGCAGACACCGCTGTGTTCAGTCTCTTTTTCAGAGCACACACAGCTCTGTTTGTTTTGCTGCTCAGGGCGCTACGACTGAAACATCACAGCCTAAATTGTTTGGCAAGGTGCTAGTGTTGCTGCTCGAGCCTACCAATTATTAAGTAGATGGGGTGGGACTGGTCACCCAGGTAACCAGAAAAATAGGTGATGTCTCTGTGATGCTCTGATCACTGCAGCAGAGACAGAGGAGCCCATTTATGGGACAGTTGGCCTGTTTGTTCCTGCTGAGTGTCGTGGTTAATAGTAAGAAACATAGAGGGACCCTGCTGCACTGTGGTACATGACAATTTCATTTTCGCAAGCAAACTGGTCATATCAAGCCATATTTTTTGCATTAGATGAGTTTCTTTGCTCTATAAGAAATTCATTATCAACATTGTCAAACATCATATCTGTAGAAATGCATATGACTTTTGATCCTGATTCCAAATACCCTGTTTTTCATGTTTTCTTTTCAAAATAAATAACATATATCACAATAAATCACATAAAATCTCGAACACATAATTCCTACCCTTGTCTAAGTGCTGTATCCTTATAATAAAATCATGAAGCGGTTTCTCTCCTGAAAATAATGTATTTTTAGCACTATGCGTTATGTTTTCAGAATGCCAGAAACAGTTGGAGTACACCCAGATACTGAATAGATTTGGCTCTAAAGGATGACATTTTTTAGGTGGCAACTGATGTTTTTTTTTTTTCCCTCCTAAATGGACTCTTTCTAATTCTTTATCTAAAATAGCTTTAAAAATAGAACATATACCTGCATGTGTTTCCAACCTCTGTTCATTTTCCATTACTATGGAGTTCCTGAATAAATACTGTGAGGAGACGTGGGGGGAAATGCCAGCAAAGGCAAAGATTAGGCAAATTGTTGTGATAAATTATTATTCTTTTGATTTCCAGAACATTTTTAACAGTTATAATGATACATCTGTTCATTGTGAATATTTCTACAGTACTGCTGCTCTAGACTCTCTAATTCTTATCAGGGACCCCTTAAGTTTTCAAGGGACCCACTCAAATCCCAACCCAGGTCCCAGGATCTCGCCACACTGAAAGACTATCAACAACACTGGAAGAGCACGGCTCCCTGATGATCTTCGTAAATCCAATATTGTTGAATGCTTTATAGTAAAACCAAATGTATTAGGTCTGAATCTCCACAGATGCCAGGCATTCACTTTCATAATCTATACGAACAGTGTCTCATAAGTAGGAGTGTCCCCTGGCCCTGGTGTACAGGATCCACTCATACAAACAAACAAGCAGGCAGACACAGGTGCAGATGCATGCACATATGCTCAAGTATTTACTTTAGTATTTACATTCCACAGAGGAGCGCGCATTTTCAGCCCACTCTCACAGTGAAATGCAAAAGCACTGAGTTTTTTAGATCCACACAATAGCAGTCTTCCATTATTCATTTCATGTGATTCATTCTGTGTTAGCCTGCTTGAAAATGAAATGCATGAATTCAAAACACACTCGGTACTGTACCATGTAATTAGACTGTATTATGCACTTAACTGCAATTTGAATAATACAATGCAAATCACTTTCCGTTGAGACTTTTAAGGGGAGATACTTTTCTTTTCATTTACACCCACGGAGACAGGAGGAGATTTTCAGAAAAGGGGAAAGATTTTTTTTTTCTTTTTTGTAAGAAAACCTCATCAAGGGGGCCTGGCCCTCTACTTTTGACTCAGCTGTTAGCCTGGTAGCACTTTGTATACGCCACATGTGTGAAGCTAATCACTGCAAAAACAGCTGCAACTGTTCACTAATGGAAAAGCGGAGGAAAATTAAAAGCCTCATACTGCTGACCCCAATTGACTTCTAAAGCCAGGCACACCATCATCTCCAAAAATCCACGTCTTTTTTAAGTTATATGTAACTCTATTCATTTATAAAAGCGACTAATATAAACTGTCTTTATGAAATGCTTCTCAGTTTTAGTTCGAATGCAGTGACGGCAGAAGGCAGACAGTGATCGTCTTTCATAATTCAAGCCTCATAAGTCCTAAATTGAATCGCTGAGATAGAGTTCTCCTAATGTAATTCAGATTTATTGAATTACATATCTACTTTAGATTTATTACATGCACTAAGCATATGAAGCTATCCAGAGATTTTATTTTATATGGTATCTAAAAGTTCAGAGGACTTTGGATGAGCTGGGTATTAAATTACAATGGCAAACTAACAAAGGCTACATAAAACACTGTACTATGAAATACTCAATAAGTAACAAGTAAAAGTAAATTATGTGCTGAGACTGTGTCCTCATAAAAGGGCTGTTCAAACTTCAGAGAGAGACAATATTGGCTGCACATAACTAAAACTGCTGTCTTTTTACTGGAGCATGGAAAAATTGATTGCAGTATAAACACAATTTAATGAGTGTGATGATCACTGGAATTCAAAGCTGATTTGATTGAGCTCCACTACAAAACCTGGCTTTGGGAAATGTAGAATTGACAATCTAATGCCAAGAATTCACTCGACTCTTGTGCGAAATCAAATGATTCCTTGGATATATTTGGATTAGATTTCCTACCAGATATAGAACATGTTGTGACTTCCCATAGCTTCAAACACTGGCTTCAGTGGTGGGTAGAACTGTGAAGATCAGCAGCTCATCTAATCTGCTTCCTCCTTGACTACTAAGAACCGACCAAAAAAGATGACTAACAAAAGCTGTTATATTCTCACCTATCACTTCCAGATTCACATGGAAATGTTTGCATAATGAAAGCCAAAGGCCAAATTATGATTAATTTGTCCCACACTACATGTATCAGATTGCAGATTTTAGAGAAAGCATGTACCTGCCCAAAATTCGTGATGACTATTAGTCACTGGCATGAGTGCATAACCAAGACAGTGGGAGGGAGCTATTCTCGGAGCTTCACTTCAATAAAAAGATTAAATACAGTGCTGGCCAAAACTTTTTCATTCTTATGAACCACAGAGTGCAGTGTCTATGCCAACCTAAAATTGAAGCCTTAAAGACTTAAGTCCTGACAGAGAATTGGATGCTACAGAAATGGTGACATACTAAAAGGCAGAGCACTTTCCCTCCTGAGAGAATAACTGAACCAATGCAGCTAGATAGATCTTTGCCTACTTTAGTGGACAGGTCCTTCAACTCTAAGTGCACAACTTACTCTCTAGACCATAATATAAATCATACACATAATTTTTGACTAATGTATATAATGACAAGACATGCTTTTGAAACAGGCTTGTCAGAGTTGTTAGTTTCATATGCAACTTTGCATTTATCCAAAACCTCACTACCTCAACTCTCAAACCCATTGTCACACAGTTTAATATGCAAAAGTTGTTCTTTGGCTTCTTTTTATATCAGATTAATTAGATAGAAAATACAATGTTAATGTGGTATTTTATGGTAAAAGATTAACTGAGATGCTTTTGAAACCTTTGGAGCTTTCAACTCATCGTTTTGGTTCTCTGACCTGCAGCTTTTTCTGTTTCGTTTCATTTTTACTGATCAATTCTTTCTGGGTAGCCTGTAGCTGTATCAAACTAAAAAGAAGATCTGATAAATAATACATGCATCACACACTGACTGCTCTGCATTTATAACAAAGTTAGCGACTAGCTGTTGAGCATGGTGGAGCTTTTAGATTTGTTTTCTTTAATATTTAGAGATGGACCAGAACTAAAAAGGCTAAAAGTAAAATGAAAATGTTACTTATCTGTTAGGTGGTTGAAGACAACTGCACGAATGTACCGGCACACATATGACTATGAATACAGCTGTACAATTGTGTGTGTGTGTGTATTTATATACCTAAACTGCTGCAGAACAGAATGTAATATTTGAAAAGTACACAGGGATTAAGTGAAGCACTGAGTTGAACAATCAGAAACATTGCATGCCCTCTAGCTAAAATCATTTTTGTTGGTGGGTTTTATGTCTGTTTGTTTTTCAGCAATAAATATCTTCAGCAGGATGATCCCTGGTTTGTTAGGCAGATAAGCCTCACCAGTTCTACAGTGGGAACCAACAGAACTTTTTAAATGGCTGTGTAAAAGTGAGTGTCATACATTTCTGAAATGTCACAGCAGAAAATATAACTGGATGGAAACCTTTTTTTGCAGGAGATTTTACCGAGATTGGAAGATTAGAGATGTCATTTTTAAGTGCCGCTGTTGAAGCAGAGGTTGGAGCATGGCTGTTTAAAAAGCTTTAGGGGAAAGGGGACTAATCTCAGAGCATTTTATGATAATTTGTTTCTCAGGGGAAGAACTGGGAACTGTCTTAACAACTTGGCTAGAATAAGGTCAAGAACACAAGCAGATGATTTCATCCTACTAATTGCAACTCTGATTGCATCTTCTGTCATCATATTAAAACATGACACTCAAGGTTAGGGTCCGTGGACAGAGGGATACCAGGAAGTTGTTGCATCAACATTGCCATCACTTTTTCATACAGTTTTTGTTTTCAATTTTAGATTTACACAACTAGTATTTCGAATTTTAGATGCAACTTTAAGGAGCTAATGGCTACACATGGATTTTCAAGACAACAAATGGTGAAAAATGGCTTGAGGGCTATTTAATTAATGCATGATATCATCGCCAAGTATTCCACAGTATTTCATTACATACAGTGTTTAGCCTATAACAAGTTATTCTAATAAAATAAATATAAACAGGTTGATGAAAGACCATATCAGGGATGCAACTAAAAGCTTCAACTATTTTGATAATCAACAGAACATCAATTAACATAATGGTTTATTATCTGGTTCGATGATGACAATAATTAAATGGCTCTTTCCTATCAGCCTTCAAATGTATTATTACCTTGAAGCTCAAAATTCACTAAAAATCATAACTTCAGCCATGTTTTTGTCTTAGCTTTGGACATAATATTATTAAATGAATCCACCAGTTGGCTAAAATACCACGACCAGCCGGTCAGTATTATGTACGACCCCCAAAAGGTCCAAAACAGTCCTGACCTGTCGTAACCGACACCACTAGACCTCTGAAGGAGTGTAAGCTTACACAATCAGAAACTCCCACATCCACATCCAGTTCATTCCCATTTGTGCCACCATTCAGTTTCTCCCTTCTTGTTACTCAGGCTGAAGGAAGGGTCAGGTACAGCAGGAGAGTAGACTTTTCTTTTTACTTTGAACTGATGTTAGAAAAACACACCGTTTTTATTTTATTCTCAACTTAACTATTGTGAGATTTTGAGTTATTTCCTGTGGATGAATATCCTTATTTGTTTTTCTTTCTGTTTGATAGTTTAATTATTGATAATTTCATATGAGTATTTTGCTTTACACATTTTGGACTGAGCTTTTATTTATTTATTTCATTTTTGGTTCTTGAATATAAGGGTTACATTCGGGTTTATGTTGTAAAATACATAAATATATTAATTTAACAGTCTTTTTGTAATGATTTTGATTAAATACAATAGTTTGATAAATGCTGATGATCTCAAAATGCTTTTATTTGGCTTCACTGATTCATCAGTCTCTTTCTCATTTGAACTGATCAGTTGAATGTCATTCTTGGTGTTGCCCAGATGCCCAGCATGCCTTCTCTTTAAATCCTTGTGAGCTCCTAAGATAAGCAAGATGGGCTCGCAAATTTTACAGGACGCCCTTTATTGAATTTCCCTTTAAGGATCAATAAGTTCTTCTGATCTCATTCTATCTTTTTAATTGCATGCTAAGAGTGAATTGAGTGAAATTTTAGGACACAAGTGTGTTGCTTCAGACACTGCCATTTTGCTGTTTTGTTCACCTGTCACTTCTGGGTCACTGTCTTGCATGCACTCCTTTAGCAGAGACAGTAAAGATATGAGATAGCTCACTCCTCAGTAACTGAGATCTATAAAGCAATGTTATATCCACTCATAGCATTACAAAAGTATGACATAACCAATTTACTATGGACAATTTACTACAGTCTAAAACTTGTTTTGATTGTTGTTGCCCACATTGACAAATGGTTACACCTCTAGAACACATTAAAAAGCAGAGCGTTCATTTTCACAATCTTTCAAGTGGATTGATGTAATTGGATGTGGTTATGAGATCAAACCAGAACAGAAACACTTGGGTACTATGTTTTTTTTTTTTGCTGCACTGTTCTGATCTACGGAAATAACTGACCACATACAAACATACAACCATTACAAAAAGAGTATTCAGCTTAACTGCTCCAGGAGTTCTTGTTCTACAGTTATTTCTTCAAAACTGTATTTTATTTATTGTTTTTTTTTTCAGCTTGATGCCTCAAATGAATCACAGGGACACTAAGTAAAATGTGCAGGTTTTAACAATTACAGCCAAGTATTGAAAAGGTTAAAGTGATAAAAAGTCACAAAAACAAGAGTCAGAGCAGATGGAAATATGATTATGTGATGCTAATGAGTCAAGGACAGGACACTTCATCGTGTTTTTTTTCTTGGCGCAGTAAAATCCATGCAGATAGAAAGTTCAGGTACCTAAATAATTTTCTCAGTGTAACGAAGATTTTTGAAAAAACTTTGCTTTTTCCAGTGTCATGCAGAAGTGGTACATGATAGTAGGAAAAAAAAAACAGACATTTCTTCCACAAAGGTTTTTGACTGTAGTCTTAGGGATAAAGCAGCAATCCAAACTACCATCAAGGAGCTTGAAACATGGCTGTCAGCTGTAGACAAGTCTGGCTTGCTCGCAAGGTTTAAGACATGTATTTACCAGCACAGCGTCCTAACCAGGGCACTCTAGCCCTTGTTGGTGTACAAAGTGGCCCTGTCAACAGTGGAAACCCTGGTGAGGAAGACCAGCAGTTACCTCCGCAGGTGGCTGGGCCTGCCTTACAGCCATTGCAGACCAACAAACTCCAGCTCCCAATGCGCAGCCTTGACGAGGACTTTAGATTGCCTTGGACAAAAGAGTCTATGATCCATCAAGACTCTAAAGACTCGAGAGTTGCTTAGGCAGGCATCATGGTGTGTACAGGCAGAGGTGAAAAGCACAGGAAGGCCTGGAGGTAGCTGAGTCCCAGCTGAGACACAGGACTTTGGTGGACACCATGACAATGGGGCATGCAGGGTTTGGGGTTTGTCTTTAGCCCCACTGCAAGAGGGCACCGCTGCGGATATCACAGCTGCATATGATGTCCCACCTAGCCCAGCTAATCTCCATCTCTGGGGCATGGACGACTCTTCAGCTTGTGCTCTGTACTATCTTGCTATTGAGGTTAACTTGAGCTCATCCTCAGCAGCGGCCTGAAAGCACTGGGGGAGGGTCGCTATCGCTGGCGGCACAACTAAGTGCTGAAGGCAGCTGCTGAAGCCATCTCCAAGGCCAAAGTCCACAACAACAACCAGCACCAGCAAGAGGAACATCATCTTCGTCAGGGCTGGAGAGCAGCCTCAGTCACAACCAAGCAGGTGGCCTACTAACCTCAGCATCAGATTGTGAGCTGAGAGTAGACTTGGGCAAGCAAATCATGTTCCCAGACCACATTACATCCTTGAGGCCAGACATCATGCTTTCCCCTGTCTCTGCAAGGCAAGTGCTCATGATAGATCTGACAGTTCCATGGGAGGTCCGTATCAAGGAGGCAAAGAAGTGGACGCTGTCTAAGTACAAGGAGCTGGTGGAGCAATGCCAAGGAAGTGGTTGGAAGGCACACTGTGAGCCCGTAGAAGAGGGGTGTCGAGGCTTTGCTGGTCCCTCACTGTGCAAAGTTTGCACACTGCTTGGCATCACGGGGGTCGCAAGGAGGAAAGCCATAAAGCACACCCTGGAGACTGCAGAGAGAGCCTCCAGATGGCTTTGGATCAGGAAAAGCAATCATTGGGACAGTGCTGCTCGGACAAAAGCCAGGACTTGATCAACACTGGCTTGGTCACCTGAGGGAGGGTGTATGATGTCAAAAGACCTGAAACACCAAATGATATCAGGCACACCACCAAGAATGTGTCTCAGAGCATCCCAGGATTTATCTTTCATTCACTATGCAAAGTCCTGACCAGTTATGGTGGCACAGGTCAAATTTACAGAAACAGGAGGATTTACTATCTACCTCCTTTCTGTTTTTATTCATTAATTTATTTTTTATGATGACTTGCTTGTAGTGAGGTGCAAGGTCAGTCAAGCTCATTTGGAATGACCTTGGAAAGCATGATCTGAGCTGCCTCTTAACATGCTCTGAGCTCAAGGCTGTGTGTTGTGTTTGTGTTGATTCTCAAGCTTATGGAGGCTTTTACAGATTTTCCAGTATGGTTGGATTGGTTCTCAAAGCCTATAGATGCATCATCCCCCCTTGGCCAATACATAACTGGTATTTTGTAGGGAAAAAAACAGCTTAAGAATCCCGAGACGTCATGATCTAGTTGGGACCTGAAAGATTAAGTGAGTTGTACGTCTGGTGTGTGCCCTTACACTACCCCTCTTTTGTTAGTGATTGAACATATCCCAAAAAAATATATACATGAAAAAATTGTTGGAACTGCGCATTGTACTACAATTGAGGCTTTGTGTTGTAAAAAGCAATGTGGACCTTTGGAGATAGGCTTTATTCACAGCAGACATTTTGACTTTTCTTTTCAAGAAAAGCCCAGGTGTTACTAATACCATTAACAATGACTCTGGTTTATTCATGTGTCCCAGCAGTTCTCGACAGTGTGACGGTGAGCCAACAAGCACAATAGCTGAACCTTGGAACTGAAGCAGCTGAATGGAATAATCATTCATAAATAAATTATTTCCACTTATGATTTTTCTACTGTGACATGTTAAAAGGTTGTCTGAATAGAAAAGGTGTATTATAGAGGCCTGTGAGTAGTAAGTGAGAAACTCATACTGTATTTCTCCTGCAGTATCTTTATATCATGTGTAAAACAATATGTTCTGACTCAGATAAATGAGCTTGATTATTATGGGTTTGACTTTTTAAATGCAATCTGTCACAGTTTTAGAAAAAGCTTAGAATTGCAGCAATGACTTATCAAAGAGTTTGTATAGTAGTCCTGAAAAGGTGACCTATTTTCACTTCATTCATCACATACAGTTTTTCATATTAAGATGTCCACATCACTCTCTTGAATGAAAAACAGGTAAATAAAAAAATGAAAATATATTTGTGTTTTATGCTCTGTATAAGTAAATGCTTGGTTGACTGTGAGCATTTCTTTCTGTTTCACAAGTTGTTTGATTTTCTGTCAGACAAGTGACCACCACTTGATTGAGTTCTTTAATCATGTCTCTTAACCTGCAGTGACTTGCAGCCCATTTAAATCAGTTTTCAGTACCAAGTGTGTGTCATTAGATATGTCATTAAAAAACACATTAGGTTTTATACAACCCAAGTGTGCTTTAAAGCCCACCAACAATCATCATATTAAGTACAGAGTAATAACATATAATTAAACATTTTGATGTCCCAGCAGGGACTGGGGGGGAGTGAACTGTTTTTCTTCAAGTATATTTTGTAGATTTATGACAAGATCTAGGACATTAAAGCCTTATAAAAGGTTGGCTGTCATGGCTTCAAAAATGGAAATCAGATAGTAAATATATATTGGTAATGATACATAAATTAAGATGCCATGTGGTGTCAATGTAAATGACAGTCTTGTCTGAGAATGAGCAGCTTACGCAGTACAAGTCTTTGTTTTTGTTCCCTCTACTCCTTTAGACATAGTTGGTTGCTGCTAGATGATGAAACTAAAGCTTATTTTTATCACATGCAATATGTGTCTGCAGACCCGGAGGCTGCAGATTTAGAGCCTCATTTGTGGGACAGACGTTCAGTCAATCCATTAATTCATCAGACTCTATTTGTATCACTGTTTTCAACCAAAAAATGTAGCACACAATGCTTTACATAAACCCTGATACATGTGCAAGGTTAACACACCAAATCACAACAAACAAAAAACATTAAACAGCAAAGTACATATTACACTCCAGCTGACTGTTAATCCCCCTTCTGCTAGGATGGGACTCATCTTTACTGTCATTCTGGGATAGGTGTAAAAGTTTGGCAGCCGTTTCTCTCAGCGTTCCCTTTTAAAACTGTTTTCTTGCTGCATTTGTTGCGCAAACTTCACAGTCTGACAGCACTCAGGTCCAAGTATTTTTTTGTTTTTCGGGCCAATATGCAGGGGCTTACCAAAACTTTATTGACTTAGGTGGCAAAACTGAGACACTGGGTGGCCAGGGTATGTGTGCACACAGATTATCATCTTTGTCTTTACTATTTACTTTGAACACTCCAATTAAAGTGTCGTAGAGATAATATCCTGAAGTATATTTTTAGAATAATAATATGTGGATCAGCAAGTCTAATGTCAAAGCATATTTATTCTGGTTTAGTAATAAGACAAGATAGAATAATCCTTCACTATTCCCACAACTGGGGGACTTGCATTATAACAGCAGTAGAGGCAAAAACACATTAACTGTTAAACTTTGTTATTTCACTATCCCCCACTGACAACATGATAAAAAGTGTTACTGACAAATCGAATGGGATAGCATGGTAACAACACAGATCTTTAACATTACTTAATTTATTTTGCGAGCAAAATAAGCACTCTTGATGAATAGCTGACCAGTCAACTGTAAAGAAGAGACAAGACTGAGTAACTGTGACGGATATTAAAACACACAAGGAGCTTGATGATAGAGACAATGACCAAATTAATAAAAGCAGAAAAAAGCAGCCACAAACCACAACACAGTATAAGCTTTGGCAGTGTTAGAGGACGAACACAAAAGTACAGTGAAGAGGATCTTATAGAGATGCCCACAGAAAAACACAATTTTTTAAACTTTACTCTGAATGAAACTCCTCTGTGTCTGGATCTTGTCTCACCCTGTCAGGATCCTATTCCCCTGACCACTGACTGACTGTATATTTTCCTTTGACTTATCATGCATTGGTGGGTGGTCAAAAGCTGATACAATCTTGTCTTATGTTTTGTTACAGCAGGTCAAGTGGGAAAAAAAAATCCAGGAGGAAACCATGTATATAATCATCTGAAGGTTGATTGGATGGAGAGAAAGGCAGAGGTCAAGAGTCCAGCGCAGTCAAACAAATCCCATTGAGAAGGTGGCAAAACTGAAAGATAAAGGTCTGAGGTAGGTGGCAAACACTCAGGAGGAAATTAAATGCCAAGAAAAAAAATAAATAAATAAATGTGAAAATAAAGAGCACACAACAAAATAACAAAATAATAATGAAATGTCGAGGAACTAAATAAGATTTGCAAAGCAGTAGGTTGTTATTATGAAAATAAGATGCAGGCAAAGAGAGGGATAGCATCCCGGGGCAAGTTTAGCAAAAAGCCCTAAGGTGTGTTTTATCCCCTCTGGCAGGTATGTCAAGGGTTTTAGCCAATCGTCTGCTCCATATTAATCTATTTGCTTAACTCATTTATACACAGCCAGCAGTTCACTGAACCAATGCTTTCATTAAAGAAAAAAAAGACAAAATTGTTTTGCTTTGTTAATTCAAGTCAGTCTATGAGAGGAACAATGACTAAGAAGTACTTTGGAGATACTGCTGGATGTTTTATGATCATCAACATGTTCATCAATCTTCCATTACATGTCTGGAGCCCTCTCTGTGGTCCTTAGAGCCTGTGATCCTTCTTACACTGCTCTTAAAACACTTATTAAGATGAAAAATTAATAACCCCGCCCATTCAATTCATCTGAGCTCTTAATCCAACTACCGGTAGTTTAAAGTTTATCGTTCAAAAGATAAAAATAAACTGTATTCAAGTGTATCTTAACAGCATATCGACATGACGGTCCATCCTGACACAAAAGTCCTGCTAACATTCATTTATGTGCAAACCCACTGTGGCCAAAGTACAAATTTTCTGGCATGTCCCAGAAACAGGGATGAGATTTTCTTCCCACATTTCTGTGCAATGGCCAAGAAGCTTACACCTACAGCCCTGACATACATGAGAGGGGATGAAATTCTTCCGGAAAATTCCTGCATGCTGTAGGAATCCATCAAAGGGCTCCAGTCAATCATCTTTCTTAGCCTCCCCCATTTCACATCATGTACTTAATCTCATGATACTTGCAAATACATACTTTTGTGTATGTAACAACTACAGGTTAAACTCATATTGGGAAAATACAACTTAGTGAATCTGTTTGCTACTTGAAAAGGCATTTTTTTTCCTTTCCAAAGGGTAGATAGAAATCAACACTAGGAGGAAGCAGAAGAAAAGCAAGTTTAAAAAAAAGGTTCCTGCTTAAAAAAAGCAGAGGATAAAAATCAGCCCACTTATGAAGGAAATACAGTGCCGCTCTGTCTTTTCTTTGTGTCACCATTGTTAAAATCCCAAAGATCTTAAAGAACTTCTGCAAATTCTTAACATAATGGAAACAAAAGGGGAAGCTCTCATACAGAAGATAGCTGATGGAAACGCTGAAAAGACTGCACTTTGTAAAACTGCTTCACATCAGTGTCTGAAGATACTGGATAAACACTGTTGAAGCCATTAGTTATTATGAAGAGAATATTTTGCAGTAAGCTCTTTACTGCATACAGTGAAACATGTCTGGGAAATCTGAATTTCAAATAAGTATCCTTTGAGGACTAAAAGATCCTCTCAATCCTGAGAGGAATGAATGTGTCCAACCAACTACTGACAGAGTGGGAGGTGCACGACAGCAATTTCCTCTGGTCAGACAGCAACATGGGTCAACCGTTACACAGACACACACAGTATGCTCTTACAGTGGATAATGATTGCAGGGCTAAAGAGAGAACATGTTACAATGCAGTCCAATTAAATAGATAAATGTTGATAATTGAAGATGGCGCTTCAGAAGCAGGCAAAGTTACCGCCTGTCGGAGAGGCTAGAGACTCCTCTATTGGCCTGACTGGACCTGTGTCTAACTGAGCTGGTTTACAATGCAGTGGTTTCACAATGAGACATGATAAAAGCATAATAAAAACATATTACGCTGGATGTCATCGATGTGTTTACTGCTTTTCTGGCATGACTCTAGATTCTTCTTCAGATAGACTCATCCAAGGAGGACAGAGGTCATTTTAAGCATGCTCTCCTCTCCTCATGTATTCCTTACCTGCATGGCAGAAAGTGAACAGGCTATTATAATGGGAATATGGAATTGCTGGCAGATTCAACATTTCTCTTACAAGTTTAAATCAACTGTGGTGTTGAGCTCTGTCAGGTTAAAAGATAAAGAACAGTTAATTTCCTGCACTAAATTGTCATATCTAAGTTAAAAGGCAACGCTTTAAAACTGAAATATTAAAAAAAAAAAAATGTAAAGTGAAAATTAAATATCCAAGTTCCCAAATTACATGTCTGGTGATACAATGGGCAGTTAATAACATGTTGAGGATTACTCGACTGCATTCTGATTCATAATGGACTGCCATTTTTATCATACTCTGAGAAACGGTGGCTGCTGACCTGAGATGTTCAAAGAGAGATTTAGAGCCGGTGGAGGAACGGTGCATGAGAAAACATAATAATTAGCAGCTCAAATGTCACAGTCACCAGTGAGCAACCAATTTAGCATGCAGACATCATGTCTCAGCCTGATTCTTTTGGGGACAGAGGCAGAGAGAAAAAGATTTGACAGTCAAGTAGCATTCAAGAACGTACTCTCAAAAAAAAAAAAAAAAAAAATGATAAGAAAAAAAAAACAACTGTCTGTAGGGGATGTGACCTCATGTACAACCGTTCCCTGGGAGATTTCCCAGCCTCTCTGCCACCCAGGGGGCTCCAATCTTTAGGCATGGCTAGGCTCTGCCTGTCTTCAGGGATGCAAGGCCCCTCCAGCTGCAGTATGAGTACTCATCCACAGGAGAATCTCATCTCGGTGAGGCAGCGATCAGACTATCGCACATTTACAGTCGAGAGGCAAAAAGAGTGTTGACTCTACACAAAAAAAAAAAAAGTTTCACAAAAGCATAATATCTGTGTGTCTGCAGCTGTGTTTTGTGTGTCATCAGTTTAAAGTGAGGACTCCATGTCAGCATTTGTAGCATTTGGTCTGTGTGTAGAGGAGTGTTGTGAATTGTTGTCTAGGAGTACAGTTCAGCAGAATAAACTCCACTCAGGTTTCCATACAGAGCTCTCCTGACAAGATTCACAGCAGGTTTCACTAAAGATAACACTTGTGAGGATGAGCTTTGCATGGCAGAATTTATGTCTGCTTACTTGTGTATGTGTTAGTGTATGTGTGCCCATAAGGGACAGATGAGGGAGGAGGTGTTGGGGGTCAAACAACTCGCCTGGTGAGCATGTAATGTTGTTGTGAAGGCCATCGACACCTCCACAGAGCACAGAGAGCGGAGAGAGGATGAAGGCAGGCTGATGTCTCTCTTCTGCCATTTCTAAGCAGATTATTTCTCCTCTGTATTGAACACTTCCTGTGTGCTTGTTAAGCCCCCACCAATGCATGAACACTGATAGCAAGTAATGCTAATCTAGAAAATTCATCACAAAGGTTAAAATGTCACAGACAGTATTAGATAGAAACCTATTCAGTGCTTGCCTCTGAATCCAGTAAAGGCACTTTGTGACATCAATCCTGGAGCTGAGGCAGAACTAGGAATTGCTGGATATCAGAGTTTAAACTATCACAGTAACCGTCTTTATCACATTAATCAGCTTTGGCCATGAAGAGCGGCACTTCCTGTTCACATCACATATTAGACGGCAGTAACATAAGACACGCAGGGACAGCAGAGGAGGCGACGCAGAGAACTGAGACAATACTTCTTCACTGGAAACAGGGAACACAGTGAAACTGTTCCATTACATTGTTCCAAGAGAAAAAAATGTCACACCTACATAAAGAGAGACTTCATACCTTGTTTTTTGAGTAAGTGAGCTCAAAAAGATATATTTTGTTGCTATTATCATTGTTATCCAGTTAGACAGATGGGAATGCTTAAGCATGGTCCCGTGAATAAAACATTTATTCTATCACTGTTTTTTTTGAAAGAGCTTGGAGTGGTTACGTTTTTAATTTTTGAAGTTCTGTGAATGCATTTAATGCAGAGGTCAGTTCATAAGTAATTGTCTTGAATAGGGATGGGCAATAAATTATACTTCACAATATACCATCAGAAAAATCCTCCATAATAAATATTTGCCATCTCATGATAAATACAATAAATGCAAGTTGATGACATAAGCGCGAGCTACGGACTCGCAGCCATAGCCCACACAGAGCAGAATAACAAACAAACTTGGCCGAAGGTAATGAAGACGATGTTTCTGAGCAGCTGGTTACTGAACAAGGCTCCACATGAGGGATTTCCTTCAAGATTTGGACTTGGTGTTGTCATGGACTCAGACCTGAATCTTAACAGCCACATAAAGACAATTACAAAGTCAGCCTACTATCACCTGAAAAATATATATAGGGTTAAAGGACTGATGACCCAGCAGGATTTGGAAAAGCTTGTCCATGCATTTATCTTCAGCAGACTCGACTACTGTAATAGTGTCTTCACAGGTCTCCCCAAAAAATCCATCAGACAGCTCCAACTGATTCAGAATGCTGCTGCTCGAGTCCTCACTAAGACCAAGAAAGTAGATCATATCACCCCAGTTCTCAGATCTTTACACTGGCTTCCCGTTTGTCAAAGAATTGATTTTAAGATACTATTGCTGGTTTTTAAAGCACTGAATGGTTCAGGACCAAAATACATTTCTGATCTGCTGGTACGTTACGAACCATCCAGACCGCTCAGATCATCAGGAACAGGTCTGCTCTCTGTCCCCAGAGTCAGAACTAAACGTGGAGAAGCAGCTTTTAGTTTTTATGCTCTTCATATCTGGAACAAACTCCCTGAAAACTGTAGATCTGCTGAAACTCTCAGTTCTTTTAAATCACAGCTGAAAACGCATATGTTTGCCGTGGCCTATCATTAAATCAAACCTGAGGCCCCTAATCAACATCTTCATCATCTGCCTGTCTTGATCTCTTTTTTCTCTCTCTTTGTTTTCTTTTATCTCCAACCTTATTTTAGTTTTGAATGTAACTTTATATTTGTTAAATGTCTTTTACGCTGTTTTTACTTTTCAAATTGTGCTGAATGTTTTGCCTGCTTGTCTCATGTAAAGCACCTTGAATTGCCCTGCTGCTGAAATGTGCTATACAAATAAACTTGACTTGACTTGACTTAGATGAGTCCAATCAGGTATGCCTGACATCGGACAGTAGATCTGCTGCTGTTCACTCTGTGCAATAAGAGTTTTCAACAAATTTGAGACTTGTTTGATGTCATTAGTTTTCTTCATAACCTACAACTCAAACTTGTGGTTAAGTTTCTTATTTGACTATTCCAACTGGTGTTCTCATGACAAAATGAGTAAAAAAAAAAAGGATTGGAATTTTATTTTTTATTTAGCAGGACTTTTATTGTTACCGCCAGAATGGCAAATCTTATCGTGATAAATGTTTTGGCCCATATCGCCCATCCCTAGTCTTGAATAATTGTGATCTCAATATCATAAGAATTATTGTGATGACTCCTTTTGCCATAATGGAGCAGCCCTAATTCACTTTATTTCTTCCCACAGATTTTCTGCCAAAACCCAGCCTGGCAGCTGCTATACTGTTCTTACTATTCTTACACATGGTCCATTACACTATATCCACATAAGCAACAACAGCTGAAAAACTTTGGATTACATCCATATATATACTTCCCTGTTTTCTGTGAAAGTTATTCTTTTTCCTTTGTTTTTGACCACAGAAAGTTGGACAAAAACAATATTTCTCAAGGTGTAAACTTCTTCTTATTACTCAGTTATCAATTAACGCTGGTTCAGCTGAGTTAGTCCTGTTGACCTTTTAAATTAAATATATAATGTAAGAAATGTGAAGCACACTATTGCACGCTCCAGCAGTTAGAGCAAACAGGGCTGGTACACACCATGTCCCCATGCTGAGGCCCTAAGGCAGCAGTGTTAGCACTAAATTGACAAAGCAAGTAGATGTGACAGGAAGAGTCATAAAATTGCATTTTGTAGGATCAGTGTTTTTCCCCTCCTCTCTTGTCCCTCAGCACTTCAGAAATTAGATCATTGCTCAATATAAACCAATATGATTTATCTGAGGCTAGATCCACGTTGGCCTCTCGTTGAGTTGAGATGGACGCGGCTGCACCAGGGAGCCTCAGGGGAAAACTCATGTAGATTTTCTGTGGTCATAGTAACGGAACAACCGCGTTATTTCTCTCTTTTCATTAATGGACACATCATCTTCATGACTTGGTAACTGTGAGAAGTTTCATTAGAGCTGGTATTTCTATCCATGTCCTTTATGGGCTTTTTTTTCTCAGCTATAAGAGGGTAAGGCGCAAACTGCAGCAGAACCACTCTGACAGCAGCACATAGAATAAGGTATAAGAGACTGAAATGTTGGCCATCGGCATCAGATGTGTTCATAATCTGGAAGATGGTCATAGTACACCGCAGCACGGTTGTGCATGCATTCATTTCAATGGAATAATTGTTGCTTCCAAGGGAATAGCCCATAAAACCCCAATGGCTTAGCAAAGATTCATTGCTCTTTTTGCAGGACTCTGACTGCTTGGCTCCAGATTTTATTGCATGAGAGAGACAGCTCTCTGAGCAAAGATGAAATGTATCAAAGCTACAGTGGCTCACTCCCATCCCTAATTTCTTGGGTGCTACGGTGGAGTAGATTTCAGAGGGACTCTGTGAAGCATGAAGCCCTGACTGAATACTGGGTCAGCTAACAATCTCAGACCACATAGATACAGTAGACCTAGTTTCATTTTGGTCCACACCTACTGCCCAGCAAACTGACTTGAGATATAATTGAAAACATTGGATTCGAGCTTTCTTTGCTCCACAGAACTGACCCTAGTTGACTTTAAATGTATTCTGAGGTCATGGATTATCTTCTAGAAGGAAGTGGAACCACCTTTTAAAAGAGGTTTTGTCATGCATGTCATTGCTCAAACAGCTCCTGGTGTAAAAAGGCCAGACCTTCCTGCCTTCAATGATGAATTGTGATACAAAGTGATCATGTAAATTATCATCATGTAAATCATCATCTCTTTATGCAAATCTACACACAGTAATAGCTGCTGATTGCTGATGCTATTACTGACTGTAGGTGATCATTTAAAATACTGCTGCATGCCATTTATTATCTACAATAACCTACCGCTACCGCACGATCACAAACAGGGCGAGTTTATTAAGCAGCATTAATATCACAGGCTCTAATAAAAAAGAGTAATGTGTGGATACAGTGTCTGCACATCCAGTGGGCTCTGGGACAAAGGACAAAGATATTTCCATTTGCAGTTAGATTCTCCATAGCTGCGAGCAGGCATGAGCAGGATAAAGCAACATTCAGCTGCTCAATTAATTTTTAAAGTTTTTACACGATTAAGCACAATTTATTCAGAGGTTATTGTATCCTCCCCTCTCTTTTCATATTTTCTTTTGATTATTTTGTTGGACTGGAAAAACTTGTATTTAAAATGTGCAATAGTGTGGTGGCTGACAGCGGTATGTCGTTATGGCAGAGTCTAATCAAAGCAACAACAAAATTGCATTTCCAGTCATTTCTGTTCATAAGGTGTATTCTAAATTAATATATTTATACATTTTAATGATAAGCTGGCTGGTTTTTCTGGGGTGTCTCTAAATTAAAAGAAATTTTACTTTAAAACCATATTCAGAAGTTATTTAAACTTAAATTGCTACAGGTAACGTTAGCTTTCCTTTGATTTGGGTCACTAAAATTGGAGTCCTGACAGTGTGTACTGCGACTAGCCTTTCCACTTTCACAACATTTTTGAAGATGCACCTGTTCACTTAAGCCTTTGGGGAAGTATAGTTACTTTTATTGGGTCTTTTATTTATTTGCTCTGTTTTATCTTTATTGTTGTTATATCTTTTTATATGTTTTATGCTCTTATTGTTTTTATAGTTTTTTATTGTTTCTGGCTATTTTACTGTTTGCACTTTGGTAGGCCACTGGCTGTTCTTACACGTGCTATATAAATAAAGCTAACATTGACATTGTCATTAACAGGGGCAGTGTCCAAATGCATACTGAGTATAAACAGCCAATGCAGTGTCCACAGTGAAGTCTATCTTCAAACTTGGGGATGAAGGCTGATATTCATACAGTATTGACCTATTTAAATGTGAAAGAAAGTGCAGTAGCAAAGCAGGCTTTCTGAAGTACTGCTGTTTGATACATAGAGGGAGAGGGACCTCCTGTCGTAACCTGATCGTTGCATGCACTCGTGAACTAAGTAAACCAGTCGGTTGATACGCATCGCTCAATTCGCATCACTCAAGTACAATGTGCATCCAAAAAGTGAGCCACATTGTACAAAATAATAGTTGCCTCACAGACTGTGATCCTGTATGAAATGTTTTAGATTCACTGATTTTTTTTTTCTTTTCTGAACTTTCTTTACTTGCTTAGATTAGTTTGTTTGCCAGACTTTCAATTTCTTTTGAAATTTCTAGGAAATCCACATTTGCCAGCTACTGCTCGGCAAATGTCATTAGTCCATTTCACTGAACATCTCCTAGTAAATGTGACACAGTCCTTGACTCCGCAGTAATAACCTTGTGTTGATCAAACTTGTAAAGTTTTAAAAATTTAATGTTAGCCTCCTGGGAGAGAAGCAAGTTCTTTGACCGTCAAACTCTTAGAGGCAAATATCCCAAATTCTCAACGATCAAGACCATCCCTGAAAGCTTTTTCAAGGCTAGATAACACAAAGGTTTAAGTGGCTCTTAGACTGATTTCATTATTCAAACGTCAAACTAAAAACTACTTGGGGTCAATACCTTAAAACTCTGAGTAGACAACACAGCATACCGGCATCATCTTGCTGATTCAAGTTATTTGCTCTCACTGCACATACTACAAGCATGTCAAAACAAGATATACTATATATTATTTACCACATATGGCTACCAGTGTTCACGTGCCATGTAGTTCAATGCAAAAAGCCACAAACCTCTATTTCATCTGCATTTGTGGGTGCTTGAAGTCACCTCTGGCTTGTTTTCAGTGATTTTCTCTCACCAGCTCTCATATTCAGATCTGCAGAAAGGTAAATTTGACTCTGATTTGTGCCAGTCTTCAAAAACTATGACAGCAGCAGGATGATTGCAGTGCTGATCTGGTCCACAGAGTCTTGTTTGTTGTCAGTTGTTAGCCAAGCGAGTCTTCAAAACCTCAACAGAATTATTGTCAGTTTTTAGTACGAAGCAGTATTCTCAAGACACGCAACAAAGCAGAGCAACAGTAGTACTGGCGGGAGAAATGTCAAGAGCCTGGTAATGTGATGTCTGCTTTTTGTGCAAATTTTTAAATATATTTTCTGGCCTGTAAACCGCTGGTGAAGAAAAAGTGCTAATCAAATTGAATGAAGCTGAACATGTGACTCTTTTTTTTTTGTTGCTTTAACCCTTCTTTTAAATGCCTCACTTAAGATATCACATTTCATTAAAAAGAACCCTGGCCCTAATCCTGACAACAAAGCTACGTAATGGGAAATATCCCGTGTCAAGTGGCCCTTTTACGGGAGAGATTAAAGGATAACTCCTGCTTTTTGATGTGGGATTCACACAGTTCTCTGTCTTTTGAGTGCTATAAGAACAGATAAAAATGGAATACAAGTGCCAGTGCCAGCCTTTTGAAGGTATAAAACAAATCAACGTGTTACACATATGCCAGGTGCTTTGGAAACACTCACTACAGATTATATGGCGGAAACGGAAAAGCAACATCTGAGCAGTCATTTCAGCTTTTCAACTACTCTACCATTCAACTACTTCTCTGTGAGGTGTATCCAGTGTCAGGGGAAAAAAACAAACACACTTCAGTCACATAATATGTCATTTCTGAAGGTGAACTAACACATTGAATTATGAGCAGATACTCAATACGAGCATTATTATTCAGAGTTTCTCACTCTGTATTGTAAGATGGTTTACATAAATGCTCATCTTGTCTAATGGCACACAAACAACGTCAACTTTTTTTTCTATAGCTAAGGAAAATAAGGGAAAAAATGTGACTCTCCATCTTGAGCTTAATCTGCTCACACCGCCTGGGGCTTGGTGTCCAACCTCAGGGGAGCCCTGGCAATCCCCCATCTCTCTGGAGACCAGGAGAGAGAAATGTGCAACAGAATGGAAATCACAACACTCTCAGCCCTCCCAGATTGCTATTGAAAGCATTTACAGTACACTGGGTAAGACAACCAACCAAGCATTGATAATGAGGGAGAGAGAGATAGAAAGAGAGAGTGTTACTTGGGCAATATTTACAAGCCAGTCAAGAGATTTAACTCTTGATTTTATTCACCCCTCTAGTGGAGATGGCCATCAGTGGTTTATGTGAGCTGCAGCCTTTTGATGCAGCGTTGGTGATCTCGCAAGTGATCTTATGAATGAATCAAATGAGGTGTGTTTGTGTCAGGGGTTTCAGACGCAGCAGGACAGGAAGAAGAGCCCTTAACAGTTGGTCTACCTTCAATCACCTGCCACATAGAGTCAGAGCAAGTTAAACAGTGAGACAGAAAGTGAGAGTGGCATCTATGAAATAATTATCATCGACAGGCGTGACATGCTTTAGAGGGCTTATTGTCTCCCCATTCTGGTAACATGGGGGTTTCTGAGGGAGTACACTCTACAGATGACTACATTATTTATAGATCAAAGAGGAGCCAAAACAGAGCGATCAATGCATAGTTGAGAAAGCCTAGCCAGTGACTCTAACCTGGGTGTCTGGGTGCATAGCAGAGTGCTGCAAAACAGGCAGGTTCAGGGCTTTTTTGATGGCTTCCTGCCCCCTGTCCCCAAAATCATCAGCTATCAAATGGCCACCCCTTTTTCTGACTAGAGGGGAAAAAACTGCAGCCTTCTCTTCATTTGGATGACCATTCAATGAGCCAGCGTGACCATTGAGGAGTTTAAGCTGTTTGGGCAGATCCATCAGAGCGTTTAGAGCCCACATTTGTGCATTTGAACACATTCCCGCACACAAGCACACAAATCTTTTGTTATCACTAGAGGCCTCTGTGAAACCACCACACCATGTGTGAAACGAACCGCTCACGCAAGCCAGGGCGGTGCAAAAGGGATAGGAAGTAGGACCTCAGAGAGTACATTAACCCACACCGATCTGCCAAATACAGCAGCAATTTCACACCTGAGTGGATAAAAACATGACCATTCATTTTTGCAGGTGACAGGGAAAACCTCACAGCTTGAATTCGACTGAAATGCAGGAGACATATGTTCACCATCATTCAAGTGAGCCCAACAGCAGCAAGGGAAGACATTAATTTCATCCTAATTATCCATACACTGTGTGAAGGTATCATTACACAGTTTAGTGAAATCAAAGGACAGTTTTGAAATGACTTCCTCTCATTGGCTGTGTCTGATGTAAGGTTTGTCAAAAACAAAACAACATCTCAATTCACAAATGTAATTAAAAACATGTTAATTAAATATACACTGTTTTAGTAGTGTTACCTTTTGCAACAGTTTCTACTTACTTAGTAACAGGAAATTTTTGTTGTGCCATCTTCAAGGGTTGTGGAGTGCCTGCCTGCATAAACACCGAGTCCTGCCTCATACCTTATTTGCCTTAATAGATTCAGGAAGTCATTTTTCCTTCATGTTTAAAGGGCACATCTCAATTCACGCTGGAATTATCGGAGGATGGTTTGCTACATGGTGAGACTGAAGAATAGTTCCGAATGACTGCAAATAAGTCCTACTTTTTTAAAACAAGGCATTCGTCCTTAACATTTGACTCGAACTTATTTCAATGCAAGCTAATCTCAAAGGAGTGACTGATGTACTTCTGCGTTCAGTGGATGTGTACTGTAGATGAAAAGCTGTCTGGCTCCTATTTGTTGTTTTTAAAACTTCCCTCCTTCGTCAAAATTTTTGATGTGCTGCTTCTATCAAGACCTCGGTGGTATGAACTGCAAGTTGACACTGCAGGAGAGGAGATTTGAGATCCTTTGATGTGTGATTCCCAGTGAACAAGGGCGAATGTGATGTACATGCGAGAAAAGACACCAATTAAGGAAGCCGCTGCACACCCAGGGAAGTCACACCATTATTTCTTTGAGACCTGCTCAAACTCTGACAAAGGGCATGAATCTAACCAAACCCTTAGGCGAGGGCAGGAAGGGAAAAGTGTGAGTGCAATCGTGGATGTGCGCGTGTGTGCGTGTGTCTGTGGTGTTGTGTGACTGGCTTGGACTCTGTGTCTATATGTGTAGAGAGTATCTGGCACAGTCGAGCTCCAGGACTGGGGAGTAACAAACAAGATAAGACAGTAAAGTAAAGAAAAAAGGAGAGGATTTTTGGAGGATTTTCAACAAGAGGAAGCTCTTGAGACAAACAGGGTGATACTCTCTAAGCCATAAGACACAAGGGCAAAGATCACACTGAACCAGTTTCAAGCACATAAATTCAATTCTGGAGATTTCTTTTCTTTTTATTGGTTGTTTGAACAGTTTTCAACAATGTCTTTATTTTAAAAGCCCCAGATAATCGCACAGACTTGTTTTTTGATGGTGCTTTAGTCAGAAAGTCTTGAAAACCATACAATGGGAGAAAGATAATTAGATTCATCTTTCCTCACATTCAAAAAAGCTAATCATATTGACTAAATACAGTTTACTACTTTGATTTTTTAGTCATTGAATAATGTGGTAAAGGGAACTTTTACAATTGATTCATGAGATTTAAATTGTTTTAGATTAAATCCAATCGTTTAAACTAATTTTCTTTTCTGCCATGTCTCTAAGATCTGTCTCCTTTATAACATCTACTTAGGAACTAAAGCTGATTGTACAGGGTGTGATCCATAAACAAACCGTGTTTGATGCGCTAAGAAAAAAAAATTAACATCCATCACTGGCGCGTTTATGTGAACATAAGGTTGTTACTATAAACTATATTTAGAATGGACGTCATCTGCCTCCTCACTGGGTGATGCCTCCATGAGAACAGCACCCCCTGGTGACTGGTTGCAGTGTAAGTCATAAACCCTGCCTCCTCCATGTAGTTATTGTGAGTCTGATTTTTGCTCAAGTCCTCCTTTTTCAGGTTTTTTTTTTACATTTTTTTAAAACTTGTTCAGGTGATAAAAATCATATATTTTCTATGATTGACACTTGGATACAGTCAATGGGCATACTAAGATTGTGTAGGACATCCACTGTATGAGCAGAGCGTCATCACAACGTTCTTCCACTGAATGCTACTGCCTGGTTCAGGAAATGGGGAAAATTCCCCCAAAATACTGGGAGCAATTCAGCTTCAAAGTTGTACAAAGACGGGAGGCGGAGTCACATTGTCCATACTACATACAGTCTATAGCTGCCACACAGCAGATATGAAGCATTCCATTAAATTCAAGCTGTGTTGAAATAAATGGTTTGTCATATTTGACATAGCCTATCCCTCCAGTAGGGGTATCCCGATACAACTTTTCTACTTCCAATACGATACCGATATTGTAGCCTTCAATACTGACAGATACTGATACTGATTCGATATAAGCACAAACTAGTGCATAACAAGTTTTGCACTCAGTTGCAATGTCTTTTCTGACTTCAACAAAAAATACTGCCACACAGCCAACATCACTCATACGCCTTGATTCCTTGTTAGTACCCTGGTACACACTGTTGTTTTGATCATGTAGGCTCTGCCTGCTAGATCTGGGCGCTGCTAGATACAGGTGCTGGAGCAGACATATGGAAATATATGGAAAAAAATAATCCTGAGGTTTAATTCTGAAAGATTTATATCCCTGTCAGGAACTTACCAAAAATTCACCTTTTATCAAACCCACAAAACTCAGAAATGTTTAAAGTTGGAAACGAAAAACACGCGCACACACGCACACACACTGAGCAGTCACTTTTTCACTGCAGCAGTGCTGTGTGCAGTTTTGGGGTTTTTTGCCATCTTTACATCGAACAGAAAAAGATGTTTAGGTATCGTGTCAAAACTTGAAATTCTTATATATTTTAAACAAAGGTATAAAATCCTACAAACAAGTTTTAAACAACACACTGATTCTGTGTTGTTCGAACACAGGCATCATGAGAGCCAACTTAAAAAAAAACTCAAACCTTTTGTTAATGAGCCGTGTCTAGGATGGCAATGACTGGCTTCAGCAGTGGAAATGACAGCCCATCAATAATGTCAGTGACAGCTGCTGGACTGATGTTATCTATGTGCTCCATACTTCAGTGCTGCTGACATAGTGTTTGTCCGTACTTGAAGTGTTTTAAGTAATAGCTGTAATTTTATATGAAAGCAAACAGCTCCATCTGTGTGGTCTCTGTTTACCACTTTCCTACTTAAATCAAGTATTTCATTGATAGCACATGAAACCTCCAGCCATTTCTGCCAGAGGTTTCCCTCTTTTCTTGTGTAACTGTACAACATTGTAGAGCCAACAGCACAGCAGACTACATGATGAAGTCTTTCTGTATTGGACCCATAGACTGTATATAGAATGGACGCCGTCTACCTTCTCGCTGGGTGAAGCCACTCAGAGAACAGCACCCTCTGCTGACAGGCTGCAGTATAGGTCATAAATCCCACCTCCTCCGGCCAATATTATCTTATCAGCTTTAAATCTGTATACTGCTGGATGGCGGAACCAAGTTGTCCATAGTATTTACAGTCTATGATTGGACCACATCATTCACAACTTAAACTGTACGTAGGTCCGAGAACTTGTTTGGCTCAGTTGATTTTGCAGGCGCCTCATGTAAAGAGGCCACACCTTACTGCACTAGTCGTAGGATTGACTCCTGGTCATGACATGATTTGGTGCCGGCCAATCTCCCTCCCTCTCCCCACGTCCTGTCCTGCCAAAAACGTTTAACTTTAGAAACCCCTTTTTTTACATAACTGACAACTACAAATAATGTCATATTGCTTAAGGTAACATATTGTAACTCCACAGTAAAATTAATTTAAGCAGGTTTACTAAAAGACTGAACTCTTGTGTGATCCTCAATATCTTGGCATTTACCTAATATCCTATTTTTTTGTACGAGTGAGTCTTCTTCCTTATGAGCCTACAGTCTGTAGGAGGTAAGACAAATCAGCCGAGGCAGAGTGTCACCAGTTGTCAGAGAGCCCAGAATTCATTGTGGCTCTCCTCCAGACAGTGCTACATGGTTGTGCAGTGAGGACATCAGATATAAGTCACTTACTACATTTTAATAGCCCTCATTTAAATAAAACAATGTACCTTCTATATTTTACATGAAATTATAAGTCATTAACAAGTTAGCCAAGCCAATTTTTAATGACTTCACTTCATCTCTTAAGACCTTAAATCAGCGTATCACAAAAGGGATTTTGTGGGTTCGAAGTTGTGGAGAGAGGTGCTGATTAGAGACTCAAATACTGTAGCCACTGCTAGTTTGACTTCATACTTCCCCAAGTTTGCAAGGATAAAATGGAAGAGGTTTAGCAATTGCTAAGTTACGGTTGCTATGGTACAGGATAATTAGAGAGCATGCACATGAGAGTGTGACTCAGCACTATCAGTGTACGAATGGAAGCCAGTGAATAAACATTAAGAGGATGTGAAATAAAGCATTGTTTATGCAGCTGCTGCCTCCGTCGGGTAAGTAGCCTTTGCCAGCATCTCAATTCTATTCCTGTTTTTCAAGACTGTCCAAGGAAGAGCGAGGCAAAAAGACCAGAAACCAGCTTTTATGGCTGCTTATATAAATGCAGATGAGGAGTCCAGAGTCCTTAAATCTGAGAAAGTGAGTAAACCCTCCAGATAAACTGCAGAGGTTTGTGCTTTGAGTGAGAAGGCAGTGATCTGTTCACAGTGTTGATATATTTAGCAAAGATTAAACCCTGATGTGATGCAACTGCAACACAAATGGTTGAAATATGCACTTTTCTTTGTGATTCTGTAAGGTTCTGCATGTAATTCATTAAAAAAAAAATTGAAGAGTCTCTTTTACAAGAGTGGCAGGTAACATAAAAATGACTCATTCAGCAATTCTCTATGTCCAAGATTCCTTCCTTTCCTCTCTGCTTTTGTACCGTACGCTTTTAGCATGAGCATTTTATTTTGAGGATATATGTCATGTAATGGCAGAGTTTCATTTCCTAGGCTACATTTGCTGTAATTCACCCTTTTCATTTTTGAATGAATATACTCTTTCAAATTACATTTCACTTAATGGTATGTGAGCATTCCAGTCCCGAAGGATTCTTCACTCTAGCTCTATGTAATAACCACAAAGTGAAAAAGCAGCTCCAAACATCCATCAATCCTTTTTCTGCTATGATCCAGTTTAAACACCACTGGGCTTTGGGAGCAAAGCCGCAATAAAAGACACTTGACATTGTACATTGTCACATGATTCCCTGCCAACAGTAGTCTTTATGCGGGAGATCAGCTCAGGGGGGATAAATATGAATAAGCAGTGTAGATATACAGTACAAACAACATTTCATGAAATATTTCTAGAAGAGGATGTTTGAAAGTTTTGTTGCAGCCATGCTCTTGTGTTTCTGTTGGTGTAAATGACACAAGCTCTGAGGTCTGACCAAGGTCTGTTCATATCCGTGAATCCTCAGGGTCACCCCTAAGAAAAGCATCACGTTTTTTTGTATGGAGTGCTGGTGCATAACCTGATCAATAAGTGAGACGTGGACTCCAGGTTGGGGTAGTACAGATTTCTTTGTATTTATCTATTAAATACTGCCAGCAGCAACCAATGTGTCACTGTCTGTCTGCAACTGGAAGGCTACAAAAGATTAACACGCAGCCCGTTTCAGGTCATTTCGGGTGATGAGCTGGACTTCACAAAACTCTGTACAGGACGAGAAAGAACTGCCAGAGGCGGTGCTGTGCGGAGTGTGAGATTACACCCTGGTGAGCTGGCTAATTGGCCAGTGTTGTGTTTTACGTCTAGTCTGCTCATGATTTAACTCCTTCATTAATTGGTGCTTGCTTATATGCATCCTTTGTAGTTACAAGAAACTTAAATCAAAGAGTTTATGCTAATGTACTTTCTCGCAATGGACCTCATTTTTAAGTACTCAGTGATAAAGGATATTGTGTAGCACCAAAACATAAGTCAAAGCAGTCTTTTGGTTGCCGAACTCCTCATGGTTTGTGTTAATGTGATTTATGGGAACTTACAAATCTGACAGCACAAAAAGCACAAGAAGAGGTTCAACATTTGAGGACCAGTCCCATGGAAAAACTTCAATAAGCTGATTCTCTAAATGTAAAAATCTGGTTGAGGGAAATGAAAGAACTAACCTTCAGCACAGTGAGACATTTCACAAGGAGCTCAGGTCCAATTATTGACTGAACAGATGTTGTGTTCTTATTCCAAAGCACAGTTGTCATGTCAACCAGCAAAACGCCGAATAACACTTCCATTTGCCCTATTTTAGTTATTAAAGTAAAATTATTGAAGGACAAATGATCGTTTGGGGTGTGCTGTAAGTGGTGGCCTATTTTTTAAGGCTCCTGTGAAGAATTTTCAGTTTGTTTTCATTTGGCGCCCCCAAGGACAAAGAGGTCTTTGCTTGTTTTGTTTTGTACATGTTCAGTCTAGGGCTTTCAGTTTTTATCTAAAACCTAACCCCTCAATTTAAAGGCCATCTAAGGTAGCTTATCATTTGATCCAGCAGAGGGAGCTCTATTGATAACTGACCACTGAATGACACTTTTGACCCCAGTAAACTAATAAAGCGATGGATTTCCTACAAAAATGGGTGATGTATGATACACCCAAGGCTGTCCTGGGTAGATCCTGGAGACACCAAAACACCTGAGAAGCTTCTTGTGGAAATATTTTGGGTTCTACACCACAGAAAACACAAAAAAGAGAGAACGGGTTGAATGCTGACTCCAACAAAGCAGCTGTCATACTCTTCAAGGACAACAAATCTCACCTGTGAGGCAGAGTAGCTACATACAATGCTTGTGAAGCCCAGGTGATGCAAGAAGGAGCAAAACAACTCTGCTTTAATACAACCAGTTCAATTTTGCATGTAAAAAACATTCAACCCCAACACTCTTTGAAAGTAAGAGTGAAAAAAAGTGTTGTCACCAGCAAAAACCTGTCAGAGACTTCAACTTCAACTCATTCAACAAAAGGTAAGAAATCCAACCACCCAAAGGCGCGAAAGGATGCAAAAAATAGTTCCTACATTGCTCTCAATAACCAGCCTTTTTGCACAGTGTTAGACCTTGGTTTCCACAGGCTAATGAAAATTCAGAGCTTCACTGCCAGAGCCTGAATCTAACGATGTCCTGTTGCCCAGGTAATGATGACAAATGTGGTTGAAACAATCAGAGAGGTTACCATGACACTTCTAAGATGAAAAGTATCTTTGTATGTGCACAGCGTGTATGTTTGAGTTACTATTGTTGAACAAATGAGACACAAGCCTGTTTGAGGTTCCTAAATATTCCCAGCACCTGTCTGTGTCTGTTTATCCCCTTAATCACAAACAGCTTACCAGAAGGGCCTCAGTATGTTGCACTTTAGAGTCTCAGAAGGTTTCAAATGCAAAAGAGTTATCATTTGAAAGAGCATAATGCACGTGTATTATGATAATAAAAACAATTAAATCCCCATAAATTAAGGTTGAACACATACAGGATACCAAGTCTGCATTGCAGCTCAGTGGTCTGGTGCGACACAGCTTTATCCTGCGAAACAGCCCTGGTGGCACTCATTTGGGGAACGGAGCAGTGAGATGATGAGCTCATCAATGAGAATATAGTCTGTTTACATAACTGCATGTGTACAGAGCCCCCAGGTGCCTAGCAGCTGTGCACACGTGAGTTATGCAGAGACCTTACCTATACATAAGAAACAGAAGCTTCCCACTAAGGGCTGTGGATATAACTCTGCTGACCCACTATATACCAAGAGACCAGGCCTATAGTGTTTTAGGGGTGAGTGTCACAACAATACTCACAGGAGGAAGAAAAAAACTATTTTTTTTCTTTACTCCACTTAAACTAAAATAATTTCTCTCTACATCTCAAAGGTTTTTCCTCCTCTTTCTCTCCTTCTCTCTGGCCCACAGGCAGCATCTATCCACACATCCTTTTATTGGGGTGATTGACTATTCATGGGCAGGGATGTATGCTGATTGTTGACTTATGGAAGCATGCTTAGGATTGATAGACATTTATGAAATGTACACGTGCCTATGATCAAATAAGTTTTCAGCTCTTCATAAATCCAGAGTAGTTTTTCTCTTAGTATCAAGGACTTTTATGTGCAAATCTATACACAGATTCAATATCACAAGGCCCATTGAATATAAAGTCAGTCATTTGCTGTGTGCAGGCTAATAGCTGCCTTGAGTAACATTAGCGTCAAAATGGCACCTGTATTCTTATCACATATATTTGTAATGCCACACAGTATGCTATCAGGAATCTACATTAAGACCCTTCGTAAAACATTACATACAACAGGAGCACTGTAAGTTAGTTTCACCTCCTGGGGTAAGAGCAGAAGTGAGAGGCTTCTGCAGATGCCACCGACTCACTGATTACCAGAGTCCAAAAATCACTTGTGCCTCCAGAAACAGTGTGTGCTCTTCATTTTGCTGCACACCTATTATTTTACACTCTGTCTGTCTGGGTAGAATCTATAGGGCAACAAAAATTACCCGCACGTAGATGTTTGAGTGTTTCTCTGAAGCGTTTAAGGCTTGATGTATGCTATTATAAAGGCAGTGTGACGGCAGCTGCATTGTCAGCACTCTGCTGTTCGGCTGGCTGATGGGGGCTGGGGGCTGTTTGTGAGCTGCTAGACTGGGGATATGACAAGATAAAGAATATGAAATAATACACTTTGAACAATAATTACATTTTAAATTAAACATGTGTGTATTGAGGGATGCTGGTTCATTCATTATGATTCTCCTGAGATTACTCATACACTTTTCTAATTTATCCATCTCATTTGACAGGTAATAATAACATCACTTTGTGGGGTGTGTGTTTTGCCATTTTTCTGTTCTTGCCATTATAAAAATCATAAATCTGAGAAAACTAAGTTAATGCCAGGAAAACCTAGACTGCGCTGATCCTCAGGCATGACAGACAAGTACAATATCATCGTCCTTGTCATATGATGCTTGAAAAATTCCATTTGTTGCTTTTAAATTGAAGATATGGCTGCAGCACCGTCCTCGAAAAGTAGTTCTAATGAGGCTGAATAATTTTGTAATGTATGGCATCATCTTAAGCCTATTTTTGTGCAATGGAATCAATCTCCAGGAAAACAGGATAACACACAGAGAGACACACACAGACACTAGCAGTAAGTGATACCATGACAAGTTCACTCAACCCTTAGACGAAATTTAATGGTACTCCATTCCTCTACTTTCATATCGAACTGTCGTCCATATTGCACAGCCTTCGAGGAACACTTAGCAATCAAGGCGAAAAGCAGACACTCCTAAGGCACTGTTCCAAAGCAGAGCCTCATTTTTCTCAGCCTCTTGTTCTCCTCCACGCTTCATCTTATATTTGTAGACGGACAATCACACTGATTCAGTCCGCCTGTAGAGGGTTTATAGAGAGGGAAATAAACGCTCAAATCCAAATGAAATGTAATGGCTTGTTTTAAGGAGAAATAAATACTTCTTTTCTGTTAAATACAGCCTCTCAAGTGTGCATGATGACTGAAATCAGGCGTGGAGCAGAGTACCAGGTCGCGCTGGAAGGCTGAGCTGAGTTCATGGCACCATCACCACGGAGAAATTATTCAACATCACTTTTAATTAAGTCAGTCTACACAGCAGCTCATTACAATGGAAGGTTGTGTGTTTCAAGCTTGGTTCAGTTCAGCGGTAAGTAAGCCAATCTCTCCATCCGTTCAGGCACACCCACATGCTCAGTAGTGTCACTGCAGGCCCATGAACATTACAACATACGTGACAGCGGTAATATAGTAAATGACAACAGAATAAGAATAGCACTGGTGTGTTTGCTTTGCGGTAGTGTAACCGACCTGCGAAATGAAGAAAGAACTAGAATCTTGTGTACATATTGTTTCACAAGGTGGAACCTGCCCTTTATGGGATTAAGCCACTGTTAGTGCAGCACAGTAGATCTCAAATACAGGCTTAAATATGGATGATACATGCTTCGTGCATAGAGGGAGAGAAAATAGAAGAATCAGTCGAAGAAAAAGCATGGTATAATGTTGGGCTGTATGATATGAACAATGCCTCAGTCATCTTCAGCTTCAAAGCCTGAGTTCAGCCTTCAAGGGTATATATTATTGTGCTCTGGGCTGAAAATGTCTTTATTTAAAGAACACTTGTCAGAACTGAATACCTACCTTGAGATAACGGTTGTAAAACAGAGAGAGAAATGCAGCATTAACAACCGGAGCTTTAGTTTCTGATCCTAATTAATGACCAAGATGTGATTCCACATATTTACAGGTTATTATAAAAGAGCAGCCAACCTGCTGTCTTTCCTGCTCTCTTTCATAATCAGTGTCAGCATCAGTCTTTGAAAAACCAACATTCGTCAGACACTACTCTATAGTCACAGTTAAAAAATAGATTACGACTAAAGACTGACATGTTCTTTGTGTGTGTTACGTGTTTTGTTAACTTGCTAGATTACAAACACCATTATCACGATTAAGCTGCTTACTCTTGTTATGACATCTGCACATACATATTCACAAAACTTAGTTTATCTTGATTTATCCTAATACTTCTCAGAAAATGTTTTTTTTAACTGACACATAATTTAAAAAAAAAATCTAAAAAAAGATATTCAGTAAAAACAAAAAAATACTCTTTTTACTTGTGTGTCCTTCATTTCCATGTAAGACAACATATACACAACAGGGCACGTGGCACAGTAATTGTTCCATCTCAATCATATGTTCATTAATGTGGAGGCCCATTATCGTAATTGAAATTAAAACTTGATGAATCTCTCTGTCTGCTCTATACCAGTACATCAACCATACATTTATATTACAAAATGAATAAAACACAAAGGTAAAAATGAAGGTACATTCATCTTGAAAACGAAGAGAACAGTCACTATAACTGGTGGTCTTCATTTTGCCACATCGAGTTTGTTTCCATGTGATGAACATATGGAAAAAGGAGACCAATTTCTGCCGTTTTCACACTCCAATTTGTGGTGAAGGAGCATCACCTTCACATAATTCGAGTCCACAAGAAGTCATTTACATCTCAGTGTTTGCGCTTTTTCCACTGAATTTTCATGACTCTTTTGGAAGCATTGGCATTTAGCTCATTAAATATTGAAGTACACATAACGTGTTAACTCCCCACCTAAGGGCTGCATTAGCTATTTGCATTTGGACGCAGATGATTTTAGCCGACACAGCAAAACAGCTGCTTTTATAGTTGGCAGAGGAAACACTCTTCCTGGGAAAATACAGAATAAACAATTCCTCAAGAGTGGAGAAACAGGTTTCACAGCCGATAAAGTTGAGAAGTGAGGAGGGATTATTAAGTGAATAATAAGCTAGGCGCTTTGCTGCCAGAGGTGTTGCAGGTCTCGCTTATGATAATTAACATGTAACTCCAGCAGTTCACTGCATCACAGGGAACAAAACAGACCAATTAGTGATAACACGGATCAACCACAAGATTAAAGGCCCTCACTTAATATTCTGTCCGGTCCCTTGTGACAAACAGCTCTGACCAGTATAGATATATGGTCCACAAGACCTCTAAGACGGCAACAAAAGACCCTTGGTCCTGTGAAATGAGAGGCAGAGCCTGCTTTCATAATACTTTCTATTGCAACACATTTCACAAATACAAGACCGGATTGAGATCTGTGCTCCTTTTTAGGCCAAGTTAACATCCTAAATTCTCTATCATGTTCCTCAAACCATTCCTGAACTATTTCTGCAATGTGGCATTACGCTGCTGAGAGGGGTCACCGCTGGGGCTTGGCTGAGTGGTTCCATACCCCACCCTGTGCACAGAGGCTACAGCTCTCATTATCGTAGAAAAACACTATTGTTATGCAGAGATGTACCAAAGCTGCAACATTTTTGAGTTTTTTTAATGGTACAAGTCAAAATAAATTCAACATGAATACCAGCCTAGTAGATTTTGCCGCAGAGGATACAAGTGCCAGAGTATTACATTGCCTCTGTGGGCTTGCTTTCATCCCATTAGAGTACATCTCAGTCATTTGCGATGTACAGATTTCCATTTCTTTAGCTGATTCAGATTCCAAAGAAAGGGATAGAGATGGAAAATGGCAAGAGATGGATGGAGAAATAGAGCAGAGAGAGAGAGAGGGAATACAAGACAAAATCAGATCATTTGACGTCTGGTGAAACTCTGACTGTGTTGTCAACGAAGGTCATGAAGTACCCGGCTGTCTGAAAACTTTAATCTTAGTGAGAGCTCTCTCATGAGAGAGGTTCGAAGTGTTTCAGTAGATGTCTGCGGTATATTTTCACCAATGGACAAAATTGCTGCGCCAGGAAACGACCTTCGTTTATTCTGCAGTAGGTCAGTGTTTTTTTCATCTCTGCTGATCAGCACCTCACACTCACACTGCTGACATGTAAGCCTGCGTGAGTGTGTGTTGCATGGGCACATGGCAGAAAACTTGCGGCTTGTGTATGTGTGTAAATCTTGGATTGGCCCAGAATCTGCTATATTTGAGGAGGCCCGCCAAAGAAGCTGAAAATTAGCAGTGTCATTTGTTGAAACCAGCACCAACACACTCCATTTCAGACTTTGTTATTCATAGCAAGTGTTTTGAAGCGACTGAAAATAATTCAAGATAATCTTGGGTTTCAATGTTTACATTCAGTTTCCAGTGGCAAATATTTCTGATATTGTTCAAACACCTGACCGACCTCCTCTCTCAGATGATCATTATCAGATGATCATCATCTGCTCTTATGGAATGAGCACAAATCCTCACGCAAGCCTGTTATTCCAGTTGCTTACACATTTGCCTGAAGCAGAAAGCTCATTCGTGTAAAGGCCCATTGACAGGTGCCACGGTAACAAGATGATCAATGTTACCTATTTAACTTGTCACTAGTTTCAACATTGTGGATGATGGGTGTATGTCTTCACTATCCCTCACGTCTAATTCTGGCTCTCTCAAATATAATCCTGGACTAATAAATTAGCTGTCACCCATATCCCTGTCAGAGTGTTACAGCCTTCATAGGTAACCATGGTGACGGAAGCAACAGCTCAATTGGTAAATCATTTCTCTCTGAGAAATGCTACAATGCTGCTTTCTCCTCTGGTACATAATACCACACTACATGCTGGTCTTTTCATCTGAACTCTGTCCAATATCAGATGGCCATCGCTCTCTGTCTACAGAGGAGGACTGGTCCTGCTGCTGCATATTGTGGCCTTTTTTTTCACCACTTGCAAACTCCTTGCCCTCAAGCTTACATACATTTTTGTGGTCAGACTAACTCTCGCCCTAATTAGCCACAAATCACAGAGTGCATTTGAAAATCATCACTAACCTTACCTATAAAGAACACCAATAAAAATGAGCAGGTCTTCGATTAAAGCATTTAAAGCCCATATGTAGAGTGGGGCAGCAGAGTACATTAAGTGATTGTACTGGATTTCTATTGACATTATGCTATGAAGAGAGAGGACTGCACACACACCCACACAATACTGGAACCATGAACTATGAGAGCCATGCTTTCTTTGCTAAATAAGTCTATGATGTAGTGTAAGACTGCCTCTTGACTATAACTCTTCAAAGTATTATTGTGCCATTCTTTTTTCCAAGAGAGAGAAACAATCTACCCCTGATGAATCTGTATCATTCAGAACACAGTTTTGGACTATGTCTAGGTTTAGCAATGTTCCTAATCATCCTGACAACAGTGGAAATAAAATCCAGATCATTTCACCAGTCTTTCAGCAGGAAATGCTCAGAAATCAGTCCAAATTTAGCACCAATTTGATACAGCTTAAAGGGATATTCTGGCGTAAAATTAATTTAGGGTCAAACACACTATAACACAGAGTTAGACACCCCCCAGAGAGATGAATGTTGCCAACCGTTTGCTTCTCTAGTTATACCAACTTTAGTAACGACCCGAGGATAGCAATACACAGCGGTCTGAGGAGCCATAAACAAACCTCAACTAAAACGCCACTCTATAGCCACAATTAATGCTCAGAACAGCACCTAACTTCATCAACAATACATTTAGGGTCCTAGCCACAGCACTAACCATCAAACATCTTTTTTCAACTTTGCCTGATTTCTTTTGCAAAGAGACTAAACACAACTCACCTACTAGGCCTGCACGATATATCGTTTGACTATCGTCATCGCGATGTACGTGCGATAGTCACATCGCAGAGCCTGAGATATTGGAGGTGAATGAACTCATTTAATTTCAAGGGTAACTGACTGAGATACACTGCATGTGACTCTGCATGTGCTTTGCAGCGATCCACCAATCACATTCGTCCTTAACTCAGTTGCCAATCAGACTCACTTCTCAGTGGCCAATCAGACTACCCTGCCAGCTGTCAATCAAAATCAGAGCGGAGGAAACCCACCCCTGCACATGTTCTGCACATGGAGGGCGACGTGTGTCCGCTGAGAATTACCTTCGGAACTTTACTCATGACTGTTAAGCCCAACAAATAAGAACTGTATGGGTTTTAAATTATACATTTCCGTGGACCACTCTACTTTAAGCGGTGCGCGTTTTGCGAGGTACATGCAATTCTCGGAGGACATGCGTTTCTCAGCACAACACCGCTAACAACAACGATCGCAAAATGAGCAACGAACAAGCGAAAACCACCGAAAATGAAGATTTGTTGCCAAAAAGAAAAGGAAAGTCAGTTATCTGGAATTATTTCGGTTAAAAGAAGGACCAAAACACGTGTTCTGTGTTAATCTGTTGCCACAATAACGTCCCAGCACAATAAGAGCTAAAAATATCTCTGAGACAGAAGCCATTCTAACATTCACAAAAAGAGGTAAGATCAGTGCAGGGTAACTGTCCTCAAGATTTCAGCAGTGCAGCATAACATTAAATGCTATTCATGTCATCTGGTGAAAATTCCTGTATTTTTAATATCGCAATATATATCGCAGGGTTGAAAAAAATCGCAATATTATTTTTTTCCAATATCGTGCAGCCTTATCACCTACTCTCTTCCAGCAGCTGCTTGTTTGTAGCAAGACCTCAGGCCAGTCCATTACGGACTGCTGTGGGGTGACGCAGCTCAAGGAAAAACATTTATGATCATTTCTTCATGGAAATGCAATCAGACCGAGACGCAAAGTCAGAAGAACTACCGCGTCTGCAGTGCAAAATGATTAATATGGTGATCATTGATTCAAGGAAAGTAATAATCCTGCGGTCTTTACTAAAGTTGGTATAACTAGAGAAGCAAGCAGTTGGCAACATTTATCCCTCAAGGGGGTGTCTAACTCGGTGTTACGGTGTGTTTGACCCTAAATTAATTTTACGCCGTAATACCCCTTTAACATTCCTTAAAACGATACAGCATGAAGCCTATCCAATTTAATGGCTATAATTAATACTGTGTTGCTCTTCACGACATTATTATGTGTATTTTCACACAAAGCATAAGGGAAAAATACTTAAAATAACTAAAAAAAAAAAAAAAAGGGGTCAACTCAATAATTCAAGTGCTAAACGGTACTAAGGATGCAAATTCAAAGAATTCTCCATGACTTATTTTTAAGGTTTCAACAATCAGTTAATGAATACTCGTTAAAAGGAAAGTTAATTCTTTGCAAAGACAAACAGCAGGCTCCACTTCTTCCCTTAATCTGTCATTTTCCACGTCAACATAATGTGTATAACTGGCACTTGTGCATGACCGCAGGCTATAAAGAGGCACCTCTATGCTCTTACTGTTTATTATGCTGAATATGTTAACATGTGGAACAGGAATACAAATAATCTCCAGACATACAGTCCCAGGAAGAGAGGCTCAAACTACATATGAAATTGATCCAAGAAGAGACGAGAAGAGAAAAACATTTCAGACTCAGTGTACTGTGCCTACTTTTTCCCCTCTGAGATAAGTCATCATGTCCACATGGTTGTGTCTCAGTCAGGGGCACAACAGGGTCATGATCAATCAGGTGGCAGAAAACACACATTCTGACAGCACCAGGGGTATATAGCTACATGCATGCCAACATTACCTGTCTGGTAAACCTCTCTGCACTGACCTTCCACCAGTCTGCCAGATTTGAATCCAATGATAGGTCAAGTTCTGTAAAAAGGTTGTCACCTTTGTGTCTTATTGGCATAGAGCTGTCACGATGACAGCAAAATAAAATACTGGAGTATAAACAAGCCAACCGAAGCACATGACAGACTTCTGCACAACCACACATGACATCACTTCAACCAAACTCAATATCCCAACCACTCATTTGAAAACATCTCAGCTCGCAGCCAAATGAAAAAGGAAAACAGCTAATTCAGACGAGGCAAACTGTAAATTCAGCACCAGAAAGATTTCTGTGGAAAGAGGATTCATCCTTAATTTAGGGGGAAGTTACAGTCATTAAAATGACTGCAGCACAGCCTGGAGTCTCATTAGCGTAAAGAAAAAAGATTGATGGTATTAACACGGAGATCCAAGTGACTTCTAACAACTGTGCTGCATTATAAACTTTAACAGGGGGAGGTGGAGGTGTTGATCATGCTTATGTCAGACAATATGCAATAAAATACAGTTCACAGCAGAGACAGAGCGTAAATAACAGTCCAGTTAGAGTCATATCTGATCGCCACCTCCTATTAACCATGAAACATTATAAAAACTCCTTGATCACATCTTCTCTCCATCTCAGTGCAGGATCGTCCCATGCTAAAAAAAAATTAAATGCTGTCGTCCTTTCTCTTCCTCACTGAATAAGTACAGGCATTTAGGCCTAATCCTTTTCCTTTTTCTTGTACATCCAGCTCTAATGCAAAGACTGTCTTCATACGATGGAATGGTATTAGAAACAAGTAGATTAAACAAGAAAATAAAACAATTAGTTAGATATCTCTCCTGGGTGCAGTGAAAACTACAAAAAAAAGACAAAGTCGAAGAAAACTGAAATCCAAGTAAAATGTTTTGATAATCATTTTTAAACAAACATCCTCATTAATAGTTAACAAGGGCAAAGTATTCACATCCTTCATCACAGAAAATATCATACCAAGAACAAGCCGTATCGATATGATCAACAGATCTCAATCATGTTTCCAAGCAGCGCATATCTAAATAACCTTGACTCTGGTTCCCTCTGAAATCCAATTGGCCTGTAAAATCTGTGTACAGTCTGTGTCAGACTCTTTAGTTATCGAGTAACAGTGCTGCTGCTTCACAGCCTGTTACCGCAGAGGAAGACATGTAGGACACATTTCCTCACTCCTTCAATCTTCAAATGTCGAGAATATCTCTGACTATTTGATTAATGCAGCAGCTGGGAGCGAGATCTAATTGTAAACGCAGGATAAACACTTACTGGGAGAAAGGAAACGGTGCACATCAGACCACTCCCTAGAGTATTGAGGAAGGAAATTGGTTTAAAGGATGAGAGACATGCTTGCTTACCAATGCTAAGCCCTGTCACCCCCTCCCTGTTCTCTTTATCTAACCTTCCTCACCTCTACTGCAGCACCTTTGATATAAAAAAATGCAAAAAAAAAATATGTGACAGAGCTCTTTTACTTTTCCATCCCCTATATATTAGCTATGCTTGTCCTGCATGCACAAAGTCAGATCCTTGGATCTGATTGTAACTGATGACTTGAGAAGATATAAATCACACTTGAATTGCAGCCCTGAGATGTCAGCCATTAAAATACAGTGCTGGGTACCTGGAATACATACGAGATGATTGGTAGTCAGCAATGCTGTATGACACAGGCAGATTACCTTATGCAAAGGTGTTCAGCTGAATGTTTAATATGTAGGTCTGTTGAAAAAGCTGTCAGGATGTATTTCAAGTAACGTCTCTGGGAATACCATAAGGGGAATCTTAAATATCCATGTAGATCAGCCATTCTATGGGGTTAAAGAAATCACTTCCACACAAGAAAGAGCTGATCGAACAAGTCCAGACCAAGAAAGTGGATTTAGGTGTTTGCAAATAATCCGTCGGCCTTGACTGGAGACAACACGGTGCCACGAGGAGAAAACCTGATATCCACAAATCACTCTAGCCAAAAGTCAATTTAAGAGCCAGCTAAAAAGCATTTTACATCTAATTACATCTCACAAATCGTCCTAGACAGCACACACACACATGTTCACCACAGCCATTTATTTGCGATACAATGACAGCAGCCCTCACTTCAAGGCTTACAGTATTAAGCTTGCATTGTGAAAGCAGTTTTTAACATAATTACCTGTGTCTGTGCCACTGCTGATTCCATTACTTTTTACTGCTTTTTTTGTGATTCCTTGGGAGCTGATTATAAAAGTGACTTCAAATGAAAAGATAGTGCGCTTTTTAATGCTGGCACCATTTCACTGGATTACATAGTATCCCACTCTACAATGTGTTCAGACTCACAGCCCCAGGGATAAGTACCCTGGACCTGCACTCACATTAGAAAGCGGTGATTTTAGGATTAGGTTTTATGTAACTGGTCTCAGATGCCATGCCATGAAAAGGCTAAGGTATGAAATTGTGTTCAGTGAGCCAACCATGTAAGCAGATTAGATGTTTCCAAGTGTGGTGCACTGTAGAGGCGTGTTTTTTTTTTTTTTACTTGGAGTTAATGTTTCCTTTTAATAATACACAGCAGCGCCAATACTCAAATGCCACACAAGTTATTTTTCAAGCATTCATACTTACACTACCGGCCAAAAGTTTGGAAGCAAGACCAAAACAGGCCAAACATTTGGAAACTACTTAAAGCTTCCATAAAAAAAGGATAAGTGAAATGTATTTTGGGATGTATTTATTGCACGACTAGACTTTGCTTTCATTGATATGCACCATTTTCCTCAATTTACCTTTAGGTATACATTGATGTTACCAGACCATTGCTGAATAAATGTCAACAAAAGAAAGGAAGGGCTTAGTTTTAGGTTCAAGAACATTAGCAAGAGTCACAAATTCAGTGTAAAAGTAAAAAAAAAAAACAAATCACTTTGCATTATTCACTTTTACGTATTGGCTTTTGAGTGTCTGCATACAAAAATCCCAATAAATCTCACCCGTGTTCAAAACTCTGACAAACTATCGCAGTCATGGCTAGAAAGAAGCAACTGAGTAAAGAAACAAGAGTACAGATTTGTACTGAGAAAAGAAGGATACACTGAATGGGAAATTGCAAAACGCCTAAAGGTGTCCAACAAAGGAGTTCACTACACTCTGAAGAGACTAGAAGAAACTGGAAGTTATGATGATAGAAAAAGGCCTGGAAGAAGGAGGGTCACTTCAAAAGCAGAGGATAAACATATTGTCATCAGTAAGAGAGAGCAGCGAAAAACAGCACCACAAATAAAGGAGGAAATCAACATGACAAGGTCAAAACCCATATCTCTGACAACCGTGAAAAGACGTTTGAGAAAGGCTGGTCTGAAGGGTTGTGTATCTGCAAAAAAAACATTTCTTCATCCACAGAACAAGAAAAAAATGATATGAGTGGGCAAAAGCTCACAAAAATTGGACCTATGATGACTGGAAACAAGTCCTCTGGACCAATGAAAGCAAGTTTAAACTATATGGTTCCAAACGCAGAGTCTATGTCTGCAGACAAACTGGTGAACGTCTCAAAGCACCATGCGTAACACCAACAATTCAGCAAGAAGGTGGTAGTGCCATGGTATGGGGATGTTTTGCAGGTGATAGAGTAGGAGATTTGTTTAAAGTAAAGGGTATTATGAAGAAGGAACAGTACCACTCCATCCTCCAGCACCATGCTGTTCCATCTGGACTCAAAAGTCCAAAGTTGGACCCAAAGTTTGTTTTGCAACAAGATAATGATCCTAAGCATTCTTCCAAGCTCTGTCAGGGTTACCTAGACAAAAAAGAAGAGGAAGGTGTTCCTCAAAAAATGGTTTGGCCCCCTCAGTCTTCAGACCTCTCTCCAATTGAACTTGTGTGGGATGAATTGGATTGATCAATCAGAAAAGGGCATTGCACAAATCAGCAGTCTCTCATTGATGATCTTAAGAAAGTTTGGAATGCAATTCCTGCTACATACCTTAAAAAACTTGTGGAACGAATGCCTCGTATATGCCAAGCTGTTGCCAGAGGAGGTTACTTTGAGGAAAGCAAAGTATAAGCAAGAAAAACTCAAATACCTGGTAATTATAGTAAAAATGTCTTCTGGTAAGTTTTTCTTTAGATAATTATAAGGTTGTTTTTTTTTGTTGCAAAGTATTACGATCTTTTTTTGTACAAATTTGATCTTGCCTCCAAACTTTTGGCTTGTAGTGTAAGTTCTCTACTTGAACTAACTGTGACAAGCTATTGTACAGGGCTACATGTATCTCTTAACTCCTTCATGTTTTGAGCCAACATGGCTTGCCACTGGCAGGCTCATGCCGATAAAGAGGCGGTCGTTAATACTCAGCAGTAACAATAAAATCCCTGACCAGCCAAGAGGACTTTTGCACTTTATGAGATGAATACCTGGGAAACAGAAAGCCCCATACCTCATCACTAATTACACTTTTACGAAGGAAAGCATAAAGAAAAACCCCCAAGGGACAATGCTTCCATTAAACATGATAAGTGGCTTATTGTGGTACAATAAACCTCACACTAGCAGGCAAATGAGCATGCCACTAACAAACCATGGTTACCCTTTCTCCTGCTGGCCCTGGGTTGATTATTGTTCTACCGTATTTCCATCTCTCAGGTTATACTTGTGGCTGTAGTGGACTTCAGGAGCTTTTATAACTCTCACTGCTCTGAGCAAAACATTTTCATAATTGGAAGATGTCATTATTAACAGCCGCCTGAAAAGGTTAGACCTGAAAGGTCCATGGAATTTTTGGAAGACCTTCAAACATAATTAAATACCTCCCAATTACTTTGAAGTATCTCCTTTTCACAATCCGGTGTTTGTTAAATAGAGAAGCATCTCATCCGAATAAACAGACCATGACCCAAGCAAGACCTTCTCTGGTTTACTGGTTGGTTTACTGAAAAACTGAATCCACTTGCCAGATTAATCCACAACAAAATAATGCAACATATATGTAAAAATAAAAGACACTGATGATTCTGGAGGCCTCTTAAGATTACAAAACAGTCCTTGGGATGTCCAGCTGGACTCACTGGATCCTTGGATCCTGCTTGAATCCAGCAACATTTTAAGTGAGGTTTATCTGATTATCTGCATGGCATGGTGTGGTTTGCTGGTCCTTTCAACCAGTCAAGTGTAACATTTATATGCATTTAAGGCCAAGTCTAGCTATCCAAGACGCCCACATTGGCAGTGACAGACTGTCAGTCCAGCAGATTGTGTTAATAGCCAATTCTCTCCCACTTGGTTCAGTGCTAGTACTGCTGAGGACTCTCTATTCCTACTCTACCATGTTCGTGTACTGCATGCAGCCCACCCGCTCCCTAAACAACCCTCCCTCCCTCCTCTCCTTTCCTACTTCCTTCAGCCTATCTCCTCTAATTCTAAAATAATGGGAATCTCACCTTATTGATTAAACTGTCACATTTGGCCACTGTGATTGATAAAACTTCATTCAAACATGTCATGCGACAACAACAGTTTGAGTGACACAGCAAAACACAAATAGGAGGAAACTAGAGGAGGGGGGTTTGCAAAGAGGGGCTTTGCTGTGCTGTCACCTCTGCATCATATATGCATCCATACAGCCACAATGTACTGTTCTACTTCACAGGGGCACACAGATCTAAGACTACAGCTTCAGTGAGGAGGAAAACCTGTCCTATTATCTGTCAAGATTCTGCCTCTCCCTGGAGAGCAGCCATATTTACAGGAGTTGTGTTGGTCTGGGGACACCGCAGAGGGGTCTGGCTTTAACAAGAGGTGAGAGCAATGTTACACTAAAAGCAGTTTTTAGAATCTGATCGAGCGTAATATCCTGTACAGTTCTCAAGGGCAAAACACAACACTGATCCTTTTTGAGGCACTGCCCTTTAAATAAATCAAATAATGGACGGTAACACCGGGCCTTGTATTTTGAGCATTTGAGCAAAATGCACTCCTTGTTCTACAACATGAGTTTTGGTCCTTTTTGTTCTTCATGCAACTTTAAAAAAGTTAAGCGTTTTCTAAAAAAAAACAAAAAACAATGTTTTTACTAATATAGATTGGTGTCTTGTGTACAAACAATACTACGTGCACGCGCAACCAGGGGGCAAAAGCCTGCTTTGGAGTGAACTGATATCAATTATGACATTGCATTGTTTGTATTGTTATAAGCTCTTCCTGACACAACTGCAATAAAATGTCATTTCATATAAAAATCGCTTTGTCTTTCATTGCATCAAAATCAGAAAAACACTTGCTGAAATGTCCATAAATTTCACTCAATTTACCAGGTTGTGACGTTGTTTTACGTGTTTCTAATATCAGGAGCAGGGTCGTAATGTTTGCCGATTGTTTGTTCTGCCGATTCATGCAGTTTACAGCACAACAGCTCCTTGTCATTTTCTTTCTCTGTTGACTACGCTAGTAAACAAATAAGAAATGTCCCACTTTCTGCCCCCCTGGCAGCGCGCATACCTGCGATGACGTTGCACAGAAACCCATCTATATGATCAGCTGGCTGTACAAGATTTTTTTCAAAACAACTCTCCATCAGTCAACTATGTCGAGCCAAATAAGTAAAAATCTTCAATGCAGGATGAGTAATTTTCTAGAACAAAATCATTCAGTATTTTTTTTTTATGTTAACAGATCAAATATGAAACAAGTTACAGCAACTACTTACTACAACAAGAACTCTCTCAGCAAAGAGAGGAGTAAGTGACTCTTTTCAACGACGCACTTAGCTACTGACATGTTCTGTCAGGGTACAGGATGTCACAAATTAAGGAAGTCGCAGCTGTAAATGAAGAAACAGACATTATACTGTACGATGCACAGTCAAACTAATCTCAACAGTTAGCCTTGAGTTAGGGCTGAATGGTTTTAGGAAAAGATCGAAGTCCGATTTTTTAGGAGGAAATTGCAATTTCAATTTGATTCACAATTTTCTTCAAATGAAGCTGCAGTGCAACATTCACAATGTGTACAGTAACATTTAAGAATCAAAACATAAAAAGCTATTACTTTAATGCAAGAATGAAAACTAAAGGTAAGAATTGTGGATGGAAATCCAATCTTCACGTTTAAAGAAAATGGAGTCATCCCTAGACGTGCTCAAGAAACTACCCACACCACAAAGACTTGGTAGTTCAACCAGAAGGGAGCATAAGTTCATATTCCCCTGCAGCATTGTTGATTCATAGCTTGGTTTAGAGAAGTGCAGCTTCAATAATCTATGGCACAATTTATCCCAATGTATCCTCTCAAAAGATACAATTTACCCTGCACTGGGGGCAAGTTGTGCCACAAGACCACTTAGTTTTCAAAACAGTTTATTTAAGATCCAAAGTGATTGTTCCCGGGGATGCACTACACCTTAAACTATATTTACATATTTTAGTTGGCGGTATTACTGTCATCCCCTTGCTTCAAAGACGCCAAGTAAAAACTGGCATAACTCTCCCCACTCTCCCCTATTATGTTATGGCGTCTCCTGCTGCTCTTCTCATATGAGCTTCTACCGGCAAAAGATATTGTAATTGTAGTCAGCTTGCTATAATGGGCCTGAAACTCATACTTGACTTTTCACCGGACTTTTTCGTCATGCAGTCCTCATGCAAGTGTCTGTGGTGGTTTTTCAAGTGCTGGTATAAACTGGTTGTGATTCTGCTCGATGTAGCAACTTTAACGCGACATATTTTGCACAGTAGCCTACCGGTTTCTGGTGCGCGTCTGCAGCTTCACAACCAATATACTCCCAGATGATCGCCGTGCCACTTTTCATGGGGATTACATCACATAACTCCGCGCTGAAGCCACTTTAAAAACACGTTCACGTTTCAAAACACGGAGAGCAGGTAAATAGTCTACTGATTGGTTAACGCGACCCAGCCGTGAGTGGCATATGCCGCTTCTGATTGGACGGTGGGGAGACTGACAGATTCCGAGTCAGTCAGGAGTGCAGCAAACAAACAAACAAACAACAACAAAAAACATAAAAGAAAAAAAACTAAAAGAAAACGCAGCTTTGGCATCACATTGTCTGAAATCGCAAATTTATGGTGGTCGAGAACTGCCACTGCTGCAAATAATTTATTTATTTTTTTATTTTTTTAAAGCCACAATGGAAGTTAATGACGCAAAAAAAAAATTAGCCAGTGCAAAAAAAAAAAAGTTACTTACTGCGAAAATAATAGGATGCAAATACCAAAAGAAAAAAACAACCGAAGTGAGCTGCCGGGGACCAATAATGATGATCAATCTTTTTTTTATGATCTAGGCACAGGAGACAACGGCGAGAAGATGGGCAAATGAGTTAGTGGGAAGGTTATTGTTTAATTTCGCTTCTTGGGCTTTTCGATGTGTCATTTGGTCAGGCCATGTAGCACCTGAGTTGATATGAAGTTGATCTGGAGGATGCTGGTGTAGTGTTAGCTTCAGTTCAACTTCATAGCGACTCAGGCGCTACATGGCCTAACCAAATGACACATTGAAAAGCACACGAAGCAAAATTAAACAATAACCTTTTCACTAAGTTGTTTGCTTGTCTTCTCGCCGTCGTCTCCCGTGCCTAGATCGTAAAACACCGGTGCATCATCATTATTGGTCACTGGCATCTCACTTCAGTTGTGGCTTTTTTTTATTTGCATCCTTTTATTTTCACAGTAAGTAACATTTTCTTTTTCTATCACCCCCTTTTTTTTTTTTTTATCTGCACCGTTTCTTTTTTCATTTGTAGCTGGCATTGGTTTCTTTTCTTTTTTTCATCAGTAACTTCCATTGTAATTTTTTTTTTCTTCCTCTTTTTTTATTTGCAGCAGTGGCTGTACTTGGCCACCGTGCATATTCGATAAGAAAACAATAAACCATTTAGCCCAAGCCCAGACTAACAAAAGTGTGATAAACAATGCTAAACAATCAAAGGGTAAAGGAGGAAGGAAAAATGATAAGGTTTCTCTTTTTAATTAACCTGCATTTTGGTCATATTTCTATGGTGGAGCACTTGGACTTGCATGATGTGTGAGTTTTGCGAATGATGTGATCCTTTCACTTTAATTCTTATATCTGGAGGTGAGAACTGTGTATTAATCCTTGGTCACATTGTCAGAAAGAGCCTGAACCTCTGTTTTCAGACACATAAGTGAACACTGAAATACACCCAATGGACCTCTCTATTGGTGTACTGGTACCATCTGTCTGACAATTGTTGTCACTAAGTTAAGCTTGACAGCTATTGCAGCTTTGAGCAGGTTCATAATGTGAAATAAGTTTTCCAGGTTACAGAGCAGGGAATAATATAAAGACTCCAACAGATACACTATCTTTTTATTATGAATGCTACAATTCCTTCATGACATTGAAGCATGAATATTAATTCCTAAAGATCCACCTGTTGCAATGGGCAAACAGCAGCACAACATTTCTATGCAATTGCTAATAAAGCTAATGTCCACTTTACTTTTGCATATGTTTGCAACATAGTTCAATACAGTGGCAGCATGACCGATCTTTTGGCTCACCTATTTGGGCAGCATGGTGTTAGCATCAACCCCAAACTTTGTTTCCTCCATGAGCCTGATTGATGGAGCAATGAGTACTTTTCATCACATTTCAGTGTGTTTTAGTTTTTATTCTGTTTGTTTGTGTGTCTGTGTGTGACCTGTTTTGTTTACTTCAGTTTTGCAATTCAATGTCAAACTGGATGCCAATGGCTCACCACAAATCAAATCTACCTCTGGGTCCAAATAAAGTAACTTAAACCTGAACCTGAGCAGCAGGGCCAGCTGCTCCAGAAAAAGCCTCAGGTGTCACAAATGTCTTTAATCAGACTCACTGAGAACTAAGGCTATCAGGGCTCTAACGGCATTTATTTGTACAGACATGCAACTGTACAGTAAGGTTGAAAAACCCAGGTTTTCATAAAGAGATCTAAACTCAAGTTCCAAGATACAACATACAAAACTGTCCTCACTTCTCAAATTAATGCATGCCTGCATTTTATGAAAAGATGAAGATAGATGTAAAGCTGTGACTTTTACAAGCTGAACTATTACTAGAGATAGATGGATGTCACATTCAATACAGGGGTATGAGACTATTACCTCTCATCATGTTGACGCAGCACAAAATAAGACATGGTATGTAGTGCAAACAAGAGTTCAGAGTGGCGCATTCAAGTAACAGTAATGACACTTCACTGTGTGATGCACACACAGAATTAGAGATGAAAATCCTGCCATTATAACAGATAAAGTTAATAGCCATTGCCCTCACTTCATTATCCTTTGTACCCGGGAATTTATTCCCCACATTTAAATGCTGACTAAGAAGTATCAATATATCAGCTTCTTATATTATTGCATTGAATCACTCAAAATACTGGACGAATGTCTTAACTCTATCCACAAATTAGGATATGTATATTAGTTAAGTTGTATCGTTCTACTCACTTTTATCTGCTTGTACATTTTGTTCCCTGTATGCACTGTAACACTCATGTCAAAGAGTACATCAACACAAAGGACCTGCTGAAACACATGGAAAATGAATCATTACCATTCAATGATGTGTGAGACCTTGATAGTTTCAAACTTTATTACTTCTCCCTCAGGGCATATTAATTCAAACCACCCTGGATATATTAACATTGAAGGGAACAGATTTACGCTTAATGCTGCCACTCTTAATAGATAGAGAGGGTCCAGTTTACACAGAAATGAAGTGTAAGAATTACATTTTAAAACCCTATTCATTCCCATGACTTTTTGTCATTTTAAATGCGTCATTATGAAAATGCAGTCCTTGGATTTAGGGTCCAAGCCTTAAACATCACCATGGTATACTCTGACTAGGACTGTCCTTGCACTATCCTCCCATTTTTGCTCATTCAACAGTGAGTGCGTAATACAGCGTACTATTTAATTCATCTTATTAAGTACAAGCTGTGTCTAAATAAGAGAGAAGGGGGACTGATGTAACCAATTTGTTTTTTCATTTGGTAGTTTTATTTGTGTGCAGCTGCAAGCAGTTGTCTAGACACTTTCCTTAGTTTTAAAGCCGCGTTTTAAACTGAACAATAACAACTCAAGCTGTCTATTTTAAGATTCACTCAAAGCTGCAAATTTACACATGTGCCAGATTAGAGCAGCACAATCTGTGTCACAACTGCATGAGCGACAATATTAACGTTTAAGCTTGGGTCTGCTGAACAAGGGGGAATAACAAGACAAGACAAGGCTATAAGAGGGACTAACAACAAATCAGAAATGCACACACATAATTAACCACATAAACCACTGTGCACATGGGTATGTCCATCCACAGCAGCAACAGGATCTGTTTGTGTGTTTGTGTGTGCTGGATGAAAAAAATTCGACACAGCAGAGTCACATCAGGAGTAAATAAAAATGGACTTACCATAAGAGTTGCTGGAGGCAGTGAGTGTAGGTGTTCAACCACCTCTGATAACATCCCTTCAGTCATGGTTCCGCTCTCAGGAAACGTTAATGCATCTCTCCAAGGTTAGCTAGTCCCTCGGTTATACAGCTCACTGTCCATCCACTGTGTAAAACATTACCTACTGGGTTGTACTAACACCTTTCCGCTGGTTTGAAATCGAGTCTCATGAAGAACTGGAGGCGTCAGCGTCCCATGACATCAAATACTGAGAACCTTCGCTAACAGCATTTATGACAAAGCACTGTGGTTTGTTTGTATCCAACCAACCAGTTAGGTCAAAAATGCTGCAGTTAAACCTAAGCGCAATTTTGTCCTCCTTCCTTGTGTCAGAAGAGTTTTTCGTTCCAAGTCCAAATGTTCTCCTCGGTACAAAAGCTGCAAAACAGGCAGAGGGAACAAAGAAGGCTCTTCACAGGCCATGCTAGCAACATACACTGAACAAAAATATAAACGCAACACTTGTTTTCGCTCCCTTTTTTCATGTGCTAAACTTAAAGATCAAAGACTTTTTCTATGTACATAAAAGAAAACCTATTTCTCTCAAATACTGTTAACAAATTTGTCTAAATCTGTGTTAGTGAACACTTCTCCTTTGCTGAGGTAATCCATCCACCTCACAGGTGTGGCATATCAAGTTGCTGATTAGCACACCTGTGCATGATCATTGCACAGGTGTGGCATATCAAGATGCTAATTAGACAGCATGATGATTGCACAGGTGTGCCTTAGACTGGCCACAATAAAAGGCCACTCTAAAAGGTGCAGTTTTATCACACAGCACTATGCCACAGATGTCACAAGTTTTGAGGGAGCGTGTGATTGCCATGCTGACTGCAGGAATGTCCAACAGAGCTGTTGCCCGTGAAGTGAATGTTCATTTCTCCCACATAAGCCGTCTCCAAAGGTGTTTCAGAGAATTTCAATACATCCAACCAGCCTCACAACCACAGACCACGTGTAACCACACCAGCCCAGGACCTCCACATCCACCTCCTAGACTGTCTGAGACCAGCCACCCAGACAGCTGCTGCAACAATTGGTTTGCACAACCAAACAATTTCTGCACAAACTGTCAGAAACCGTCTAAGGGAAGCTCATCTGCATGCTCGTCGTCCTCATCGGGGTCTTGAAATACAGTAAAACCGCACATTTTACAGTGGCCTTTTATTGTGGTAAAGTCAACGGCACACCTGTGCAATCATCGATATGCCACACCTGGGAAGTGGATGAATCACCTCGGCAAAGGAGAAGTGTTCACTAACACAGATTTAGACCAATTTGTCAACAATATTTGAGAAAAACAGGTCATAGATTTTTGAGTTCAGCTCATGGAAAATGGGAGCAAAAACAAAATAGTTGCATTTTTATATTTTTTTTCAGTGTAATATCTTTGCTTTTAGCTGCTATAATGATACATTTGAGTTTTGATGACATCCTTCACACCCTATATTAACCTTAGTACTTAATGTCCACCTGGCGTGACTGCAACACCCCCTTGGATGGTAAAAATATACATAGGCCTATATCTACACACAAATCTACAATATATTCTTTCCAGCTCACAAACTTTTGGAGTTTGTGATGTTCTGACGGAGTAGACGACACAATGAAAACAATTAACTGTGCATACTCAGTGAAGGACGCTGGGGACTGAAGTATCTCTTTCCTTTCTTTCATTCATGCATCCACTGTTGTTTCTGGTTTTTTTTTTTTGGCCAGTCAGTAATATTAACCTTGAGTCAACATAAAGAACAAAATGAAGTCTCACATAACCAGATGATATAACAGTCAAAAAGCATCTGCTCGCTCTGAGGCATGCTTTGATACAGGGGTCCATCCAGTATTTCCTAAAGGATATTGAGAATTTTTACATATTAACTTTGGTTATTATATGCAAGTCTTCTTATTCGTTTCAGTTTTCTCTTATGTAGATTAATATGGAATATCTACAGTCAGTTTACCCACAGTTATTAAAATACAGGGTCAAATAAATGTATTTAGCTTAGATATGACCATGATTCACCACTTGATTCAAGAACTTCGCCAACATGCCGTTTTTTCTATAGACATAATTTACATGTATTATGTCCATGGTTATTTCCATATGCCATATCAAGTGGGATATATTCGAGTTAGAGTAATTAAATGTGACCAATCCAACAAGAACAAGTCATCACACTCCCCTTGATGTATTGAAACATAAATTGACCCTGCTGTGTATAGATATGAAGGAGAGGCCGTCTCCTCAGTCATGACCCATACTGGATGTGATGTTCGATTGCCACTGCACTTGGAGAAAAATAGACCATTTTCCACCACATGCAGTATTTTTTAGATACATTTATCTTCACATTGTGTGTTAGGGTCTCCCAATGCTATTTTTTCACTAAGCAGCAGAAAACACCAGGAGAATGTTTGATGATAAAAACTGCTCTTTCTGTAGAAATAACCCACAACAGTAGAGGAGCCTAACTACAGAGGTTACTAGAGTATGCTGTATGTAACCTTCAAGTCAGTGGTGCAGACTATGCAGGGGGTAAGTATGCATGATACAGTGCTTTAATAGTGCACAGAAGCACATTTGGAGATGTAGAGCCTGATTTTACATTTGAAAGCAAAATGAACCTCTAGGGCTTTTTCTAGTAGTTTGCAAGGGCTAAACCTTGTTACTACCATATAAATCTTTTATAATGCAAAATCCAAGGCGTATAAGGACAACAGGGGTTTGAGGAAGGGTGCGCAGCACAGAAACAAACCAATGTATAATTTGATTTTATTTGTTTATTTAGATATAAAGCAGGCACATGAGTACAAGAAACTTGTGCACTAATAAGTCAGCTCTCAATAACAAAAATCCACAGCAAAGTAGTTTGATATCACTCATGATTCAAAGTCCAAACTCAAATATAGAAAAAAAAAAAGGAACTGAGGAAAAACTCTCCTGAAAAACATGCTGAAAAAGCTTTATTCTACAGTAAAATAAAAACTATTAAAGAACCATACATGCCAATCCCGCTGGAGCTGACAGGTGTCAAGAGCAGCAGAACTGCAAAGCCTCGCTGTACACTGACACACCACTTAGCGGGAGAGTGCTCTATAACACCACTGCACAGGGCACTGAACTCGCCACAAATGTTACCTGAAGTACAAAAGCTCCTGTTCCATATTAAAGCTCCAACGCTTGGCAACTTGTTTCTAATTTTCATAAAGATTGTTCATAGGTAAAATCCTGATTAGTGTTCAAACACAATGCAAGGAATATAAACAATCAAGGAGAGTTGAGAGTCAGGAAATCCTCTCCTCTCTCTAAGCTGTGTAAAGAAAAACATATTGATCCCTCAATCTGGACACAATCCTTGAATGTGAAGGTGTTTGGTCACATTTTCAGTTAATGAAGCTTGAAGAATGTGGACACAAGGTTGTTGAGCACACTGGGATTACCTCCTCTCTGAAGAGTTGAGGGTATAATTCAAAAGTTTGGCCTGGTAATTCTGTGATTTAACTGCAGACTCAAACAAATGTACTCATTACACAGCGAGCAGATGGATAAAAAAAAAACAAAGAAATCAAACTTAAGATGCTTAAATAATAAAGAAATGACATTTAACAGACAAAATGTTAGGGGGATACAAATTATTCATCACTCAGCTCTGATGTTTTTTTAAGTCAGTGTTTCAGTCAGTTTCAACTGATGTTTATTGTTTATAGCGGCATAACAAAGTATGTATAAAGTTATAAAAGTACAGGCACACAGAAATATACTGACTTTGGTTACTTTTCAGTTCAACCAAACACATTTAAAATCTTACCAGTTAGCCCAGTACATCCTCATGATCTACAGTTATTACTCAGGATAAAATAAGGCAGTTGAGAGTTTGCATAGTTGATATTTGCAGTTCAGAAGCAATCATCAAACACTATAGTGGAATACACCAGAGACCCCCACAGCATTAGCTATAAAACTGGTTAGAATACAAATAAATCAAAAGCCTCTTGGAATTAGTTCTGATAACACCTACGATATTCACTCCTTGTCTTTCCCAGAAACATGGGAACAAACGTTAAAAAGGCCTTCCTCCAGTTGATTTCCCTCTAATAACTCACTATTAGGAGAGAGTAAATGCAGCAGACTAAATCACCATCATTATGTGGAATAGGAATGAGGCTGTGTAGGGATATAATTGGTCAAACAGACAAGCCATCAATGCAAAAGTGGAACAAATATGATAAACTTTTGTCTTTTGATAGAGTGAACCTACATTTATAGTCATTGGTCAATATATGTGTGCTGTGTGCTATCTGGAATCAGAAAAAGGGGAGTTTAGATGCTATCCATGGCTTTGAATTCACTCAGAGCCTGCACTGGGTTCACGTGCTTCTTGTGAGAGGATCTCTTGACTCGGTTGGTTTGGCCGTCATCCTGCTTCTCTCTCTTCACCAGGGGCTTCTTCTCAGGAGCTTTCATCCTCCAGGAGATGGCGGGCATATTCAGGGCCTCCATGCCTTTGCTCTTTTGGTACTTAGTGGATGCGACGTAGGAGGCCTTGACGGTGGACACCACAGCGTTCATGAGGTTCTTGGCGGCCTGGATGAGGGACATGGCGCTGTCCAGCTGAGCACATGGACGAGATTGGAGAAAACGAAAGAGAGATGGTTAGCTTAGTGAGACAGGTAAAGCAAATCTGCTATCTGAATCTGTATCTGATATTAAATCATGTGAGATAACCGTATACTGTTCACATTTACCACACATGAGCTGAGATTCAAGTGTTTGCACGGAAGAACTGACAACATCTCCTGAATTTGCATACAGACAGATGTGAGAAACTTTAGAATATGGGAAAAGGTCACACTAATTTAATCTCCACAGTTTAATAGCCTCAGAGACTCTGGTGACACTTGGCTGGATGTGTCGGAGGAACAGACTTGTTTCAGCCCTACTGAAAGGAGGAATTCATTACCTCCTGCACAAAGACGCAGTGTCGTTTAATTAATCTGACTGGCAAGTAATAGGTTAATTAATACTTAAATAGGGTCTGTAAACATCTGCCTTTAACAGCGCTATCTTAAGTAGTAAAAAGGTAAGAAAACATTTGGGCAGCATTAGTCCTAACAAGCAGAGAAAAGCTAGTATTTTTGTGATCTGCATATTCATCTGAAAGTTATAGTGCCAATGCTGCAGGTATGAGTATTTCAAAATATTTGATGCCAAGAATTCTATTGATTAAAAATGATTTTTAAATTCTGTGGAAAAACAAAGTTCATTGTGTTTCTTTGTAAACAAACGTCATCCCGCTGATGATTTTCTCACCAAAGAACACTGTGTTTATCCTTGAGGCTTCAGAGAAAAAAATCTGTCTTTTCATTTTATTTGTTCATGTTTGGAAACGTGTTCTGCTTGCATCAGCTCTTAGTGCTCCTCTCCTTTGCCACCAACTTTCACTGCCCTCTGCAGTCCCCGCAACACTTACAGTCCGAATAAAACGGCTTAATTTAACACTACTTATCAACTGCTCTACTACTCTTTAGGTACCGTGGGGCCTGTTGCACAATGAAGATTGTAAAGCTTGACAGTGCTCGATGGTTTATGTCATGTTGAACTTACCCCAGAGACGACCAGCTCTCCTCCCAGGTTCTGCACTTCAGCCTTCACTTTACTGCAGATGTTCAGCTGATGGCAGTAAAGGGCAATCCTCTGCAGGTAGGCGAGCAAGTCCTGCTTACAGGTAGAGTCTGGGCACTACAAAGAGAAAAACAATACACGTGAGCTAATCTGCTCATTAGGTAGTAAAATAAGCGGTAACAGGTTTGTGGTTTTAATACTACCTGCCCGCAGGTCCAAAACAATGAATCAATTCCTGTCACTTCAGTCATTTGCTGGCACTACTCAATCTGAATATTTATGTGATTCTGCAGAGGCAATGATCTCGCACTTTATCAAGATGAGTTAGTAGCAGTTTGACAGGTAAGGTAGACACCCACATTAGGGACGTGCTTAGAGCCAAAATGACAAACGCACGCCCACAACCTGCTAGATTGATAACCCATCCTCACAGGGTTAGGCACGATCAAGTCACACAGAATGCAAATTTTATTAAGAGCCCAGCACGGCTGTCAATCAGCTACTTTTCAGTGCTGGCTGTAATCCTGCGTGAAGTCCTTTTGGAAACAAAAAATATGCTCAAAGTAAGCATTTGCCCTGTTTGGTAGGTAGAAATGGACTCAGAGTTTAACGATCTCAGAGAAGGTATCGTGTCTTTTTTGGGGCTAAAGGTCCTCACACCGGGACCGATTTCTTCGTGCGATTATTTCGGACGTCAATATCTTTTTTCGAACCCGTATCCTGTCAATACAAGTGTTCACATCAGCGACGTTTTCCCGTTCTGCCATATTGCGGCATTTATTTTTTTCGTATCACGGTCGATTTTTCTAAAGTTTCGCATACTGTGTGTCCACTTCTGACCAATCAGATTTTGTGTTGTTGTGACGTCTGATTCACCGGTATATTCAACATGGCCAACCGGCTGATTGTTTACATGTCGGAGAACAGAGTGCTTTTTGATAAAAGACACAAACATTACAAAGATAATGACCTGAAGGACAACTTGTGGAGAGTCATAGCGTCGCATCTCTCATATGACGATGGTTTGTGTGCTTTGACAGATTGCTAAATGTCTTTGTTTTAACTTTCATCTGTGCTAAGTAACTTTAGCACATAAGCTAACCTGTTCAGATACAACATACCATATGTATTTTCACAGTCTCAAACTCAATCACGTTGCTGTCACAGCACCATTAGGTCTCGGTTGTTACCTTACGTTTCTGGATTATAGTTTAATGTGCTTATCTGGTACTGGCCCCGACTCAGTAAATGCTATCATGACAGACAGCCATCTCAACACTAGTGTCTAATCAGAACTGAAAAACAGTCAGTCTGCTGTTGTGACAGTCTTCTCGCTTCCACCCCGGATTCATCTTTCCCCCCCTGGAAAGTCGGGCTTGATGTGTATAGTCAGGCGCGTCAAAATTCTACTCTGAATATTTCGTAGTTTCGCGTTCTATATTTGTGTCGGCCCCAGTGTGTAAGGACCTTAACCCTGATACATCTGTTCTAACTGAACATAGTTTTCAGCTCAGAAACTTTTCTTATTCATCTCGGGCTAGTGTCTTTGGAAAATCTAATTTCAGCTACAGTCTGAAAAGTTTCATTTAAGCCACGGCGGATAGATTTTGATTAAAGAAAGATACATGAACCATTTACTCTTTCACCAGCATATTACTCGATTCATTTTTCAGTCAACAACTACCTGACTCAGTGATTAATCAACGCAGCTCTATACGCTATAGATGAGAAGAGTTTTGAATTATGTGGTAAAACATTTCGAAGACCATAGGTTCTACACTTAATTGAAAGAGCTAATTATTCTTTCAAACAAGGCATTAACCACACTGTCAAAAGTGAGCTAGGATCACAAAACAAATTACACTGGAGCCATAAAAAAATCATCAACTTCAAAAAATCCAATAAATTATCATAAAACCCACTTAAAGAGTGGCAGTATGTGAAGAGCCCAACAAATGCATCTCATTTCGCACTGGCACCCTCTTTGAATTATTCCATCTCATCATAATTAAACTTGGGTTCTACCTTGGAACACCAATTCTATACCCTTTCTCGGTTCGCTGAATGAGCCCCCTGCCAGCGTGGTAATTAGGACACAGAAAATCTTCTTAAGCTGCTCATCAAGTGAAGGATGTAAACACCCTGCTGGGTCTATGACACTCTACACCAGGATATAGATCTCTGCAGAATAACCTGACACACTAATGGTATGTCTGACAAGATCATGACACTATGAAAGAGACTTGCGTCAAATATCCAGGGGCTGCTAGCTCCTCATATCATCAACTAAACTAACTGTGTCTTTGAAAAAACACCGGAGTGACCACGTGAGCCAGCGAGCCAGGAGGAAAAAGCAGCTGAAACATCAGGATTCGCAGGTGCTGGGTTGTGTGAGGGAGGAGTCCTCTGGCAGCTGTTAATTCTGAGTGCAGGGGAAAAGGTGAACGGGAGGTAATAGCAGCCAATCTTTTAATTGATGGCATCTGTAGGACGGAGCTGGTGAGGTCAGTGCTGAAGTGTGCAGGAGTGTTTGCATGTGTCTCTGCTAAATGAGGAGGATTTTTGTAAGGCTATGAGTGAGCAAATAACAGAGAGAGAGAGAGAGAGAGAGAGAGAGAGAGCGGGCACCTCTTAAAATTGACCATTACCATCATTACAGTGCACTTATCCACAGAGGGGAAGGAAACCCCTGTTTTCTTCTCTCTCTACATGGAGCTTTTTAACACGTCAAACAGACTGGGATGTGTCTAATCCTAATAAGCACGTCAGTATCCCTGGCGAGAGTATAGAGTGCTTGCTGAGTAATGCGCACTGACTCTCACATATACAGCCAAGTATGCATGCATTTACACCATCCCAGCCAGCACAACTGTGCCCATTCATACACAGCAGACAGCAGAGTAATGCGCTGCTATAGTAGAACAAGGACACCAAACACTTCCTACCACCTCACTCAGAGACAGCCACCCTATCTGCATACATAAATACAAATCAAAACAAATAAAACAGAGGCCATTTGCACTTGTGTCTCTCCTCACTGAGAGCTCTATAGATGTCCTGTGACTACATTAATAAAAAGGAGCCTTTTCTCTCCACCATCCCGTCCTGATTAATCGAAGACAGGCTAAGTGGAGAGGAGGGAAATGTAAGAGTTGACATTCTATTAAAGAAGGGTATGCAAGAAGAGATGAGGGGAGAAAGAGCTGGAGGGGATGATCATCATACAGGAGAGGACTAATACATTGCTGAGAGACTGGATAAAAGAGGAGAGGGAGGGAAGGTTGAAAAAAAGAGGGGAGAGGAAGAAAAATAAGTAGTTGGAGGAAAAAAAGAGGAGGATGAATGGTGAGCCAGAGGGGGAACAGTATGGAGGAGTAAATAGGGGGGAGAAATCCAACTGGGGAAAACGGGATGCAGACAGGAGGATTCAACTGCAGTTGGGAGGGAGGGATAAGTAAGTAAGAAATAGTGTGTGTGTGAGTGTGTGTGTATAGACACTCGCATGCAACAGCAAAGACTTGGGATGAGGCTGAATGCAGCAGCCATGCTAATGAGGGCTCGGGGAAGTATTCAGACGGCTGAGAGCAGGGCGCTGTGAAAGCATCACTTGTGCTCATACTCAGCTCAGCTGCTGGCTTCACTCAGCACTCAGGAAACTCTGCAAGGCTGCTCCGACTGTGACATGTGAATACATAAGCTGCACAGGGAAGAGACAAGAACACCTTGGATTGTTTTGGCAATTCAAACAAAAGCTACGCGCGTGATTCACTCGATGGTTTTTCACAAGCTCATTAAAGCTCCACTAATCAAATACCTTCCCTGTGCTGTATTTGGGTTTCCAAAACCAACATGTGTCTGTGGGTTAATGAGATTTCTATCAAACACATAAGTCTTTTGTTTGTCCACTCAGTAGTATGGATTAAAGTAAGTAAACTTACACAGAAATGTTGGTGTTGATTTAATTTTGGTGCTAACATGTCTGTAAGTAAAAAAAAAAAAAAAGCACAGATACCCTCAAAGTCATGATGAAAATCACATCTAAACTATTTTAAATCTGCTCAGTCACAGTCAGTTCACTCAGGCAGCAGGAGTCTTGAAGAGATTAAAAGACCATGGGCGTATCTTGGGGTCCAGCATTATCAGTCTGTGATCCAGCAGGAGCTGATGATGTGCTAGCAGCAGGTGCATAAGAGGTAATTTGGGCCTCTTTCTGAAATTTTAGCATAGCATTGGTGCTTTTCTGGTTTCATGGGGGACTCAATCAGTTTATTTCCCAATGCCCAAAATTTGCTACATTTTTTTACACACCTGTCACATCGTGTTAAAGCCTTTACTGGTGACAGCTAATGAATCTCAGAAGGTGAATCTCAATAGACACCCTATTTCCCTCAACCTCCTTTGTTGCACCTCATACAAGATGCAATAGTCGAATCACAGAAAATAAGCAGTAAAGGTAGGTAGATTTAATTATGCATGTATATCCATCTTGATGTGAATATCACCTTTAATTCAAATCTACCACGAAAGAGACTTTTTAGACATTGAAGGTGGGGTAGGCAGGATTCCCTTAAAGAAGCATCTTTTTTATATCAGTCAATAGCTATTAGTTATTGATGACATTTCAGAACATAACGATATTGCTGTGTTATGTCTGTGTAGTCAACACTTTAAATGTTTTGAGCGGCCCTCTTTCTGAATGTAAACAAAGCCGTTCTCCACCTCCCCCAACCTGAATGGTTATGAGGCAGACGCTTCGGGATCTTGTAACCTTTCTGCTGGACAGGTAAACCTCTTTAACAAAGTAAGCCAAGTGTCTGTAACAGAAGTGTTTCTTGTCAAATGGGACCTGCTGCGTGTTGTAGCACCGCTAAACTGTTTACCTCGGGTCCTGGAGTTTGTCACTTTATGCTAGTTGTTGAAGTCCTGCAAACATTTTGTTTGCTGGTAGTCTGTTGGCATCTACAGTGGCACCAATTCTTTTTACTTTCACATTGACTGGGCCCCATTTCTAATCATCAGAAGTATTTATCAGCATTATATCTGAATTTAATTGAAACGATACGAGCGAGCAGGAGCATCTTTTTGTGGGCGGGGCTTGCTGGAGCAAAGAGGGAGGGAGAGGAGGAGCTGAGGGGAAACTGGTTGGGAGGGGTAGAGTTTACATTCAAGATTTCTCCCAAAAACTGGCACTTCCTCAGATCCTGCCTACCCCACCTTTCATAAACATTTTTTTCTGTAATTTTATAGCCCTTTAAAACAACAACACAATCCCAGAGGTAAAATCACTGAGCTTCCCTTTATTGGTGACTTGGCAGCACATCACTGTGATTTTAACGTGTCTTGTTTTTGTGCTGTTTTCAGTTCTTCAAGTTTGATGTTGGCCTTATGATTTTCTATGCACCCTGTGCGGCTGGTTTTGGAGCAGGACAGTCTGGTTCGCTAGGTCAGCTACAACTGAGAGATGGCAAAGCAAAGAGAGGGGCACTAGAGACATCCTCAAACAGCTCTGGATATCTTTTCAAGGCAAACTAATAGAAAAGGTGAGTCACACGCTTTCAACGGGAGCCAGCAGTGCATGAAGAAATGTCAATGATTCTTGTAGTGTTGTCCTGTCTCCTCTCTGCTAGCTCTAAGTACAGTCTCGCCAAAATAAAAGAGACACATCAAAGTTTGAACAAAGAGTAGATGATAGTTGATTTAAGTTTTCTTAATCGTTTCTCCAAAGTAACAATTGCTTTTGTGACTTTTGGTTTGTTCCATATTCATGAGGGTCTCACTTTGTAAGTGTGTGGGTAGCTCTTCCTTGATTTTGAATTGCTTAGCATTTAAGCTGCTGCTCGGAAAGAGTTTCACTGCGGAGACTAACACAAAAGCAAAAATCTTTTCCTTCTTAACAACTTACGGCTCATAAAAAAAGGACAGGGAAACGAGGCAATAAGAATAACGAAAGAGGATGTTGAACAGAAGGATTTCACTGTGTCCGTGTTGGGTAATGTCCATGATATAAATGGTGATCAGGAAGGTCAGGTCCCATTATTGGAAATGCCATGCAGTTCTGCTGAATTCCATTATACAGAGCAGAGACAGAGTCAGAGCCACTGTGCTGCTGCTGCTGCCCGGGTTTGACCTTTCAGGACACATCACCCAGAGGAAATGCCAATTTCCAATATTTACTGACAACGCAGCATTCTAATGTGCTGCTGCTAGCAACCTGGGGGGGGGGCACGGGGTGATGAAGACAAAAAAGGTGTTTTCAGTTTCAGATGTGTTTTGATTTTCCAGTCACTTCCTATAGCAAGCAAATTGATACTTCAACTGCTGTCAAAACTAAGTGTCATGGTTTAAGTGTTTTCACCGAGTGTCTTCATCGGGACTTTGCCTCTTGATTTATCCTTCAGACTATTCCTTTTGTGTCTGGAGCCGAAGACAACGCGATGAAAAAAAGAATATGTGTTTATTTCCAAGGCAAGCTGATAACGATGCCTTAACTTTATAAATCACCCCATAACATAACATACTGACAGCCCAATTTGTTCTCCTGCTGAAGTTAAGAGACAACCACAAACAAACACAAAAACCATTATTGAGGGAAGCCATGTGGTGTTGTGGCTGCATTTTTTTTCCCCCGACTCAAAAGGAAGGAAACAAACCTTGAACCAGAAAGCATGATTCACCGTGCAGGTTTACACCTCTGACGTCTAAAGCATTGAGCAGGGGAAGAAAAATAAAAGAATAAATCAGACATTTGTGTGGCTGTGCGGATGATGGAGGCTTGTGGATAATTAGCTCTGCCTAACCTGGGTAAGGACCTTCAGGACAAAATGCCAGCGGGAACCTTTATCTGCCATTACACCTCAAAACTGCCAGGGGGGAAGTAGGGATGCAGAGATATATAGGTTACAGTTTGCAGACTGCCACTGGGAATAACAGTGTGCCTGAGATCTATGGCAAAGTTTAAGGAGATACAGAAGACGAAGCATGACAGACTGTTCTGGTACTTCAGGAAGAAACTGAAGTAGAAGATAGTGCTCCACAGCGACTGGGATTGATTCATTTTACACTGTTATCTGTAGAGAATGTTTAAATGTGTCTTTTTAAAGTAGAAGAAAAGAAAAAGGGATAAATTTAGATCACAAAGAAAAGCAGATTTAGTAAAAAACTGCCTGCTTTTTGGGTTTGATGCTCTTCATTAGATTTCATCCAGTTGCAGCTGTCTCTGTTCCTCTGAAGTCGAAATCTGCAATCATGATCTACACAGATCAATCAAGATCAATTTCAAAACAGAAAGGGATAACCACATCTACTCCTTCACCGCTGCAGCTGCAAAGGATGCTCCATATTTGTGCGCGGCCGATTCAATCACAGTGGCGACAGGGGAATGTTAATGTGACATTGAAGCAGACAGGGTGTCAGGAGAACATCAAGCTGGGGGCGCGCCAAAAAGACAGACTTTAGAGGTAACCACAGGGACCAATTAAATGGCCCTCATCAATTTTTAATGTACCTGCTGCACCTGTCAGTCAGGCATTTCACTCTCATACTTGTAAGCAAAACTGATAGCCTCGCACGGCTGACACAGAATGGTCGAGTATAAACAGACTTGTTAAAGAGTTTAAACTTTTATACGTTGGCATTTATTTATTCGGCCGGGCTTTTTCCTCCGGTTTGGTTCACTTTAAAAGAGACTGCTCAAAAACCTTCCCCTCAAAGATTTTCAAGTGCAGGTGGAAAACAACTTTACCCAAGGCTTTCAAATCTTTTAAAATATGCACCTGAGCTGTGCCAGCCAAAGTCACAGCATTCATCATGAACTAAAAAGGAAAAAGGGCAACTTCATGAAAAATTGGAGCACAGTGTGTGGCTGTTCTCGCTGTGATTGCTCTTTGAGAACCATAGATGGCTTTTGTGTGGCTTATTTCTTTTCAAGGACATGCGGGATAACCTAAAATAATAAAATATTGGATTATCAGATAGCTTTCAAAACAATTACGTGAGGAATTGATATGTTTTCTCTAGCTGCGTGTAAGGTGTGCCTCACTCAGTAGGGTTGAACTGCAGTTTGGCTGAGGGCTGACCCTTGAACTGCTGAGCTGAGAATTTGTGGACTCTATGGGTGATTTTGCTTCTGCAGTGCAGTAGGTAATTTACAGCCCTGTCTGCTGTAAAGCGTCTAGGGCCAGTGCCGGGATTAGACTGTGACCAGCAACAGAGCCCATGGATCACCATAAATCTCCACTGATTGAATGCAAATTGGAAAAGTACACTATGTATGTCAGTATACATCATGAGAATAAAGCTCGCCTGCACACAGCTAGCACATGCCCATTCTCTAAATATGCAGGCCTTATTTTATGTGCATGTGTTTGTATGTGTACATGTAAGTGTTTATGTGGGCAGCAGGCAAGCAGCAGAAATTTATGGGCTACACAGTGGCTAACACATTTACATTATAAATCTCAATTACATAGCATTATTTGTTTACCAGTCGGCTTAGATGGAATTCTCATAAGGTGCCCTGCAGAGGAGGGTCATAAATTCTTAATAAACTGCAGTGCAGACCTTTGTACAGCACTGACCTAAATCCTGCAGCTCATCTCTGTGCACTACACTCATTTCTTTAAAATTTAATGAGGCTCTATTACACATATTTAACTGTTTTTTAGAAACCCCAACCTAGATCATGTCCACCTGCACCTCTTTCTTTTGAATACAATATGCACGAAACCAAAACACGTCTTGACACAGTCTCGCAAAGGAAAATGTGGGTTGAGATGCTGTGCTATCAGTCTGGGACCATCTGCCGATGTGTTTTATATGAGGAGTAAACCCTCACAGGCCCTGCAGGCCAGAGGCACAGAGCGCAAGTGATTAATATGCCTAGGTTAATGAGCAGTCCCAGCATTGCCTTTGCTCGCTGTCTGCTGTCAGTATGTGTGCATCTTGGTGGTGAATCACTTCCCTATTGCTGCTGGAGTTCGGAGAGACCATCCCAACATGCCACGTCTTTGCTTAAAGTGGGCCTGTGGCATCTCCTGCTTTGTTCCAGCTATAGCTCTAAATATAAACTGCTTGTGTAAATAAATTAATTTTTTAAACTGCCACCTGGCAATTATACTGCTAATTAAAAGGCGAAGCACTCTTAATGGATTCATCTCTCATGAGGGATGATCCTCTCCCCACATGTATGCGCTCCTTCTTTTTTCTCTCTCCCTGCGTCGTGTCTCCATCATTCCCCTCTACTCTTCCTCTTGTCCATCACTGAAAGCCCAGGCTGATGTGTTACGGGTGAGTGTCGCCTGGACTGCTAGTGTTTTGGTCTCTGCTGAGAGAGAAAGGCTAAGAGGGACAGCTGGATGGGTTCAGAGGCTGGAGGGGTCCTCACTCCTGGCAAAGACTTGTGTTCCCACAGCCAAAGCTCTTCATTTATTCATTCTCTGAGTGCCCCAACCCCCAAAACCCCAGAATGGCGTACATACACGCACAAACATGCATACACACATGGCTAAAAGATAACAAATCAAGCACTTATAAGCACTTATAAAAGATGAGAGAATAAAATTATCCTCCACATTTATACACATGTGCTTGAAGAGAGGTGGGCCAGTCCATCGCAGCGTTCAGATGTAGGAACAGCTACACACAAACACACACACACACACACACACAAACATAAACGCACACTCACATAAACGCACGCTCACACACCTGCACAGTTGCCCATCTGTTTTCTTTGGGGGATAACACTGTTTTCATTAAAGTGAATAAGCATCTTCAAAAGCAGCAGTGAAGCATAAAAAAGTCACTTTCCAGAACAGCTTATTCCCTATTCAGACGATTCGGATGCAATTAGGTCAGAACAGTTCCGACTCTCACTTTGTGATCGACGTGGACCTGTAACATGAAGGATCTGAGGGCACCTTTAAATAAATGATCAGGCCTGCTTGGCTGGAGGCGGCCAGAAGCTCATTATTTCGGAGATCTGCTAAAACCTGAATGCAGATGTTCCAATATGAGTGGCAGGACTAAAAAAAAAAACCCTGGTTGGGCACCAATAACGCAAACGTACTCTAAATACCCCCAGTATACCTATTACATCCTCTCTGAATGTTAGCATTATCCATTAATCCTTTTGAATTAAATTTTATAGATCTATTCCTCATTTTCAGTGCATGTGGATTATACTGTACTCCACACATGCAGCAGCAGCTCCAGACATACAATATCTTGTTGTATTGTTACACAACAAACCCCAAGGAAAGGGCCATAAAGAAACAACATAAACCTTGAATCAATAATTAAACACTGCTTTGTGTAGGCATACCTCGACTGTTTAGAGACTAATGTGCAGAGTAGATTCAAACAGATTTGTTAATGACCAGTGTACTGCATTGATATGCGTGTGTTGTAGTTGGCCATGAATCATTCAATTTGAAAGGACTCATTACTTAACAAAGAGGCTTTCTGCTGTTATGTTGTTTTGCCAACATATCAGTGGAGATGTCAACAACGCCAGAGTAAGAGAGAGACTTTCCAAAACGCCTCCAATGTTATCAGAATCGAAATCTTACAGCAAACATCCAGAGCCGGCGTGTGCCTCGCTGAGCGTGTGTTCAAGGATAGGAGTGCAGTAATCCACAGCTGGTGCGTCTAAACCTCGGAGCCGAGCGACATCTTTACAGAAGAAACCCTCAATCTGACAACCATGTCTGGTTGCAAACATCAAAACTAAACTCTTTCATGATTTAACAACAAAACGTATACATATTGCAGACACAGAGGCGATGCATCTCTGCCTAAGAGGTGGCACATGAATAAGTTGGGAGATAAATCAAGTACAGTGTCTCCCTGAGGTGTGGTACAGTGCAAGTATTTAAGTGAAATATGAGGCTATGGATAATTGAATGTGTGTTTCCCTATGTCAAGGACCATAGTCTCTGGGGAAAGGACAGATGCAGAGAGATGATGGAATCGGGAATTGGGGAGTGAGAGATGGAGGACCGAGAAAGAGGGGGAGGGAGTGTTTGATCCTGAAAGAAATTGGTAAAGACTGGTACGGGCCGTGTCATGAATAACTCAAATCCTGCATCTGAGGAGCTCTGCAGTGTGAACCCCTTACTTGTATTTCACTTCCTAGCGTGCAAATAAGAAAAAAACAAAAACATAAAATAATATAAAGGATCTGTGCAAAAAGACGAACAGAGTGCTGCGCTTTGGCAGACATGCCTTAATAAGAGGATAGTCTCTAAGAAAAAGTTTGCCTCGTGTTCTGAGTCTCTCTGTCTGACTAACACGGAGCACAAAACATTTAAAAAACAAAAGGAAGGAGTGTCAAGATCCAATCTGTGTGAGAGCTTAGCTTCATCAAACTCAGTGCAAGCAACAAAAGCTCGCAGCACTGTCAGTTCCCCTAGAAACTCTGAAGCTGAGAACAAGCTGTGCATTTGGATGATGAAGAACTTGACTCACTCGTGCTTTTGACTTGTGTATCGCAGTGAAAACATTCAGGGCTTAATAGATAGTAAGTCTAACTTCTAAGTTGAGTCAAAAACCATCACATGAATGTTGTGCAGCTCTTACTGATACACTGATACTTGTAAGAGCAGTGAAATCTTGTCGGTCGTATTCCTTCAGGTTAGAGTTCAGTGAAGCTGACTTGATTTTGTTGCATAGTTTAACCTTCCTCCTGTGTTGGCTTTTGCTATGCACCCACTATGTTAAGGGTCGGTTTCAACCTCTGCTTAAAACAGCTGTAAATTACACTAAAAACAATTCTCTATCATCCAATTTGGTTCTCATCTCTAGGTTACCTTGTTAGGCTTCATTATCCATGAAAATATTGCTGATAATATATTTTTTGTTGTGGGCCTCTGGGCTTTTCTTTGTCAGTGTACCCCTCATACGGGCATCTATTCTGAATTGATCTCACATGTCTGGACATGACTGACGTTTTTTTGTGCAGGGAAAAAACAGGCAAAATGAGAATTTCCTAAATCTCACATGATTGGAAGAGGATCTGACTGTCAGTGTGATGCCTGACAGTGCGCATATGAGTATTAGATATTAATCTAACTGGGTCAACAGTGACCTTAGCATGACAAGTGCAATAACTTTAATAAGAGCATTTTATAGTTAAGTCAATTTTTAATTTTTTAATTTTGTTAAAATAAAGGTTCCTGACAAAGTCAAAAAGTCTTGATGCAAAAAGCAAATTTATGTGGTTCTTTTAAGCCCTTCAAAACAAAAACAGGTTTGTACAGACCCTAACTCAGGAGGAGGGTTTAGAGTTTCCTTTCTAGTTTTGTACTCAACAAATCATTTTGTAGATAGTGCAACATTTGCATTACATCATGACATTTGTACTCTGTTTTCTCTACAAGATCAAGCAACTCGTTCCTTTGTGTTCCTCTGTTGCTCCACCTGTTGCTAATTAACCGGGCAAAGTCATTGACAAAGTCAATGTGGCTCTCAAATACAATTCTAATTATATATTGGGGTCTCTGGCACAAAGGTGTAGTCCACAGAAAACCCCTTCGGGACGGAGGTTCATTAACTTACATTGTCAGCAATGGTGCGGCCCAGCTTGTCCATTCTTGATCCCGCCTCCGCAATTTTCTTTGCAGCGCTGATGACATCAGACGTGTTCTTGAGTGGCCCCTTACCCCTGGGGAGAAAAAAGTGGAAAGATCACTCACTGTTTTTGATCTTCAGCAACCTCATTTCATATGCAGCAGCTGCAGCAGCATCTCAGTCATGGAGCGTCTGTTTGTTTTTGGAGGGTTATTTTTCAGGCGGCGGCAGCAAGCGTGGATAGAGAAGCGTGACTTATGGGAATAGTTCGGGGAGACTAAGCAAAAAATACATGTGCATGCTGCTCCACAGATGTTAACACACTCACTGTACGTACACTCTCTGGCATCATATTGTCCAATCAAAGATTTAAGGGTTTTCTAAGCCCTTAAATGCAGAGGACCACCCTCCAGTTTCACCTTGGCCCCATGCTGCCATACTATGGTTTTTTCAAGCTCTATGACCCGTGTTCAAAAGGAGGGAGTCAAACACAGTTTTTTTTTTTTATTTCTAGTTTCAGCTTATGATCAACAAAGCTCTGAAAATATATTTTAAGAAACTGGCAGCACAATAAAACTCAAAATCGGAGGAAACCGTGGTACAGGAGACTGTAATATTACAACTGTCACCATATGTTTCAAATAGCAACAGATATTCTCAAATCAATCTGCTCAGCCCCCTCTATTCGAGCAGCTTTGGAGGGTTTATCAAAAGGCTGAGATGAAAATTGGATTGGTTCCATATATGTTGGTTGCTCTTGAAAGCCCTATACACACATTCACAAGCTCTTCACTTGTTTAGCGGCTTCCATCCAGGTAAAGAACAAAAAAAGGGCAGCCAGAGAAAAAGGGGCTCTGGAATTGTACGTAGAAACATTCAATTTAAAGGCTCTGGTCCTTGTCCTAAAGCTAAACATCCAGTCTTGACCTTTGCTGAGCCACACAAAGCCCATCCCAACACAGGTCAGGCCAGCCCTGACCCAACCCACTGTAAGCTTGTCAACCATTTGCCGTTTTTTTCTGCCCCCACAAGGGACTCTGAGACACAGTTGGCAAGAGGCACAAATTGGATTCAAAGCTGCTCTCTTCAGGCTAAAAAATGAGCTATCCAACCCAGAACAGATGGAATTTCGTGTTCTGTTCTCTCGCTTCCTCTTTCCTCTGCTCCCATCTCCCACCCTTCCCCTCTCATCCGCTCCCTCTGCTGCTCTGCTGTAAAGCAAGTCAGGGTCCTCGTGGAGCACAGACTGGCGCTTCCCTGGGGAATAGTCAACCCCCTGGAGACGATGCTTAAGGCAGAGTGTGATGGGTTCTGGGGGAAAGCACCTCTGGATGGAGCAGTCTTAGTAAAACACTGGAAAACGTCACATGCAAATGTATTATATCCATATAATGTATAATAAATAAAACAACCACTGATTTCTTCCTCTCTTCTGATTCCTTTTAATAATCTTTTTCTGTAACTTGAAGATATTAAGGCCAGCTGCTACATTTCCTTAGCATCCTGAGCTTGGTTTTAGCAGCAAAGCGACAACAAGAAAAGCACAAAAAGGCCACAAAGATGGACAAGAGACCTGAGGTCTGAGATTTTCGTATTGGATTTCTACCTGGAGAAAAGACGAGGGACTTCAGGTTTGGTGACAGCTGCATGTCTCCAGATGGGTGAACGCCACATCAGGCTGAGCACAGAATGCTCCAAGGTAGGTGGCCCCCCAAATACATCGCATGTTTCCAAGCCACACATGACTTATTCATGAGAGCTGTCATACAGCCATAAGCAATGCAGGAGTCAACAAGAATCTCACTCTCTGCAGGTTTGTCAGGAGAGGGGTCCAAAACAATTACCTCTTCCAGCATTAACCTTGGCAGGGCTTTGTGCCAGCTCAAGGTTGAGGGGGCAATAATTTGGGTGCAGGCTGAATTAGCTAGCTACTGACCTTCCTTGTGCTACTACTGCATGCCAGAGTCAAGGCATAATGTGCAGTCATATATCCAGTCTGACAAACATCCGTGTGTGTGAGTGTATGTGTGTGTGCGCTTTATCAGACACACACTGGCCTACACAATGCCTGTGTACCAATTAGGCAGCAGAAATATTTAGCTGCGATCTTAAACTCATAGTCACTGCACCAGCACAAACATTCACCGGTTTTCTTCCCAAGTTATGGCAACAAAAAAGCACAAACCTGTCTTCAAGTTGCCGTTCCATTAGTGCATTGTGTACATGTAAACACACAGGCCAATTTAACCTTCACCAAGCTCTGCAGTGCAAGATGAAGTATGCTGGGAATGAGAGGCTTTGTTGTTGTTTCTTTTCCCAAACTATCGGCTAAATATAAAATGCCTTGGCAGGCAGCCATGCAAAGGTGCACAGTACTTCTCTTATTTCATCCCTCAATGATCAGAGCTTGTGAGTTGGTCAACAGGTTAAGTGAACAGCAACACTTAAAGAGAAAAAAAAAAAGCCTAATTTATGCCTGTTTGGACAACACAGAATGAAACCAATCTGGAATCACATGAGACATTTTCAAGATGAATACCAGATGTGTGCCAAACTGAACCAAAGACAGAGGACCAAAATGGTTGAGAATAAATTCAGTGTCAAAGAAGCTTGAAGGGTCTGTTTCTCTTCTTGAAGAGATTCTCGTTTGAATTTCAATTCCTTGGGTCTCCTCTCGACTGAGAGATGAAGCCTTCGTTTTGATATACAGATGTCACTGCAATCAACAACCTCTTAAACATACATATACACAGCTGCAGCATCTGATGAGGAAACATGGATGGCACTCTGGGCGGAAGCAGCATCATTTGCATTCCATTCAAATCTGTGCACTGCGTACACAGTTCCTGTAATGCAAAAGGCAGTTGTCTCTTTTTTTCTCTCCGCTGTCCTATGAAAGAATTGAAGCAAATAGGAAATTGCAGGGTTGTGTCGAGCCTCAGTCAGATCACTGTCCTTGTTCATATTTTGAACTTTGCTGCTTTCCAGTATCTTATGTCTGGCCAAGGATGCGGGATCTTTGACCCATTCAGACAGTAAACAGGCAGCTTTTCAACGTCATTAGGGACGTGACTCAGAGTTAGGCACAAAATGTCCTCTGACTAATTCGCTTAAATATTCAAAAAGGCAGAGTCATACGAAAACAGTCGGGCACAAACCAAGTCAGCCGGTCAAAATGTTTCCTCCACATATGCTCAAATAAACACACACTCATACACATACACACACAGGGTGGTAAAAAAAAAAAAAAAGGTTTATGTAAAAACTTTGACCAAAACAACCTCGGGTCTATTATTGTATTTTAATGTCTTGATTAAATACCACAACATCCTGTTTATTGATGTTACATCTCCAAAACAAAGAGGATTTTTAACTAAATTCATAAAAAGCAGAAATACAGTAAAACTTCAGAGTGTTGTAATATTTGTGCAGCAAAAGTATAGCAGTGTGCTGCATGGTGGACAAGTCCAAACAGGGACCTGGAGGACCTAAAGCTGGTCCAGAAACTTATCATTGAAAGTGATTAAAGGTTTAATTTTGTAAACTTCTCTATGAACACAAGAGTTATACAGTCAAGTATAATGTACAATAAGAACAGGCTTTTCTAACTGCATGTGGATATAGCTCCCAAAAGAAATTCCAATCGTTGCACAAAGTTGTCTGGGACAGAGGATTGTGACTTTTCAGTGTATTTGATAATAAATAAATCATAGTCATCTGTTTTATTTGGTGGTTATGTCACTTGTGTAGTTTTAATTTTCAAAAACTGATGTTTCTAAAGTCTGTGTGGTGCTTATTAACCTTAAAAACATCTTCCTTCTCTCTCCAGGACTTGGTTACATTAGCGAGATTTCCCAAACTGCTGTGCTTCTGCAGAAATCAATACTTGAGAAGTTTGCAGTAAACACCCTGCTTTTCATCACAGAAACTTTTAAGACCCACTGACTGTTTTTAGCGGATGCATATTTTGAGCAATATTACTGCAAAGATGTTTCAAAATATTCCATCATACTTGCTTGGTTTCTGGTCCAACCGCCTCCCTGCCATCATTAGTATCTCAGCAAACCAGTGACTAGTGGAAATAAAGCCAACCTGTAGCAGCTGCTGAGTGAGTCTGGCCTCTTTGATACACCAGAAGGGAGGGGTAATACTAAGACGAGGGGGGAAGGGGGTGGTAATCATGAAGAAAATCCTACCTACAGTGCTGCTTGAGGAAAATGATGAGCACTGATGCATGAACAGGAGTGTTAAACTTGGTGCATAGAATTGTGCAGATATGAAACAATGTCAGGAAACAAATGTCGGCTTACTGGGAGATTGCATTGAGCTTAACTTGAGTATGGTTTCTATCCGGGAGGCGTGTTGCCTGAGTTGTACTGCGCAAATATTTAAGTAAGGACAGCATGATGATATGCAGTGGTCATGTGCAGCAAAATAGAACTACTAACTAAAGATGTGCAAATATTCTTCAAACTATTCATTTACTCCACTCATGAAGACAGAAAAAAAAACGCTTTAGGTTGGAGCCAAACTGTTTGTGAAACTCACCTGGTGAAGTCTGTCATCTCCATCATGATCATGCACATCTGCTTGGCCAACACGATGATGTCATTGCCGCTGTCGTCCCACTTGGATACTTCAGCATCCAGCTTGCTCTTCTCTTCCTGGAAGCTGGCCACCTGTTCGGCGATCTTTGCCTTCTGCTCCTGAGGCAACTGAGCCATGATAGCCTAAAGGAGAAATTATGGGAAATGTACAGTGCTGAATTCTGTCTCCGGGGCATTTTTGTTTTTGTGCTATTTCATAAGGTTAAGGTTGTTATGTCACAGAGGAATATGGTCATGGCAGAGAAACACTAACATTATGACACACTACAAACGTTTTCAGACAATCTAGCTCTTAAATCAGGTAGACCTTAAGTCATTTTATGCTGGTTACATCTATATAAAAGTAAATCAAATTAGTTTTGTTCCTAATATAATACTGTAATAAGTAGGTAGTATCACCTAGTCACCCCCAAATATAATCCAATCCAGTCCAACAACAGTGCAATCAATAATTTAAGATAAGCACATCTGGAATATGTCTACTGCATTCAAATGCTGTTTTTTGTGTATATAAGGTTAAGTTTTTGTCTGGATATGTCAGGGTTGAACTGCTCACTTGCATTTTCACTCTTTTCAGTATACACTAGTCTTCAAAGACCCAAAAACGGCCAAAGAAACGGTCTTTTCTGTATATCAGTGTAGCCAAAGCTGAATGCCCCAGGTTAAAAGGGGAGTCCGAATTCTTTTCTCTAACAAAACCTTCAATCAATACGGTTCACGACCACGAAATGTCATGTAACATCTCCTAGTATTTTTCATACTCTCCGCGAAAGACAGCAATATGAAGGTTTTTTTTTTTTTTCAAACTGTGCTCAGTATCATCTCTAGGACGGTTAAAGGGCAGCCTCCAAACAGGCAATCAGACATTCAATGAATGAGCTTGTGAGGCCGGAGTGGGCAGACACTTAAGAGCAGGAAATCTAATATCATTGCAGGAGTGTTCATTCCATTACTGGTAAATAGGACTCCCTCTCTAGAGTCATCTAAGCTTGAACAAAGCTGTTCGGGGCGGTGCAAAGATGAGAAGCGCCTACCTGACAAAGGAGTCTGATAATCTTTAATGAACATAACAAACAGCATGGAACAGTACTGATGGATCACTCTGCCCGTAGGGATTCCAGAGATTAACTTATTACCTTGTTTTCTTTAAATCATTAATGCACTAAGCCTCTAAAGGTACAATAACGTCTGATGTGAAAATAGACAAAAGCTGTTTTGTAAGGGAGCAGATGCTCACATAGACAGAATGGTAGTGCTGGCCTATCACTGGAATTCTGTGCTATACAGTCATCTTCAAACAAGGAGACATGGAGCAGCCGTTGATTATCACGTAGGTATCTGTGTGACCTTAACAGTGGAGACATCAACTAAACACACGGATGATTGAAACTGGGAGGGTTCCAAAAGACTGGAGGATGTTTATAGAAGATTTTATATTAGGGGTGACCCAATACGATATCGATATCGGTCTGATATCAGCAAAAAAAATAATAATAATAAATAAAAAAAATATCAGACTATATCGGCCTGCATCTAAAATCTCCAGTATAAGCACTCTTATACATGCAGTCCATTCCAGATTTCGCTCCAGCACCTCTATCTAGCAGCACCCCGATCCAGCATGTAGAGCCCATGTGATCACAACAACAGTGTGTACTAAGGTACTAACAAAGTACCAAAGAGTAGGAGTGATGTCGGACCTGTGGCAGTATTTCAGGGATGCACCGATCTGATATTTGGATCAGATATTGAAACGCCAATCCAGCCTTTTTTTTTCTTTTTTAGTTAATATCACACACAGCAACACAGCGATTCTGTTCGCTCTATATTCTATGTCGGTCTATCCATTTGCACTAAATGTTTACATGGAAGTCTTACTACTGTTTGCTGTGTGCTAATGTGCAAATTTTTATTTGTTAATAAATAATGTAAAGTAAATTAATATCTGTCTTCATTTGTTACCTTTTTTTTAACAAGGAAAATGTCAAGCCGGATGCCTTCACTCACAGGGCAAGGTATACAGTTCACTCATCCAACAGTAGTATTGGATTGGTATCGGATATCGGCCGATACGCTCAGCCCAGGTATCAGTGTCGGATTGGATTGGGAAAAAATGGTTGTTGCATCTCTACAATATTTTTCATTAAAGTCCGAAAAAGATGTTGCAGCTGAGTGCAAAACTTGCAGAGGTTTGTGCTAAAATCGGATCAATATCGGTATCTGCCAATATTGAAGGCTACAATATCGATATTGTATCGGAGGGGGAAAGAAAAGTTGTACCTGGGCACCCCTATTTTATTTAACTGAGTTTTCCCCTCTACTAAGTTACTAAGTGCATTAGGTCTAATGCCTGTTATTACAGCAAGAGTTATTTCATGACAAACATCACTAGAAGATCAAAAGTCTGTTATTGGACTAAAATATCCATGCAAATCTATGTGTAACATCTATTTTTAACACAATACAATATAATAGAAGACTAGGTTAAGAACAAGAGTGGATATGGATAAAACTCTACATAAAGATAAGGGTGAAAAAGAAGTTATTGCATAAAACCAGCTGTTAGTAAGCAGTTGCTGAGTATCAGCAACCAGGGTGTCTCTCAATAACCTAGTGTCTTCAAGTATTTTTTCCAAACACAGGCAGTAATAACATTTGTCGTTAAGATATGTCAAAGATAATGCAGAAACTTTCTAACTAGGATTCAACTGAACTGACAAACGCTACACAAGCTAGTAAGTTAATAACATTTTTCAAGTATTTTTTCTTATCTTGGAATCAACATGTGCTTTTTGATGCAAACATCTTTCACTTCTCACAGGGTGGCGTGGGTAAAATTCAACAGCTGAAAATTTCAAAGGTAGAAGCAGAGAATGTCAGATACAGCCGAAAAAGCTGTAAGAAGCGATGGACATCTTACTCTTGCACTCTGGCCGGCAATAAGCTGGTCATCCTCCGTCTGCACGCTGGTCCTGCTGCGAACATCAAAGTCTTCAGTCTCAAAGTCAGAGTCGTCCAGCTCCTCTGGAGTCTGTAGCAGGACAACAGACAGAGAGAGAGAGAGAGAGAGAGGTGAAGGAAGGGCCAACCAGGAGGAGTAAATCAAAACAGTCGACTACACAGGATGGGCAAAAGAAACAAGAGACAGGGTAGTAAAAAGGCAAGAAAAAGATATAAGATATGAGTGAAGAACACAAAGCAATATTGGCACACTACAGCCTGCTGAGCACTATTAAATAACCAACCTGCTTACTATGTGTGAGAAATGCTTTGGCACTGCTGGCAAGGGCAGCATCAGATAAATGTCTTCTTCCCCACAGCTTGGTACAAGAAATTGTAAACTCTAGATGAATTTGTAAATCAAGTGTAATGTGCTGCCTGTGCATTCTGAGAGGGGAAATGAAGGTACAAGCTGGTAGGAAACATATTGGGAGCTAAACGCTTCAGTCCCATCTGTCGCTGCTGTCTGTAAAGAGGCATGTGAGGCATGAGTTGTGTTCTCCTCGAGTGTATCTACTTCATCTCTGATCCCTCACCTCTTCCCTTGCTTTGAATGCAAAACAAGTGACAAGCAAGTATTCTTCTATAAATATTAATATTCAAAAGAATTTCTATCTCAACAGGTCATGCTTGAGGCAAAATACAATACTGACTGACAGGGAAATGTATTTGGTGATGATATAGGCACAGGGAGGGTGATGTGGACAGATAAAGGTGCATTATCACGCCTCTGCCGCTACTTGTGCTTATCCAGCTGTCTCAATACCTCCCTTCTGTAATGGATTTGGAGCCCCCACGTCTAAAAATAGCTGAAGGTCTCTGAATAACCTTACACTGCTTTATGGGATGTAGAGATGCTCTTGTTCTCAGGGGAATAGAGGTTTCAGATACAAAGCTGTAGTGACTCACAGGCATCCCTTTCAACCCAGACAATGCTGTGCAGTGGGGCAGAGATATCACCTGCTGTGGCCTGCGCAACAGATAACCTGTGAATGTGGGACGCTCACAAATGATAGCTCATAGTGAGCGCCCGATGGGACAGAACTGTAGAGAAGTGGCAACAACAGCCTGCAGTTATATTAAAAAAGGATTCTGTGAAAGTAGCACTGTTACTATCACAGAAAATAAAACTTTAATACCATAATTCATGCTGAGGCAAAAAACCTGAATCAATATTTAATTTAGTAATGTCCAACACTGTCTAAAAGCTGAAATATTCAGCTCTATCTGCTTCACCTCTGTATGTCACATTTTAGTAGATAGTGTCTGAGGTCGGATGGATAAGAGACAGAAGACAGGATGAGAGCTGGAATAAAAGTATCGCAACAGGAAAAAAACGAGGTCTTATTCTTATCTTGTATTTCTGCCTGCTGCTAGATACAGACGGGGCAGTCCGACAGTAAAATCCCCCCGGAGCTTTCTGAGGACAGAGCCAGCCAAATCACCTTGAGCCGTGGCACCCTGCACAAATCATAAGGTAACGACAGCTGCCCCCTGTATCTGGCTGTCAGCAGCTCCCTGACTTTGAGACAGTCTGATGTCCGGGGGGCATGTTCTCTGATGTCGCTGTAGGTGGGAAAGGGTTCTGTCCATCTGTCAAATAACCGGGGGATGTCCAACATAGGCTGCCTGGGCGCTACTTACAAAGGTTAAAGACTTGTCCATCTTTAGTCGCCCCAACAGCACACTTGTCTACTCTGATTTCAGTGCGCGGCGCGTGCAAGTCAGGGTTTATAGGAGGAGTGCGAGTGCGCGCGTTTTGTTTGTGAGGCTGTGTGGACAAGCCCTCGAGAGCAGATGTCTCATAGTACTCAGCTGGTTTAGAATATTTCATATTCGTTGGGGCTCAGAGCTGAACATGCCTAGTTTCACATGGAAACTGTGCTACTGTGGGGCAGTTCAGCCAAGCAAACAAAATCTTTAGGACATAACTTAATGTTTTTTTTAACACTTATTTAACCTCACTAAAATGATCTGAAGGAAGCTGCTGCAAAAACGCTGCTCTAATATTTCTTAGCTGAGGTATTTCCTGCTGAATAATCAGCACCAAACCTGTGATGATTACCCCGCGCACCTGATCAAGACAACCCGGCGAACCCGTCGGGGGGGCTGCATAATTTTCCTTGTAAGATAACAGATGAAGTTGGAGTTGATTCCCACCAACATCCGCCGCTCTGAATGGCAGATTTATTCTGACGGATTAATTATAGGTGAGACAGACTTTTCATAAATCTTCCGTTATTTTTGACACACTTGCACACCTACACACACACCCACCTGGTAGCGTACAGTCAGCCTCAGAGGCCCGGTGTTAACAGCTTAATCAATCTGGATAACAGGAGTGGAGCTGGGGCAGATGGAAATTGAATGTAGCTCTCCGGCTTGCAGTCGGATTAAAGAATGCTAATTAAAAACTCCATCTTAAATCAATTGCTTATTATAATGCAAATACTGTATGACTGTCCCTCACTCATTTGGGCTTGTCTATGTCTGGGCTGCATTATTCATGGGAGCCCAGGCGGAGCTTTTGAGCACCGCTGTCAACACAAAATGTGCTGTCAAGACTAATGATTCCAATTCAAACCATTAAAGTGTTGAAAATAATGGAAGATGACATAATACAACCAACCAGCTCATTGTAGCGCTACATAGCAAATATATAATTAGGTACTGTTAGACACGAGAAGCGCTTTAAATAAATTCACTTGCCTCCTAATATAAAAAAAAGGCCATCTGACAGTCTCGAGTAGTTAGAGTAGGTATATACCGTAAAGCCCCAAGAACTATCCATTTCTCTTTACAGCTGGAGTGGCTTTTGTTGTCGGCACATAGTCAGTCAATTAGGTACCCAACTACCATCTGTCTCAGTTATAGTTCTACTCAAGCAAAGGCCATTAACCCACAGACAACCAAGGCTGCAGTTACACTAGATTGCAAGTCTGGTCAATTAGGTCTGCTCTTGCATGAGACAAGTTAATCATTGGCTTCTAGGACTGCACGCATACACGCTTTCTCACGTTCCATTAGAATCAGCATCTGGTGCACAAACCAATGGCTATATATACATACAATTACATCACACTACAGTAACCAAGGCCTCTCACTTCGTTGTGGATTGGATGCCTTCTGTCGGAATGTCTTAAATTCAAGAGCGTCAAATAAACCTTGAACTCTGACCCTAAATCCCCTCCATGCGAAATGAATTTCGACCTTTACAAAAGCGCTGGTGTGGTTTTCAGAGGATTACAGCTTCTTAATGTGGTCAGAGGTAAACCTCTCCATGTAAGTGAAAATGTCCAGTAGAGAGACAGCGTTATTCACTCTAACAGTTTCAGCCTAGATTATGCTCAGAGGGGGATAGGAACCAGATTAAAAACAGAACAAGAAAAAGGAAATACCGTCATTAAGTTAGAAAAAGTCTTTTGACTCGGGTCAGAGTGAAGACTGGGTCCCTTTTTTTGCACAAGCAGAAAAACAACGCTGCAACTTACTCTGATCATCAGGACAGCCTTGCGAATGTCACGAATGCCATCATACACCAGACGGGATGCGTCAATGAACTCATTCTCATCCACAGGCTGTGAGGGGTTTGCACTCAAGGCCTCGACTGCAGACTCCACTTGCTCAGTGAAGCGTGGCATGACTGAGGAAGGTGAGACAAAGGTAGGAGGGAGAGAAAAACAATATTGATGAAGAATCACTTAAAAAATGACAAAGTGGGGAACAAAACTGAGGAGAACAAAGCAAAAAGAGCAGGTAAAGTATGAAAGAGGTTCTGATCATGTCAAAACCTAATAAGGGTTTCAAACTGGGCATCCAAAACCTTTCAAAAACCTCTAACAATGAAAATTAGATTTGATCTTTCCATAAAACTGTGCAAGTGAGGCCTCACTCTGGTCTGGAAATCAACCTCATACTTACTGCTCCTGAATGGCGATTTAAATAGTATCATCTCTGCCATCATTTTTGACTGATAGAATTTTGTGCTGTTGGTCCTCCTACCCAATGCTCTGCCTTCTACTCTTGCATAAGAAATAGGGAAGAAAGTGCTGAGGGGAACAGATCCCATAATGGGCATAACAGAGTTTTCCAGTAGAAGGTTTCACAAAGCTGTCCCAGCAGGCATGTACTTTGCCCTACTGACGATATAATAACGGCTCCAGAGGGCTTTTCAGCACATCTGCATTAATGGTATTTCAGATTCTGTAATAGGAATTCAGCCTCTGCTTCACAGGAGAGAGACACGGATGTAAGGATGCATATGCGGATGCAGAAAGCAGCAGGAGGACGAGAGAGAAGTTTGTTTTGTTGCTTTAGGACAATTTCAACTTACAAACTACAAAATAAAAAACTGCATTGGAAGGAAAGTTATTAAAAATCCAGTAGTATTGAAGGTTTCTATTGATAAAGCAATTGCTACTCTAAATCTATTACGACTGGGTCTTAAATCAATTCGCATTAGAAGGACAAAAGGCTTAAAACAACTCATCATCATTAATAGTGTGCCTGCTTCCTTTTTCAGTGACAAAAACATACTCTTGGATCTGTCAGGAATCGATGCAGCAGTCACAACGGTGTTTTGTTTTCTAAAAGTTGCCTATGTAGGGACTTGTTTTCTTTCTGCTTTTACAGTCTTCACCATTTTGAATAACTACAACATGTAACACAAAGTACAAGACACTGTGACAAGCTTTTTCCATGGTTAATGTTTACAGCACACAAAAACTCTAAATAACCGTCATAACGTGAAGTTCATGAAACTTGACTGTAACTACACCTTTGGAAAACTTGTCCAGTTTTGTGCACCATATTTTACTCTGACAGAGAACAAATTAAGGTGTGACCTTGTTGATATTAAATCTCACTCTCATCCCTCTTTTGGGGGGAGGGCACAAGAGCTCATAACCTCGCAGCCGCAGCAGAAATCCCACTTGAATTCCAGCCTGCATATCCTGACTTTTAATAGGCGCTGTGTCAAGAGGGCTAAATTGTCCCTAAATCTGACAACCGACAAATCGGTCTGCCATCTTGTTAGCTTCCTTGTGATGGAAAGCTAACATGGCTCACACTCACTGATAATGATACAGCGCAGCATATGGACAGGAACAGCCTCTATAGCATAACTTGAGGTTGCGATATTCAGGCCGAGCTGACAAATGAACAGTGCCTGCTGTGCAGATAAGCAGAGCAAGTTTAGTCGAGGTGGTTACGTCCCACAATGCTGCACTTCTAACAGAAATGGGATTGGCTGTAATCAGAAAATTACATTTTCTAAGCCAGTTCTAGGAGTAGCCAAAAAGTGTTTTGCTTTTTAAATGCCATAACAATCAAACTTAAATTGGTATCCTGGGTAAAAGCATTCAAAAAGCTCCAAAAGAGGAGAAACGGGAGAGAAAAAAAACGAGTAGACAGGTCTCACTGTGGCCCTGCCTGCGACACAAGAAACCTTTATTGGGCATTAAGTGGAAAAAGCACCATGCCCATACAAAGCAGACTGGTTCAGGTGATTCAATAAACACTAAATTAATAATGACAAATCAATCTTTCATGGAAAACACATTGAAGTGAGAGCTGACAGATGAATGCAAGGAAATAAAAAAACATTTTTAAAAAATCTTGAGGGAATGTTTCACCTTCCAGGTCAAAGCACATCGAATTAACTCCCATTTGTTTTGGTTACATGTATATAATTCATGAAAGCTTGAATGTACCTTTTTAATATATCCATAATTAAAAGCATAAAGAGGCTAAACTTGCTGTAACAATAAAATAAATTAGAGAAGTAATCCTGGTGCATGTTTCAAATAGTATTCATTTAAAGTTTATGAAATCATTCAACTGAAAGGTAAGTAATTGAAGAAAAAGGAATGAATGTCATTTGTGTTGTCACATAATTCTGTTTCTTCTGTACCTTGGTCAGTGAGCATTTTGGTGGCCTCCAAGACCTTCTCTGTGTAGACTCCAGGTTCATAATTGTCCATTTCAGAGGTGACGACATGGACGACTCGAGCCGCACGTCCTCGTATGGCTCCAGCAGTGCGATCCAAACCGTCAACATCTTTCTCCTGCAGAGCGATGACACACTTGTTCACGTCCTCCAGGATGTGGTTCTCTAGGGGACAGAAAAACAATAAATGCAGTTAGCAGTGTGTACCTCCACCTGCTTCCGAAACATGCTAATGTTTGGAAGATGTTAGTGTTGAATTACTTTTCTTTTTTATCCAAGACATGCTTTAATTTGAGGTTGGAAATGTTTTTTATGAATTATAATGAGAGAATAACTCTAGTCAGGTTATTCCCAGTGCTTGTTGAATCATCCTGAAAATGAAAGGGCTGCTGGGATGCTCTTATATAGGAAAGGGAGGACTACTGACAGATTCTCAGACTATTTATTAATGGGAGCCTGTTTAATGCAAATGCACACAGTGTAAATTACAGCCTGTCCTTGGCTGGAGGTGAGAGAAGTCACTCTGCTTAATGCTTAACGAGAACTCTTTAAGGGAATGCCTGACAAACCATTTGTGTGGTTTAACACACGTGACAGGATGTCAATTTCAGACGTAGTGCTGCTGATGCTTCAGTACTTTCCTCTGTGGAGTCCAATCGGCCTTGGTTTGTAAGGTGCTCATCAAAAAGGGACAAAAACTTCAGAGTCTTTACAGTTAATTCCCCTCCTCTTACCAATGGTCTGAAGTGCTTTGTGGAGATCTGTCTTGATCCTGAACAAGAGTGTCATCTACCAAACACTGCACTGTCTGTTTTTACATCCAAAAGTACAAATCATTTATTATCATTCAGTAAAAGCACATATCTCTTTTCAGAAGATGAAAGGGAGTACCACTCACCAGACACACAAAGGAAGTCGTCAATGGATGTTATGTCATCAACAGCATCAGTGAGGACGCGGACCTGCTTCTCCCACTGCTCCTTGAACAAATCCATATTGTCCTGGGCCACCTTACTGTTGGGTTTGGCAGCGAGGGCTAACGCGGCATTAATCACCTGTAATCACCCAATTACATCCATTAAAGCTCCATTACAGCATAGCCCACAGCCACAACATTAGCATAGGATGACTGCATAAAGACCCCCTCCTTCTCACCCCCAATGTTGGGACTGCAGCATGAAACCAATTTATTGCTGAGAGTGATTATAGACATGAAATGTTTTGGAGGACTGAATGAAATAAAAACCAACAGCTGCTTGTTTTGGGGGAAGAAACATCTGTGAACATCAAGGAACGGGGTGAATAGGAGTCATTAGATGAGATTAAAAGGAGCAGCGGCAGGCAGCATAGCAAAGAAAACTGGCAGGGCTCAGAGGTGCAGATGAGGGACTGGTAGCAGACACTGAAAGGATATTGGTATGAAAAAATGATGGATTTCAGTGAATGGTAGGATGTGTTGTAAATGAGGCTGGGGGAAAGTATCAGGGTTGTGGGGGTACAGAGAGTAAGAGGATCAATTTGCTCTCTGAGGTTTAAACATCGAGGCTGCAAGTGATATGTGAGACAAGCCGCAGCCTTTTCATTAAAAGTGTGGTTGTGTGTTTCAATGCAGCTTATTAAATCTCATGTATTTGTCGACGGATTAACCAAGCGCACCATGACCAGCATCATGCACAGTTTATTGGATACATTTACATAAATCGGAACATAAATGGTCTTCAGAGACGTACTTAATTTCAGGGGGTATTTTGTTCCTCTAATGTTGGACACTAACTGATATCAGAGGGGGGTGAGTGGTGCACCGGTTGAACAGGGGCAGCTTTATCCCTTTGCCAAACTAGAGCCTTGGATTGCTACTCCATGTTGAATTAGCTCTGGCATGATTTTATCCTCTAACAAACAACAGACTACTGTGCCTGCAGGTGGAAAACAATGGGGTGACCATGTCCTCGTGTTGCACATTTGGAGCTTTTCTCCATTGTTGTTTAATTTTGAGATTGTTAAAATTCAGAGGCTGTTGTGAGCACAACAACATCCACACAGGACAGGGGAAAATCTTGACTACAGTGAATTCAGTGAAACTGTGCTAAATCAATTAGATTGACAAGCAAGAATTTACGAATCCAGAATATAACACAGTAATTCAAGCACCAAAATGAATTTAGCTCTAACCTGTTTCAAAAGCAGTTAGCTGCCTGTGTGTCAGTGTTAACAGTCTTAATACCAGAATCCCGATGTGAAGGAAAAATAAGACAAATCCACCATTTCTATACCAGTGCTCGTACAAAAAGGCAACGTGGCAGCCTCTCAGGAAGCATAATCACTGAGCTGGATAGAAGTAAGGGCAAACCAGCCTCGTACCTGGGGGCAAAGAGTTTCCAGTTGAGATGCTGCCATGCGGACCAGCTTCACTCCCTCTTCATTGTTGGAGATGGAGCACGCCAGATTGGCCACCTAAAAAGCAAAGCACACACACACTCACATCTGCTTTTTAGCCACAGACAGAGAGACTGACACAGTCTTATCTTCAGGGGAACACAGAAAGAGCAACACATAAATATATAACTAATCTTAGATAAGTTCATTATGGGAGCCTGGGTTTGGGATTCTTCTCTATCAGATATGGAGCAATGCTGAAATACAAGTAATCCCAGTGGCATACAAACCCACTGCAGAGGATTAATTTATAAAGCTGCTAAAATGATACAATATGAAGGCACAGAGGGGAAAAAAGGACAACTGGGAGAGACAACAAAAGTCAAGCTGCTTAGTGAACAGACTAAATAAAAGTTTTGCATTAGTTTCTGTGAAAGCAGTTGATTTTCTACAAATGTTAGAAGTTGTATCTGGTGACTCAGAGATGTGGTGCTTCTCAGTGAACATATCACGAGGCTGCCAGATTGCCATTACGCTCCTGGACTCAGAGAGGCAAAATATTCCTGACACTTTCAAAAACGAGTGCGGACCAGAGTGCTGAGCTCAGCAGGTCCGACTTCAGGCTGCCAACATTTATGGTTTGTGAGTATATTTTCTTGTATTGACCAACAAATCATCCCCGCTGTGATTATTTCTAAATATTCTTGCATCTTTCAGAGGAGCGTTCTGCATCTCTTCATATTCAGAAAAATTTAGGTCAAAGACTGAAGATTCCCATTTGTTGGTAGGGATGTGCTGGCAACAATGCTGAAACAGAATGACTGGGATATGAGGAACTGTGCCAAAGTGGGATTATCCAATGGACAGAAAATGCGCTAAAACATAATCAATTACAAAGACTAAAATACCCTATTGAATGCACTATAGATGCAACAAGACTGAAAAGGATTTTTTGACAACACGTGTCTTATTTTTGTAGCAAATCAATCTGTTATATTTTACTCACTAATTTAATTGCAAAGATTTGGGTCACAGAACCACATGAGCAGTGCCACGGTCACATATGCTGTTCTCAAAACCTTAGTTTGTACTCGAATATCCAAATATTAGCACAGCTGAACAGCAAGTCATGATAAAACACTTAGATTTGAGTGCTTTGACACTATTTGAACAGCAGGAGCTAAGAGTGGGTGTGAAAACAAAATGAGTTTTTATAATGCAAAGGCCTGGACATGAATGTTTGTATTTCTTTTCTCGGTGGAACATATGAGGAGAAAAAAAAGGTCAAATTTTAACAACTACCCACTGACTGCTTATCTCTGTCCTAATGAACTGTACTGGGTTTTGGGATTTGAAGATTTAAGCTAGTAGACTGCAGCACTATTAGAACAGAAGAGAATGTGGGGCAAATCTCTGAGACAGAGTTTTCCATTGATGCACTGGTGGTGGAATTAATCATCCAGTGTGAAACAACCTCACCCCTTCCTTCAATTCAACAGAAAGAAACCCACCCCCAACTCGAAATTCCTGTGCAGTTCTGCTGATGAGAAGCACTTATTTCACCGCGCTGGTGAAGCACTGAAACATTGATATAAACACATTCTGCATCACTATGCAAACACATGCAGGGACCACAGGGAGAACATTCGGTATCCTGAGAGGCGGGGTGAAGTGAGCGGGTGAAGAGAGGAAAAACCGGCACTTTCGACCTGTGTTTTTACTTTCATGATCTTTCACATAAGCGTTCTCTTGCTCTCACCATGATACCTCAGGGAAACAGCCTTTTCAGCATAAAGGGACTGTGAAGGAAGTCAAAGACGGCAATTCTAACCTGGAGTCAGCTAAGAGTGCTCTTCCTGCCGTGCTGTACCGTACTCTAGGTATCTGGGGAGTCAGAGTTTACGGAGTCTGTGCAAACACATTCAAAAACGTATCTATCTTTCCATATAAAAACAGCCCGACAGGCTCATCAGGCTGCTAAAGTTATACAAACCTCCCCCATCCAATAACGCAAATTTCATCAGTGTGACAACAGTCATGTCCAATCGCATGAAATGCATGAGGACCTGTAATACAATTATGCTGCCTAAGCATATGAGGGACAATCCAATAAACTTTATCCTCATGGCTTTATCACAGCGTGCCGTTTTTATCGCGCCATCTCCTTAACTAACCGAGGTGCTGTGTGGCAGTCTGAGACTATTGTGATGATGGATATTGTGTAGATTTTTAATATACGAGATGGCAAAGTGGGCTTGTTTGGACCAGAGTCGAAGCGGTGACTCATTTTATCTCTAAATTTGAGCAATAAGAGCAATCCAATAATTCTCACTATGCCACAAATATTATCCAGAATGACAAGTTTTAGCCTCCATGAACCAACTTATAAAAACTGAGGTATCTTAGGGAAGAGAAGCTAAGAGAAGCTAAGAAAGCGAAGACACGTGAACATTTTCCCTGGGCTGTCAGATAAAAGGACGAATGTCATAATAATCATGTTAAATCCAGAGGTTCAAGTCTACTGTGTGTCTTTCCATGTGTTTAAAAAGGTTGTAAATCTGATGAAAAGGTAGATCATGTCTAATGTCAGGGCAAAAGTGTCTCCTTTCTAAAAGGCAAGGGTGTTTTATCATCATCTATCAAGCTGCTTGGTCACTCAGAGTGAGTTTAAAAGCAATGGATGAAAGGTAAATTGATGAAATGGTAAAACCTTAAATAAGGTTTTATGTCGTTTCAGAAATACTAGCAGAAATCACAGAGCAGGCGAGCTGCTTAAGGGCCCCAATGTGGGTCAGTCATGATGTTGCTTTCAAACAAATGTGAGTAAACTAATGCACCATTTGCCTTGAGGGAGCCTACACTTAAATCACTCATGATGTCATACAAACAGAGGCAGAGATTGGCGACGTTTGATGTGCTTACCTCAGAAAAAGGGCACACTGCATTAAGACAGCATGTCTATTCTAGATGTGATGAGACATGTGCCATTTTTTAAGTGTGGACATGGAAACTGTGTCCATGTACAAGCTTACAGCTTGACAGAGGGCCTTTTCCAGGGTTACTTACAGTATCATTCAATATTCACTTTGCACGATGCATTTGCAGGAAATGTCAAGTGTTTTCAGGCTGAGGTGAAAGTCTGGAGTCCCACTGTGACTTACCTTTTGCCTGGTTGCGTTTATGTGGGCTTACACCACAGGGGACTTCTTCATGAAACATTATGCGACGTTTGACTGTGTTCTTCTGGAAATTATATGACTAGTGTTGACAAAAGCTTCTTACTATAATCAACAAATCATTGTTTGCTCTGTTTTACTAGTCTAGTTGGAAATGAAGGCACAAAGGTATGCAGCATCATGGTTACAAACAACAGGCTGCTTTTAAGGAAACAATATCCGTGTATCAGACACTGGGGACAAGTTTGGAATACAAAAATGAGGCCCTATAGCTTCATCTAAAAGGAAAAAGCACGTTTGTGATCACTGAAAAAATAATTTAAACATACAAGGATGAATGTCACTGTTGATATGTATGTCCTTGTGGGAAAGCTGTTATTATGTTATGGATCAGAAATACCAGCTTTCTTACTTATGAGGCTTGGACTATGATTGCTCTACAAGTTTTAAGTTAACATTTTTCTGAATCTGCACAAAAAAGAAAAACATGTAAAGAAGAAAAAAAAAAAACAGATATGAGAATTGGAGAACAGCTGACTCTTATTGATACAGCAAAGCTCTTACACGCTATTCGGTGGTGCTCCTCAGATACTTAACTGTCATCCCTTATTTATGTGTGACAAAACTTCTTTTAGTTGATGAATATTTTAGACACCATTTGACTAAGGCTGCAGCCAAACTCCACTCTACAGACATAGAGACTGGGCAGGTAGTTAAGTGTTCTGGCTTAAAGAGATGACAGCGAACTGACACCATTACTACGAGTGACACCATTTATCAGGTTTTTGAACTCATTTTCTGTTTTGGTTTCACTGAAATTGGATTTTTTTAAAAATATAATCAAGCAAAGTTTGTTCAATTTTGATTAGACCTGGGAGCGTGATAAATCTTAGATGATTGGCAGAGACCACTTCTTATTTCAGCGCACATGTCATGAAGAAGATCAGGAGACAATCTCCGTTACATCCCGCGGCGTTTCATAACTAAAAGCCATTGCCTCTTAATGTTTCTTATCAAAGTGCAACGAGCTGATGCAGTATCCAAGCGTTAGGGAAGTCCACAAAGGTCATCCACTAACATCACTTCTGACACCGAAGCCTTTAGGAGCAACTTAGGGGGTCTGCTCCCTGGAGGAGTCCCCTTTTCCCTTTGACGCTTCAGTGGTTTCCTTAGTGAAAGCTTATGCTGACCTGCTTTCACTGGACAAACCGATCAAGTCTTATTCAAGGTCGTCCGCCCACAGGGAAGAGTCACTCTCAAATGTCAGCGTATGATGCTCTGATGCAGCCATTCCAGACACCGAAGGAACGTCTCCTAATGAGGACAGCTGATGTTTCACTCTTGTTGCCTCTCATTTTTTTCTGACCCCTGCGCAGCTGTATTCCTGTTGCTATGTGAACAGCAGTATAGACATACACAATTTCAGTCGCTGCCCTTGTTGCGACATGAAACTAGCCACAGAAGAAGAAGAAGTAGGATGCAAAAAAGCCCCTCTAAGTTATTTATCTTCAAGAGCCTCTGTTGTTGGTCAAAAAGGGCTGGTGCGTCAGTCAGCTGTGGCAAGGACAGCGTTTTCCCACAGCTAGCACTTATCCCTGAGATGTGGTTGTTTCGCTCCTTTAGTTCGGCTTAAAAATTTGATCTGTTGCTATAACCACATAAAGCAGCATTGTGTTCGTCTGCTCTCTACAGCATTCTAGCTTCAGATTAGAATCAGCATAGCCTTCAGTTGAAGAAATGCTTTTACCAAGAGAGTGTCTGTGAGAGAGCAGCAGCAGACTTACACTAACACTGAGTGAGTAGAAAGTAATAGAAACCACGGAAAATAATTTCAGTGTTTACTGCTTTGTTTTCTTTGGGGACAAAAGATCCCAGATTGTTGTTTTCTGAGGCACTGTAATCCTAAAGTTTTCTCACTGGGGAATATCTGAGAGTGCAGCCAAGGAGAGGCTGGATGAAGCCCGATGATTGCTATAAGCCAAGCTAAAATGTCCAGAACAGAAAGATATAAATGTCCTGTATCTGGGTCGTATCACGTTTGGACTGTGTGAGAATTCAAATACCCCATTACCTCAATCAGCTTGTTGGCGTGCTCACGGAAAACCTGGGCATACTCCTTGACTTCTTTCTCATTGCCATTCTTGGCTGCTTCAATGAGGACCAGGAGGGGAACATTGGTCTCCAGGAAAGAGTCAGAGACATGGTCCATTACGGCTTTACGCAGCTGTGAAGGAGGATATTTCAAGAAAAAGGAAAAAGGCACAGTTAAAAGGACACATCGCTCTGCGTATATGCAGTGACACATTCAGTCCAGCTTGTTGACCTGACTACAAAGTACCCCTCCATATTCAAGGCAGACACCAGCCTCCTATGAGATAGCTTGTCAACCAAATCAGCAGCATGTGAAATATTCTTGGTTAAAAATAAAACATATTTCACATTTAAATCTCAGAGTACACACACACTGAGGTGAGGTAAAAGATAAATACACAGGGGGAAAGAAAAACAAACCTGTCTGCGGAGGTCTCTGGTCTTCTTTGTCATCCTGTCGATGGCTGTGTTGAGAGCATCACTCCTGTCCTTTCTTCCAGCCTGAAACACAAACATGAAAAAGAATAAGTTAGTGTTTGGAGTGACAGCTATGTTTTCAACAACATTTCTTTGGTTTCCAGCAGCACGACACTGAGACAGTCGCCAGGATCAGATATGAGGGATTGGCCATCATTAAACAGGATTGTATCACACTTTGATGAGCGAGGCAAAGCATAAGACAATGCCTCCCAGGGCTTGACACTAACTTTTTTCACATGTGCTCCTGAGTTGAAAAAGTAAGGAGCACACAATGAACTTTAGGGGCACAATGAAATTTGATCAAATAATGGGTGTCTTTTTGGTCGACATAAGTACTTTTATTCGAAATCAATTTTAGGTCTTTTGGTCACGTGACATGGAAGCTATTGAAGGAAAACAGCTTTTCTGAGAACATCAACTGGTAATTTATTGACGGTCCCTTATTCGACACCCGATGTTGACAGTGAGGGTGCTGAGTAGATTTAACCACGCTGCTGTTGCTATTCCTGGGTATGAAGAGTGAGAAGACACCGGTAGATCCACAGTGAATGTTCATCAACTATCCAACCTAAAACTAACTTCACTACATACATGAAAAAACATTTGTTGCCTCAGCTGATTTTTTTATGTGCGCATGTGCCCCTAAATACATTTTACAATTCACACACATCTATTTTTAGTTGCAAATGCGAGTGAAACGGTCGCACTGTCGAGCCCCGCCTCCCTCCTTGCTACAGCAGAGCTAAAATAAGAGGGCAGAGTTCAACTTGTTATTGTTGACACTGTAAGGGAAATAACAATAAACTAGATGTGAGAAAACTTCTTTCAAATATGACCTCTAGTCACATTTTTGGATACCAGCGACAAATCTGGCAGTATTTCTTTCAGGGCACTCCAGTAATATTGTACTGACAGAGTGCTTCCAGTCATGGTCTTTTTCCATGCAAAAGCTTCTCCTAGCATGGGGTTAATACGTTCTGATGATGGGTATGCGTAGCAGAATGATCTGTTTGTTGTTAATGAATGTGTTTTAATATTCCTATGAGGGATGAGTCATGTAGAAAGACAAAATAAAAACAGCCACTCATTCATCCATCCATTTGTATGTAAGACCCAATGACTATAATAGTGTTATTCGTACAGCTGGTGTTCTGCAGATACCCAGCCTGATCCATTTCTGATCCTTTCATTCATTGGAAACCAATGAGCGCTGGGTAGACCAGCTGTCAAACACACCCTCTTGCCCTCTGTTAAAACACTGGAATTATTTTCCAACTCTTAATATTATGAGTGGTGAATCACAGAGCAAACAAATAATGGCAGACAATTTAAATTAATAATAGGCAAGAGCTGAAAGCATGCATGGGAAAAAAAACGAACAGCTGCTTTGAAGAAGGAAAAAACTGATTTGCATCAATAACGGAGCTATGATTCATGTTACGCCACACCCTCTGTGAGCTGCTGTGGCAAACTGCATGAAGATTTAAACCTGAAATTTTATTCATGCATGGATCAAGAGAGATCCAAATCCTATTTGAGCCTGGCTGCCAGCGCAGCTCTCTTCATGGATGTTGTACAGGAGAAATATGAATTATTCTACTGTAAACCAATCGTCGACCTGTGACGCACATCCAAATCTGAAAAACGTAGAAGTTAAAAAGATGGGTATGGTATTGTTATATTCTAAATCTAGAAAGTTCTGCAATAAGAAAAAATAACATGAACTGCTCCTGCCTAGTTTCCATGTATTCTGAATCTAGCAGGGTACATAAATTTTTACTGTGCTGTAGTCATATGGATCATTTTCACATGACGACAGAATCTGTGAGAAGAATTTCACAAAATGAAAAACCTTTACCAGTCAAAGAGGTCTAAATAACATGGCTCATTACAAAGCAGGGATCGGCTAGTGTGACAGAAATACAGTTTAAATAATACAAACTTTTATGGCCTCTATTTTCGGAAAAGAAATGTTCACAAAACTCAGTTTATCACTAATCCATCACTAAGCATTAAAAATTTAAAATGAAGCTGAAAATAGTATTTACTGTTTTCCTTGCAGGTGTTTTTACTTCTCTCCCCAAATAAGACGTTTGTATTAATGAAAAGTTAACAATTTACTTCATACCCTTTATTTACTTTTATTTACAGCCGCTCTGACTGGGGTGTGACATCAGCAGTCAGAGCCTTTAATTCTGGTTGACAAAAAAGCAGTGAAATGTTGGGTAACACTTTTGCACACTGGTCAAAACAAAATGTGACAGTAACCAGTAAGAATGGAAGGATGAGAAGGAGAGAAGAAGACGGACAGAAAGATGGACGGATCGCAGAGAATAATGAAATTAGAGCTAAATCAAATGAGTAGCAAAGGGCAAAAGAGAAATGGCAAAGAACCCGTCGGACCCTTGGCTGTTCATTCTCTAATAGTGCTTAAATCAACTGCGACATAACACCATAGTTGGCGGTGGCATTGACCTGCAACCCTCCCCCACCGCCCTTTGCCCAATGGGGGGTTGTGTATATAGTTAGGGGCCCCGGAGCTCCGACAGCACTAATCCCCTGTGATTTTGTGCCGGTTGGATGCAGTGCTGTGGTAGGCTTCAGACTGCACTGCCCCTACTCCCTCAATCCTATTTTGTTCATGCCTAGCCTATATTTCATTTCCACACCAGAGGCTTCTAAAGCACTTCTTCAGGTGCTTATTATGGAGGCAGTTTCTCTGCGGCATCTTTTATGATACTCAAGTGAGTCTCTATCCATCTCCTTGAGGACAGATTTAGGAACATCCCGTTTCAACAAAACCACCAGTCTGCAGGATTATGGAAAAATTCAATGAAAGTAAAGTATGCTCCGAGAGTCCACTAACACCATAGTTCTGAGACAGTTTTTTTGATGGACGAGCGAGTTAATTTCTCAGGACATGATTTCAAATTTTTACTCAAACTTTAAAACATATGAATTACGAATGAATATCTACATCAGGCTATGTGAGGGTTTTGTCTTCTTTGCTTTCCAGTCTGACATAATGCAGAAAGAGTCCTGGGAGGAGATGAAGTCTGGCATAAAAGATGAGAGATTGACAGCATCCGGGTCGAGCCAAACCCCTGTTTTGTCTTATTACCTGAGAATGATCCACTAGGAATCTTTATGGATGTAGGCCTATGAATTAAATACCATTCAAGGATGAATTACACAAAAACATGATAACTTTTTGAGTTACTCTTTAACCATTTTCCAGGGGCCAGAGCACTTGTTCCTTTCCTTAAGTTTTAGTGTGACTGGTCAGTGCCACTAGAGTTAAAATCCATTACAGTTTACATGTAAATGAAGCAAAAGGTAAAAAGTAATGAGTATAAAGCAAGACAGAGTTTTAGGAGTGACAGCAATCTGAGGTGATGTTTAAATTAAAGACCACTGAATGTGAACTGAGTTGAAAAGGTGTTGTTAAAAAGATCTGCTCTTTATACCTCCTCTTGTACCTGGTATTTGGCTGATTTAAATCTAGTTCAGTGCAGCTTGCTTTACACACATCTCTGCCTACATTAAATAATTGAGAAAAGTCTGCACTTTCATGCTCCGAACTATGAATATCACATTCTGTTCTGTATTCTAAATGGCACTGAAATGGAGCCCCTCTTTTTAACTAAACCATAAATCAAACCCATTTTCTCAATGTCAAAAAAACCTGAAATCGCGTTCACAATTTAGCTACTTTGATATGAGCTTGTGGTTCACATTACAAAGCAAGTATCCAAGCCTTGTCAATTAGATTTAAAAAGCTGGCTTAATTTAACTCCAAAGCAGCTGGCCATACATCACATGCCAATGTTCAAAAATTAAAGCACTGCACTCAGGATATGTAAATTATGAATATAAGACAGACCATCTATGTTAGCATCGCCTGCTCCTGTACAGAGAAGGCGACGCAGCACACCTTTGCCTCTCCTCTGCTCATGTTGCTCCGAGCCACATGTTCAAAACTAAATCAAGCTCTGTTGTATTACTTTGTTCAATGCCTGTGTATATACTTTCATACAAAGCCCATGCTGAACAACGGCAAGGCAAGGCTGAGATTTACAGCTGTGGTTAATTTCAACAGCAAGCTGCCGCAACACGTTCAAGATATCAATATTCTGATGGTGACGAGCCAGTGGGAGGGAAAGGGGGGTTTGCATGAGGGAGGTGGAGGAAGACTGAGGTGCAGAAGCAGTGTGCATGAGGCAGAGAGCAAGTGACTGAGCGAGAGAGTGAGAGGGTGTTTGTGAGTGTGGGAGAGAAAAAGAGAGAGAGAGAAACAGTAGTGATGATCGACGCCAGGCTGCCACCACTCTGTAGCAGTGAGTGGCTGCAACAAAAAGCACAGAATAACATCCCTGACTCCCCGCTCTGCTTTTTTCTCTCTCCCTGCGTCTCAGCTAGCAGACGAGGGGCTCCGCTCGCAGCTCTGCAGAGGCTGTGCTGAGGCTGAGCCGGCGTCGGACGCAGGATCTCTGGCTGCCATCAACAAGTTAGGGTTGGACGACCACGAACGAGGGATGCTTGATCTCCAATTAACCATCTGAGCTGACATCATTGCGGTGGAAGGGAAACAAAAGGGCAAAAAAAGAAAAAAGAAAAAAAGGAGAGGAGGGGGAATCTGCTCACCGGAGTCTCTCTGGATGCAACTGATCAACTTGAAAAAATATATAAATATTTATTTCAAGGATCCGTGGGATGAAGGAAAAGATTCAACCTTTCCTTTGAGCTTGGATTTTAAGGGACTCGAAGAAAAAACAAGAGGAATAAGCATCATCTTTTGGACATGGAATTTCATATTTTGTTTCATTTGGGTGGGCTCAGAATTGCATTATTTCCTAAGAGGCTGATTCCTTTTGTGCTCACTCAAAAGGGCTTTTTCCCTTTGGATTTCTCTTCCATCTGGTTGCTCCAAGAGTCTGCGGAAAAGGACAGTTGAATGCAGCCTCCGATGTGCACAAAAGAATGGGTAAGTTAGCCCCCTTTATACGGCAGATCAGGACATGAATAGGGAATACAAGTAAGCGCAAAGGAGTCTAAGGACTAAAAGCTCTTCAGCCTGGTCTATTTAGCGCAATTGTCCTTCATTCTTCTTTTCTCAACGTCACACCAGTGGTGACCACATACTCCATTAAATATCATTTATTTTGTGTAGCAGACCTCCTTAGTGATGAAGATCTAAAACAACTTGATCAGTTAAAAGAAGTCAAAAGCATGAACAACCAAATGTTTCAATCAAAAACGTGAAAAAAAAAGAAAACATTAATGGTAATTTTTTTTCGATGCATGACAGTCATCAGAGGCGATTTAAATTCGATCCAAATCCCAGAGCCAAAAAAAATGAGACCAAGACAGGCTCCATACAAACAAAAGAGGACAGGGGACAAAGTCTGGCTTATGAATGTCAATTATCTTCATGCCTTGAGTGAATGAAATCTACAACAGACCCAAACTACATGGATTCACGTCTGCATGCATGTTGAAAGTTTTCAGTGAAAATGTTTGCACAAGTGCACGTATGAGGAAAAAATGAGAGCGCTCACCAAAAGCACAATCGTCACTATGAATAAGTAATAAGTGCTCTGCAGAGATAAGCTTTCCCGCCCCACAGTTCATTTTCTTATCTTTGAACCCACCCAGGTTTCCATTCAAGGTGGCCATTGGTGGGACCTGCACCAGCGGCTCTGTGTCTGTGTGTGATCAGCATGCTCCTAGTGTGCCTGCTGCCTCCTGCATCGTGCACAACCTGCCCTCAAAAATGCCGCTGTGAGGATCTGCAGTTCTACTGCGACACCCAGGGGCTTCAGGCACCCCCAGATGGTGTAGACAAGGGGGCCCTGGGGTTGTCATTACGCCACAACAGCATCACTGAGCTCAGCCCTGATCAGTTCTATGGCTTCAGCCAGCTCACTTGGCTACACCTAGACCATAACCAGATTACCACAGTACAAGAGGATGCCTTTCAAGGACTCTACAAGTTGAAAGACCTGAATCTAAGCTCCAATCGTATCACCAAGTTGCCCAACACAACCTTCATCCACCTCATCAATCTCCAAATACTGGACCTGTCCTTCAATCAGATGACTGCACTGGAACCAGAGTTGTTTCATGGACTGAGGAAGCTCCAAATACTCCACCTTCGCTCAAATTTACTTCGCACCACACCTGTTCGCGCATTCTGGGACTGTCGCAGCCTGGAATATCTTGGCCTAAGCAGCAACCGTCTACGGAGTCTGGCCCGAAATGGATTTGCTGGGCTCATTAAGCTTAAAGAGCTCCACTTGGAACACAATCAGCTGACCAAAATCAACTTGGCCCACTTCCCTCGACTCGTTGCCCTCCAGTTTCTCTATCTGCAATGGAATAAGATCAGCAACCTGACATGTGGCATGGAGTGGACCTGGACCACTTTAGAAAAGCTGGACCTCACAGGAAATGAGATTCGTGTGCTGACACCTGATGTGTTTCAAACGCTGCCAAATTTAAAGATTTTGCTGCTGGATAACAACAAACTAAGCAGTCTAGACCCACAAGTCATGGATATGTGGCAGTCTCTGGGTACAATTGGGCTGTCTAGCAACCTTTGGGAATGTACCAAAAGGATTTGCTCTCTGGCCACGTGGCTTAGCACCTTTAAGGGAAGGTGGGAACACTCTATCCTCTGCCACAGTCCTGAATATGCCCAAGGTGAGGAGATACTCGATGCTGTTTATGGATTCCAGCTTTGCCAGAATTTTTCAGCACCAGTTGTACAGACCATTAGTACAACCACAGACGCTACAATGGCTGCAGAGATCACAAGCTCCTTGTTTGGAATTATGCAGCCAACCCCCACGCAGGACTATGCAGAGGATTTTGGGAGCTTTACCACAGTCACTACGACAACAACCACAACAGAAGCACCACGCACTGCTCAAGCAACTACTGCTACATGGGAAGAGGCAGCTGTAACGGATGACTTCTCGGCAATGGACAACACTGTTATGACTCATAGGGTCATCATTGGAACTATGGCCCTTCTATTTTCATTCTTTTTCATCATTTTCGTTGTGTATATCTCACGGAAGTGCTGCCCTCCCACCCTGCGCCGGATACGCCACTGTTCGGCTATTCAGAACCGCAGACAGATGAGGACCCAGCAGAGGCAGCCTATGGCAGATCTAGCTACACAGGTACCCTATAATGAGTATGAGCCCAGCCATGAAGAAGGGGCACTCGTGATTATCAATGGCTATGGGCAGTGCAAGTGTCAGCAACTGCCTTACAAAGAGTGTGAAGTATGAACTCTTATTTATTCCTAGAGCATATGGTTTGCCATTTGACCATTTCAGATGATACAGGGTTTGCTTTTTTGATTTTTTTCCAGTTTATGTAAAAAGCATAATTTCTACAGGTGAGATCTAAGGAAACGCGAGAAATGTTGAATGCCACAATGACAGAGGTTGGACATGACAGTAAAGGGATGATGTAGAGATAGTCACAAATTTATTTTTCTATGAATGCAAAGTTGTTAATACCAGGCAGGGGCAATCATTTTAAACAAGAAAAATTGTAAACTGTGAGATTTGTCTCCACTTTGTCTCGATATTCTGCAGCACAGACAAAACACTTAGCCAAAATGGCCCTCTGCTAACGACATACATTAAGTGGAGAAATGTGATTTATGTCTTATTTCTTTTAAAGGGTAAATATTTGAAAATGTGTTTTTAACTGCACCACAGTGGGTGTGAGCCAATCACTCAGTCACTAGGGGAGTGAATTTGATCAATTATGAGGATGGTTTTCTTTTAGAAATCTATTGTTTGGAAGATTTCTGATACATTTAAGGCCACCTATAGCTAAATTATGTACTGAATTATATAATTGATCAAACAACAACAACAGTTTTCATATCCAAAAGGAAAATGACTCCTGAAAAAAGGAAACTCTATTGCTTTTACAGAATTAGACAAGTTTTTCAGGTGAGTCCATCATCTTCAATCAGATCAAAGGTCTCTGAGTGTTTCCTTTTTACAGGATCTTTAAGGATTTAAAGCCTTCCATTGGCAAACTGATTCGTTTTTGTATTTAAAAATTTGGATTTCCTCTTGCTCACAAGGGCCAACTGCCACAAATAAATTCTGTGAGACACACTAAGCATTGTTTATCTGTGGTTAATCTTCAATATACTACACTGCTTAGCCAACATCTAGATGTCTTCTTCACCTTAGACATCGACAACAAAATTATTAGACCTTTAAATGTACAATGACTTGACCATGGGTTTTCTAGCTCCCTTATGCCATACACACTGTGACCATTATATTTCCAACAGCTTATCTAGTAAGTACAGTTTGTTGATTTGCTATTGTATACCAGGATCAATATACAAAGACCTAGAGAGAGGTGTGAGGGTAGCAAGGGAAAGCAAAATGAACAGCGCAAATGCCAGACAGGAGAACATTTCATTCTGAAAATAAAACCTTTCCCCATGCAGCCCAGGCTCTTTACCGCTTACACACTAATCAGGACTGACAGGCTCAAGATTGAACCAATTAAGGCCAGGCAAAAAGAATCTAATATTCTGTCACCCACACCAGTGATCCAGCAACATTCAGCTTGTTCAGCCACTCAAAAATGTACCTCGCAGATTCATCCTCCCGATCACATAAACATCACTGAGCCTTTTACTTTGAGACATTGTTATTGTAAGAGATACAGAGTTGTCATTAAAAGGTCTTGAAAACAGGAGTGCAGTAAAAAGTAAATATCATAGCAGTTCCTTGGTAGCAGTCACAAGTGTCAAGTTAAACCGCGGTCAATAGCCTGAAAGCAAATGGAGATCCAGTGATAAGCAAACAGCCAGCCTGGGTCAGGACAAATTTGTATGCAGCAGAGAGAGGATGTGCATTAGCATCAGACTAAAGCTGCTGCCGCAGCTCCGCACTTCTTTGTGTTCAGTTTGGTGGTGGGGGCAGGGTGAAAGAGAGAGGGATTGAGAGGAACTGGTGGGACGATGAAGAGGGGCAACTATGGGACAATATCTTTATTAAAAATTAAATCTCTTTCTTAGGGTAGTGGAGAATTGAATGATAAGTCCTGACAGCTCTTTGAGCTTGAAATGCACATTGACCACACAGCAGTAACTATCTCACCTCAGAGAAACAGAAGAGCTACCCAATGTTGAAACGGATACAAACTCTAGTCAAATTCATGAAACGGGGATAGAAAGTGTAATTTTCTCAAACATTAACACTAGAAATCCAAATGTGGAATTCACTCAACAGTTCAGCTTTTGGCAATGTTTAATGAAGTGAGCGATTAAGACAGAAAGATGCATCTGTGAGCACTGCGCCTTGGAGCGAGAAATCTGGTTTTGAGCAATTAGGATGCAGTTCATTGGCTGGTGCCCTCTAGAGGTAGCTCGAAGGTACCATTTTAGACTGTCTCTATACTGAGCCTGTCAAAATTGGCCGCAATTTTCAACATGAATGCTTGTGTCAATGTCTGCACATGCTCATACGATGCCTACAACAACAGTGTTTTAAGAAAGTGTTTGTGTAAACCAAAAAATCGTCACACTTTAAAACATCTGAATTCTACAAAAACATTGCACACACCCATCATGATGATTTTCCAAAGCCAAGCACCTCCACTTTGTATCCAATTTTGTTTACTTCCAGCTTCGCACTGCTTTTACTATTGCCCTTCAAATCTGTCTTGCATGTTCAAAAGTCAAAATTGAGTTGGATACTTCTTACTGTCGTTCAGCAAACATTACAGAGAGACTTCCTTTTGGGCAACACCGAGAACGGGGATGTATGTGGAATTCCTATGAAGTTCTGTTGATCATTTGACATTTCACTGTTTAAGACTACGGTTGTACTAAGTGACTGAAAATCCACAAAATTTGTAGAAATATGCATCCCTTTGCACTCTGGCTCTTTGTAAACTGTTTTTGTTTCCTCTTGTCATCCTCTAGCCCTGAACCCCACCCTGCCAAAAAATAAAAAAAAAGAAAAAACAAGTGATCCACTCCCCTCTCTCTTTCCCAACCTCTTTGTGCAAATGAATGCTTCTCTTCCCATTTTCCTTTTGTATTGTAATATGTACAATTTCATATCTGTATAGTGGATAAGATGTGCCAAACTGAAAAAAAAAAGAAAAAAAAAAAAACATTTTCCCCTCAAAACATATATTTTTTAAATAAAATGGTTATAATTTACAGAGTGTTTAGTAAATGATGAATGCTCAGAACTTGGTTTGGTCTTTTATCACGTTGTTCAAGCATTAAAAAAAATCATCCTTGAGCAAAATAAATCTTTGGTCAAGATGATACTACACTTCAGTAAAACTGTGACAAATTTTATAGTTGTGTCAGTAACAATAAAACTCATTTCAGTTGTCTATAAAATCTTTTGCAGAGGAAATGTAAAGCACTCCAGGTAAAGGGACTCGTTTTAACCCTTTAGCCCTAAATAAAAGCAGAATCACACAATTATTAGATGGTTGAGTTTGATTCTGATCTATACGCTTACAGAGAGCTACTCTTTGTGGGATCCATGATGGAAAAAACACTTTTAAAGTTCTGGCTTTAGGACAGAGTGATGATGAATGTGTATGTCCAAACTGTCACTATACACTTGGTCGTTTACTGTGAGGATTACTGATGTCATGTCGTTTCTTTAGTGTCAGAAAATTAATTTCAAGTCATTACAAGTTCCATGAATACAATTTTAGTTTGTTACCTTTATCCAAATAATGGCCTGGTCTTTCATGTGTTGTGTTTAGAACAATATTCTGAGAGAAAAGGTGATTAAATACTCACATTTTAGTCATTAGGGTTGTGTTATATGTTATAATTTTATCTTACAGTTAAGTACATTTTTCTGGTTTGTCAAACTGTGGCACCTTTTCTTTAAACAGAGATAAATGGGGACATTCAGGAAAAAAAATACAAAATTCTTGATTTCCCTTGTTTTATTCTTTAAAGGTTTTGGATAACCAGGCAAAGGAGAATACCAACAACTTCATTTGCATGGATCAAAGTTTTGACAAAAATTGGCCATCTAAAATTTTAAAACACTAAATATTGAAATACTTATTCCAATGCATTTGTAGACTAAATAGACTGGTAATAGCAATTACATGGGAACCCCAGCTACAAACTACTCAAAGCAACTACATAAGCAAATTCATTGATCATGGAATTCCCACAACACAGAGGAGTTTTAAAAGCTGGCCCATAATCAGGGGATTTGCAAAGCAGACATGGCAGAAACTTCACACAAGGATTTTGGGCTTTCCACCTCAGCAGTTCGCACTCGACTTAAGAAAGATAAGTCAACTGTTTCTTTTTACGCAGCAGCTTTAAAAACTCAAGTTGCTTTTATTTCTAACAGGCAGGAGAGAGGGGGAAATCCTTGGGGAATGGTCTAGTAACAGAACTGGACCTGGATTACTGTTACAAGGACTAAACTTGAGTGGTATCATATCTGATGGGTGAGCTACCTGAGCAGCCAGAAGCTCTGCATTTTTGAGAAATTTGTATGTACTCCTCCCAGAAACAACAGCATAGATTTATCCTTCCAATACGCTGGGCGAGTTGGTCAAAATGATCTTCTCTCCTGCCACTGATGGAGATTTGGTAATTTGTTAAACATTTTATGTCAGGTTGTAAGAGCAGATACATGACAGCGTTATCTAATCATACAAGGTAGATAATCACAAAGACTTCCTTCCTGATGAAGATATTTTCTGACCTTCTTTAGAAATGGGACACGCAATATTCATGTGTCAGTGAGCTAAAATCTATTGGAGAAGCTGAGAAACAAACCTTGTGGCACATGAGAAAATCTGTTCACTGAACATCAAAGAAAATTCAATTTATTTTTGACCTGTTTTAACAGGAACGTGTGACAGAGACATCATACTCCCTAGTCACAATAACAAAGCTATATGCTGTGCAGCATGTAGAATCTGGGACAGAAATTAGAGGAACGTGATTTGAGCTTGTGAGGGTGTGCTGTATGTCTGAGCTCATCCTCAGTGCTGGTGGTGTATCTTATCAGGAAATCTTATCCAGGCTTTTTTTCTTTTTTGGAACTCTACACAATGAATCTAATGTGCTTATAAAAAAAAGAGGATAACAGTTCAGAGTTTTGTGTCCCAGTTTAGAGAGATGTTTACTTTTTCTGAAGTCATTTTCTGCATTTTACAGAGGATGAGTCTTAAAAGTTGCATTCCTTGTGAGGAACTATAAGACACACTTAAATTCTGACGGTTCTTTTGATGAGTGCAACAGAGAGCAAGCTTCAGTAAATCACCTGCAGGGTTCAGCCAGGTGGGGGATGTACTAAAGTGATGAGTCTGACTGCATGGCCTCTTCTGTCTGGTGGGGTTCAAGGACTCAGCCCATGTATATGCTCCATGTATTCATTATGAGGCCTCCAATAAATCTACTAAATGCTTACTAAGAAGGACGTTTTGATCTGTACTCATTAGCAAATGCTTCTTCAAGATATTCAGTGACTGAAATATTCAAAGCCACCCCAGAAGCATGACACATTTCAGGAATTCAAATGCAGTCATCAGAGAGTTGAGCAGCAAACAGGACCTTTCACTGTCTGTTGTCAAGGCTCAATGTTCCCATTGCTCTTCTGCAGAAAATGTGAATACTACTACACATAAAAGAGAAACGCTTGGTCACCCACATAATTAGGTTCTTTCTAATTCCCCTACCCTGTATGGAAGACTAGAGGGAGGTCAGAGATAGATGTTGAATTCTTAAACACTACTCTACAGAATCTAAAGGAAGGTGAACAGATTTAAAAAATACAATAAAATCAAACTAGATTAAAGATTTCTCTAACGAAAATACAAAAAGTGTTTGCACCCAAAAATAATGCAAACGGGGATTAGACAGTGCAGTTTTTCAAATAACAGCATATTCATGTAGCTGTAAAGATTGCTGCACATTGTACAGGGGTAGATATTACATTAACAAACACATGAATATTGACAGAGTTATCTGAGCCAAGGATAAATCAAAAATATCACAACTATTTTCTGTAATGACTACATCCATACTGATTACCTCAATGACTTGTGGCTTGAGCCACAGGCTCACTTAGAGCAAAGTTATTTAGATTTATAACAGTTTTGTTTCCCTCTTCTTGATGCATTGGAGGAGTCCTACAGCAGCCAAATAAGAACAATCCATAACTTCAGATGTCAAGTCCTTCCAAACCAGAGGCCAGTGTTTTTAAGTTATAAGGGAATCCTTTAAACTGTGAATGGGCATTAAATTAAATATGTTACTGAAAGCATTTGCCATAAATGACAGCTCTGACAGCCACACCTTATGTCTAGACAAACCTTGTTTTCCAGTACATAATAAATGAATGAGGGGAAAAAATAGCAATGCTTTATCCCGAATGCCTCTCCACCTGCCAGATTATAAACACTAGTGCTTATCATTGCTCCTGACAGGTAGGAGGTCCTTTGACAGACATCAGGCTGGGACTTTTCAGTGCTGAGGCTGGGAGTGCTTCGGTTCTACTGCAGTTGAACAAAATGCCCGACAGGTGAACTGCAAACACCCAATGTGAACCTGACTGCTAAAGCATGTCTCTTGGTTTATGTACTTATGATCACCCTGTTAGAGTGCTCAAAGCATGTTTGCATGGGCACCAGTTCTTGGGTCCCCGGATAGGACACCAGGTGCATTTAATAGCTGGATCATTTTTAAAAGGCTGAAAAAACTTTGGAAACTCGGGACACATCATCCCATTTTACCTTGTGATTTCACGTCACAGTTGAGAACAGTAATTTCAAGTTGCCAAGGTCAGCGGCATCTCTGATGAAAACAAAGGGACTTGCTACAGCTGAGTATCTGTGCCAGTGTGTGTGCACATGTTGCCTCCAATTGAGAGACACATTTATCACAGCTCAATTCACTTCAATTCAGTCTACCTTGCCTTCCAGGCAATGTTATTTTCTGGCTAAACACACCTGCACACAGTGGATTCCAATTTCCAATTCTATTCTCTTTTTTGTCATTTTTAACAATGTTTGTGCCGCTGGTTAGAGGACAATTGCTTATCAAACTTATCTGACAAAGAACCGACTCAAAAGATGTTCCTATATTCTGAGTAATAGGGCTACTTTTTACCACATTTGTTCATATATATAGATACAGATATAGCTATAGATATAGCCGTGCAGTTTTACTCTGCGTTAAGTAACGCCTTTTGAGTATATAAATATACTATACATAACATTTTCTTTTGTTCCCCTCAGGCTCTACCCAGCCTCAGCACCATCACCAGCGCATGTTTAGGTTTAAATTTCCATCTTTCATTTGTAATCCAACTCACCTAAAAAAAAAAACTTAAAGCGTTGAAGATACTCTTCTGAGAAAATGTATTTCCAACATTACAATCTCATGAAGTTAAGGTTCATTTTGATCTGAAAAGTACTTCTACATGTGGACCCCAGCAGGGAAAAAAAAAACTTCCATTAGCTCTTATGTTTTCCTGTTTAATAACAGCTTTTTTGCTTTACTCTGTAATGATAATTTAAAAATGTAGTAGAGTTGGTAAAGGCTAAGTGCTGATTTTAAAAACCACCCCACAAAGTACAAGTACATGAAAACTAAAAGCAATTCAATTAGAGTAATCTGGGTCGATGTAATTGGTAATTTCTCCCTCCTGCTGACAGGCTGTATGCTTGGGGTTTTTCTATCTACGTCCCAAAGCCTAAAATGCAGCCCCCATATATAACTGCTGGTAAGTATGACCCACCACCTTACCATTTTTAAATCATACATAAAATATGAACGAATGATTCTAAACTCTAAACAAGAATGTGGGATAAATGGGACTCTTTTACAACGTCACATCTGCTGTCTGTGCACAAAAGGGATATTTGGAGGCATTAAGTAATCCCAAGGGCCAAAACAGAGAGCTTTCAGGATAGAAGGCAAATTGCATACTAAAATCAGTTCTGCAGCACTAACATAGTGAGAACACACTGTGCTACAGACTGTAAAACAAAAGGAGAAAAGATCAGACAGGCAAACAATTAAATATTAATGTGAGGAAATACATATGTATAAACCTGTAACGGCCCAGCTTGCCATATTTTCCAATGAAATCATCCAGTACTAAGAGCCACAGACAAGCTTTTAAAAAACTGCAGGGATGTCTCCCCTGGGCTGAGTTTATTCACCCATACAACTGTGAAAAGAGATAAAGTTGGACTTCTGTGGTACCATTCCAAAATGTCCATTTGAGAGGCCATGGCCCTCTTTATCCTGTTAAGCTGTTGTGGGGGGGGGAAGAGGGTGCATCTCATCTACCTGCCAGCAGGTCCAATCAAAAAGCAGAGAATCCAGCAGCAAAAGATCAAGGGCCAGGTCTGGGGAATGTTGCCTTGATAGACTGTTACTGACAGACTAGTGTTTTATGGAGGCTGTAAATACACGAAAAGCCTCAGGGACACTAAATCTTTTCCGTGTACATTGTATGGGGCGTAATTTGTTTTAATTATGCATTTAGATGAGATTACAACTAGATAAATTGAACTGCTTTCACGTTGATCTAAGATTAGCAGTTCAGCTTTAACCTTGTCCACTTTTTCCTCAGGACTGGTTACAGAACTGTATTTGGCATCATTTTAATGATTCTTCTCTACATTTCCAAAGGATATATGATTTCATGACGGATATTTCATCAGCTTTCCCCAGGATGAATGAGGGCCGTATAAACTGGCTGCTGGTGTCCCCATTAGAGGAAACTAGACTCCAAATGATTTTAACTGTAATTTGCTCCATTAGGGTTTCACACAGCACACAATGGTCTGAAATAAGAAGAGCAGGTTGAGGATCCCATCAACCTAAAATGTGTTTAAAATATGACTGCATGCACAGAGGAATAAGGATAAAGCAAAATTCTGCCACTCATTGTAGATGCCTCGGGCAAAAAGACGGAATCGGTAAAAAGTGAGCTGTCAAGAGGGAAAGGGACACAAGCAAGAAGAGAAGGATTGTGTACACTGAGAAAACAGAAAATAGGTTTCTATGCTGTGCTTAAGAGCAGAGGGTGGGAAGACTATGTTAAGACATACAGAAAAGATGCAAGTGAAGGGAGACGTAGGGGTTTCACTGCAGAGTCCATGGATGTCCTTTTTATCTGGGTCCAAAGGATAACGTAGCACCTCAGGTTGAAGAATTTAAATGTCAGTAGCTTAATATGTCAAAGCCACCAGGCATCACTCTCTAATATGAAACAAAACCCTGACAGATGCTTGGAACTAGAGATGCATTATTAATAAAAAAATGGCAGAACCAGTTACACTCAACACGTGCCGTGTCAAACTGTCATGACAATGTGGAATAATTGAGGTCACACTATGTGGCAGGGCTGGGGCAACTATTCCCCCTCCCATCTTTACCCTTCACTGGTCGAGAAGACAAGTCGTGGTCTTGTTAAATGATCATCACTGCAGAGCACATAATTCGCTCTCTAATGAGTAAAGGGAGATAACGCAGACATCTCAGTTGTTCGAATACAAAATGTACCCAAGATATACACTACCCTGCTTCCCATTCCTCAAAGTTAACAGCCCTCTACCGTATAACACTTCCACTCAATGTGCTTCACCACTGAATAAGTAAACTATAATGTCTTTTTAAAATAATCTTAAAAAGAAATAATAAATTTCAGCACACCATGTGATTTGTCAACTATTACCTGTGTTTAGGGCTGGGCGAATTGGGAAAAAATGCATCACAATATATTTTTTTCATATCAGTCGATATTCATCTATATATCATGATTAAAAAATGAAATTTAACAGTGGTTATTGATGGCATGTCTTTTGCGAGACAATAAGCTACTGCATCTGTGAGGTCTTTGTGTTTCTTCGTAAGGCGTTGAGCTAGAGAAAGCAGACTGAATGGTCAGCTGTTTCGGCTGCACAGGCGCCACGGGCTCCTTGCTCTGCTCGGGGTTTGTAACCTTTTGCATATCCTATGGTTGTGTGTAGCTGCAGCCTGCTACTACGCAGTTGTTTGCTACTTGGTTCTAATTCAGCACATGATTGGTTCAGCAAGAAGCGGACCCAGAGCAACTCCCCCTTTCATTGGCTATTCGTACAGTCTACCTAAACATGGCAGAATGCCGACTATCAAAAGCATATTGACCATGTTTTATATTGATATTGAGGGAAATTAATTTCCAATATATATCGTTATCATTTTATTGCCCAGCACTACCTTTGTTATTACCTGCCATAAACACACATTATTTTTTAAACTATAAAAGCCTGTACACGTTTAAAGTCAACTAATAACAAGTCTTATCCAAACAAAGTTTAACAAACATTAGTAAAACCTGTTAAATATGCATATTTGATACTATAACTAATACTAACCAACAACTTTCCATTGTCATGCCTGCCATGTAACAGAGATACATAATTGTGTTAAGAAACTGGTTTCAACAGATTCTCTAAACAGCAGACTATTTAGCAGCTAGTGCAGCATTATGAACAAAGCTACAAAAGTTCCCATCCTTGAAATTGCTCAGTAAAAAGATGGTGAGGTTCGGATGTCTGACAACATTTCTTTCAACGAGTTTGAAAGAGAGGAAGAAAAGCTGAGAAGAGGGATAAACACAACTTGTAGCCTGAGGGAATGAAGAAGCAGAAGGGATGGGAGGAAGAAAGAGAATGAGTTAGGAGTCTGTCCAACAGCCTCGGCTGAGTGTAAACCCATATGCTGTAATGGCAACATACTGTTTAATGACTTGCAGTGCCCCATCTACAAATGCAATATGCCACATACAGTATATCCTCAGCAAACTCATTGTTTAGTATGGGCTTATATAGTATGATGTGCTCAAGGAGGTCATTTTGTTTCCTGCATGAATTACATATTTCATACCACCGTCACAGCTGTGCCGCAAAGCAGCACACACGTCCTCATCGAGCTCCAGTGAGGTCTCTTAAGTCTGTCCACCTTCATCACAGACCCTGTAAACTTACCTGTCACACTATCTGCTATCGGTTCAAGGCACCATGTTGAATTATCCTTCTTTCCCTCTAACCATGTACATGTCAGCCAAGGTTCTCATATACAATACCATCAAAAGCACATCACGAACGGTGATATATGTAGTTTGGCATATGTTTACTCCAACTGGCCAAATGAGTGGCAAAATCCCTGTCATGACCACTCAACGTCACTGCCATGACTAGATGTCTCCCTCTGTAAACCAAGTTCTCGACTTGTAGAGGGTTACATGAGTGGCGTGGGCAAGTCCAGTGAGGTAGAAAACTTGTTTTGAAGCATAACAGAAATGTTGCATGAACGGCCTGAAACCTTGAAATAAACTGACAGTGCTCTTGATGAGCAATGAGAGCAAACTCAGGCCGCATTACCAGGACCTGATAGACAATGAAATACAAACCTGAGTGATATGTAACTGCCTATCATCGTTGCAATGGATGTGCAGTGAAAAATGTATTTACAAAACAGTAAAGAAGGTAAGTTATTCCTATGTTTCAGGCTTTTACTTAATCTACTTCAGGGTGGTTCTTGTGATAATTCTCCACAATGATTTTTAAATCCTACTAATAAAGACACATTCAAATGTCTGCCTGACTACACAGTTATATTTCTTAAACCTATGTAAACTACTGATTTTAAACACAAAGTATCAATAGTGAGGGTAATAGGGAATAAACCTTTTGTTTTAATCAAAATAAAAAAGTTAAGCCATTAGCTTCTCAATGACATATGGAAAATCTATCGAAATAAGACTGGCCTGACCAAATTTTAGTGATACCATAAATTGTAGCTTTTCATTTTTGAAACAAGAAATAATTTGTCATGTTTGACATGTACCGAACTGTATGCAGTTATTCTGGACAGGACACAGGAGGGAGTGTTTTTTGGCACTGGTTGTTCATCTGTTACTTTGTATAATCCCCTAAAAACTACTTCAAAGATTTTTGGTGGCAGAGCATGGAGGGTTTGGCCGAGAGCCAAGAAGATGCAGATTTTTGTTGGATTCACATAAAAACCCATTTGCCAAATTATTAAGCGGGCAGGCTTAGACCACTGCCCAACACTCTGCCAAAATACATCCAATGGTCCAGCAGCCATGCACTGACTGTGCCACTCCTCCATTGGCCTTTATTATGTAACTTAGTAAGACACAAAGTACTGTATTTAGATAATAGTGGGCTACCTCTTGGCTTGGAAAGAGATTATTACTGTGGGTACTGAGACAGGCAATGTAAGCTACAAATTATCAGCCAGTGTAGGCCCACAGCAGATATTTGAACAAATTGGAAAACAGCGTTTGCATCCTCAGATATGTGTGCTCTGGCAGAACTGCTGCTGAGTGTATGGATGAGAGCTAACACTTGTGCTACTATCATATCCTGCCTGACCAGAGATCCATTACAGCCACAGGACCTCTATAACGCTTTAGAAAGGAAATGGGCAAACTGTGCAGTTTATGTTTTTACCTCTATAAGCCAGCAAGAATAGCAGAGCACACATAAAGTCCGAGCTCAGAGATAGTAATAAACAATGCATTGCCACAGCAATGAAATTTCTCCGGATGGCTGGCTCACACTGAAATTGGGCCGTTAGATAATGTTGGATTTTCAGGAGGGGGTTACACTGAGATCGTTTCAAACAGAGAAAGGAGAATTCCTCGGTCTCCTTATTGGGACAGAAAGCTGGATATTTTTACTGGTCTGATCTCTTGGACAAGCTCCAGTGACTACATCTTCATTCAGTTATTATATTTTAATGACCTAAACTCATTCATGCTACACCAAAGAAAAACTGTAACTTCAATGGAAACACTGGCATCTGTGCAAGTGGTATATAGGAGATAAAGAGTCTCATTTAGAGGGGAAAAAGATGTAACACCTGATGTTTCACAGAGTGATTAATAATTAAAAACACAGAGATGGTGAAAAAGGCAAACACATTTCCCGTTGCCAAAATTATACAGTGAAAGAGTCATGAATAAATACACGAACAGACATGACTAACAAACTTTTCTTATCCTTTCTTATCCACATGTTGACTTAGAAGACTAATCATTTGAAGAAAAGGATTTACTTTGGAAGTGACTCTGCAGTCAGTAACAGCTGATAACAAATCTGGATGGAATTTAAGAGGACTTAACGGTGTGGGATGGATTCACACTCAGCGTCGTTTGTTAATTCTGGATCAAATATGTTTTTCTGTCACATAATTTACTTTAGCTAAGCCCACATTTTCCCTCCTAGCACACCACACAGAATTTGATTTTTCAAAGTTGAATGTGCTTTTTATGCAAAGAAAACTACTGAGACATAAAATGCTTTTATTTTCACTTCAATCCAAAATAAGAACAAATTATTGTATCCCCCTTTCAGTGAAGAAAACCATGTAACAATGGTTTAAATATTATTTGAGAGGAAAACTGTGATATGCTATGTATTTGAACTACCATCATCTAGGGACAGCTGCAGATTTGTTTTGCTGAAGGGTCAGAGAAGGAAACTCTTAGAAGGTAGGACAGCATCCAAGTTCATAATTTTGTGATATAAAAGACTTTTTTATGCTGCTGGATGGCTGCCCAATAACACCTCTCATTTTGAAAAGTACAGCTGAATTTAATGACATAAAAGCTTATAATTTGTTGAACAAAAATGGTTACAATAGACTCAGTATTAAATGACCCCATTAACACCTGCACTACAGTAACTCACTCCATTCATCTTGGCTGACTGAACAGCTTTCTGAGATCTGATAAGTTAAGTACAACCAAGTGAAAGTGGCAGCTAGAGTTACAAAGCAACTGCATTGAGACTTCTCCTGTCTTACAAGTTCTCTTTAGAACAAGGAATAACACAGACAAAAATAACAGCCCCCGAGCACATAGTTCATAAATCTGTTTCATGTTTGTGTAAGTGCTGGCTAAGATGGCTACTGTTATTTTACTGTTGTGCAGTGTAACTGCAGTAAGTAACCCATTTCCTTCAATGGTGTTAATATCTCCTTCTGTAATAGAGGCTGGCAAGATAAACACAAATTGATGTGGTGAGATATTTCATCTAGCTAATGGGTACATTTACATTAAATACAGCTGGGTGTAAATGACTTGAAAGATTTAAACAAATTTCAAGCCTTTGAAAACCCTGTCTGGTCAGCCCAATATGTAACAAGGACCCAAAATGTAACAATGAACTAAACCTGAAATGTAATAACTGGTGGATAATGTAACATGATGCTACACCCAGAAGGTAATTACTTTTTGCCCAAAATGTAACAACTTGTTACAAATGTAACAAGATGTTACATTTTGGGTTTTATTACATTTCTTTGATCACGTTTCTGGCTCAACATTTTGTAACATTATTGACCAGTTATTACATTTTGGGCTTTGTTTCATTTTTTTTTTTTTTTCAACATTTCGGGTCGTTGTAACATTTCATCTCATTATCAGGCTCTAACATGCCCTATAGTGTAACAGGTAAACTAAGCAGAGATTGTGTAGAGCCACAACAACAGAATTGTAACCAGTGGTGATGCAATCTAAAAAGGACTGCAATATGACAGCTTAAAATCCAGCCAGATAACACAACGGAGTCTAGGCCAAAATTTCATAACTCCCAGCTCAACTAGAAAAACTGTCACCAGCATGCATGTCACATAAGCTGACAGTCACAGAGGCAATTAAGATGTAGGCTTCTGTCACCTCAGAGACTCCCACAGGAAATACTGGGCCCGAGGTTAAATGTCTCAGCTGAACCTTTCTCCATATATGAAGCTTTCTCTCTTTTATGAGGCGTCTTCAAAGTCTAGACCCAGCTATGACTCTGACATAACAACCAGTAGCTTTGAGTACTCAAAAGGCAGAGCTGTCGAGGTGTGTTGCTTACACACTAGCTGAGGGTAGATATTACTTGAGATCAATAAGCACTCCGACCCAGTTTATCACTGTAATTGTGATATTGTAAACAAGCTTAAAACCAAGACTTGTCTCACAACCATTATTTAATTAAGAATACATCCCAATCAATATGAACAGCATTCGCTTGTAATGGTAATACTTATTCCTTGCACAAAGCTCCATCAATCATTTGTTGATATGTTGAGAATAAGCCTTTTGGAAATTGTTCATTCTAACAATGTCAATGTCTGTCACAAAGAGACACTGCAGATCGCAACTGTTCATTTTATCTTCAAGACCTGTCAGTGTCAATTTCCACAGATTATGTAAAAGGCAAAACTGTGCCATTTACAAAAAGTGATATGAGCCGTGTATTTGCTCACAAACATACTATTTACTTTAAAAAAAAAAAAAAAAAAAGGCAACTAGTAAGAGAGAGGTTAATAAGTTGTGGTGAGTGCAACAGTTGAAGGAAATACACTTAAGTAGGGTGCTTATTCGTTCAGAATAAAATGATTCCTAACATAAAGAAAGCTAAGTGCTTTTACAAATGCAAGATCTTACTCTTGGTATGATTTTCACCGAAGGCATTGTTTGACCTTTGACACTGACTTCTACATCATTCTTGCAGATGTTGGCAAATACATACTAAACTACAACTGAAAAGTTTATCTGATTCAACAGAAATGCTTTTCAGAGAAGTGGGCTCCAAGTGTTTTTTTCTTGATGAGGTGCAAACACAAAGGTAAATGAAAAGAGAACACACTTACATTGCCCATGTACTCAGACAGAAGATCCTGGAGAGCTTGGCGCACAGAGTTGCATTCTGCCACGATGCGCTCCCTGCGGTCATCACGTGTGCATGATGAGTCGGCCATGAGGGCAGCACCACTGATAATGCTCTCAAGGCGCTCCTCAAGGGATGGGCGGAAGCGCTCCTCGCTAAACGCCAGGGGGTCCACAATGATTTGTTTCTGTAAGGAAAGGGTCAGAGGGGAAATTACACCGGTAGAAGAATGCTTGAGGTCATCATGTTATACTAATCTCTCCCACACTCAAGAGTCCAAAGAGAGAGATGTACAGACAGGGGGAGGACTGAATCGACCGAATGACTGACTGACTGACTGACTGACTCACTCACAAGCTTGGTGGCTTAAAAATCTCAAGTATAGGCTCAGCTGTTTGTTGTGTGTCAAGGGATCAAAAGAGTAAAAGTACCTTACAAACCACAGCCACAAACTCACATCACTTTTGGTGTAAATTGTAGGGGTGGGAGAAAAATATCAAGCAGCATAGTATTGCGATATTTTGTCTGGTGATATATCGTATCGTCTCATTTACCAAGTATCGATTTTTGAAATTAATTACTAATATTAAGTCAGATCAATGATATCGGAAAAATAAAATCAACTGTTTGTCCAATGAGGCTGGCAGAGGTGACATCATCGGGCAGGAGAAAGTAAGTATTACAAATACATATAAGGTTAGCAAGATGTGCTTTTATGAAAATAAAATACAGTGTTAATAAGACAAACGTAAAGAAAGCCAAATGCTTAATAAGCTATAATTTGCAATATATTTTATCACAATACTCACTGTATTGCAAAATGTTAAAAATCACAATAATATCATATTGTGGCCTAAGTATTGTGATAATATCATATTGTGGAGCTACTAGTGATTCCCACCCCTAATAAATTGAGAACAAAGCTGAGAGCAGTGTGCTGTTTTCCTTGAAAAGTCACAAATTTAAAATTATAAAGATTATTGAATAAAAATGGTTCCGTAGTATTAAAGTATGACTAATTTAAAAGGTTACTCATTAAAAGTTAAACTGAGTTAATGGAAAATAAATTAAAGTCAAATAGTTTAAAATAACCAACCACTAAAAATGCATTTTACAAGGGCTTCTCTGATATGGACTCAAGACTGTGTGTCTTACACAGAAAAACAAAGTGGCTTTTTCCAAAAACCTGAGTCAGACTGGGTCTATAAAAGAGAGACAAAGTTAGCACTTGTGAAGGCAATTTTTTTGTACCTCCTTCAAAACGGTGCCTGCTCATCTGCCCTGCTGGCACACAGTTTTATGACTTACAAATACAGCTTCAAAAGACTCTTTCTCAGTGCCATGGCTGCAGAGAACAAGGTGCAGATTAATAGAGAGTCCTCTGGAACTGTCAAAACAGGGCTCTGCTAATTACCAAATGAATGAATCAACAAAAAGTAGTTCTATAGAAATTTAGACGACGAGATCAGTTTAAAAAAAACAGATGAGCCTATGAATATGTAACTATGTAGAAATATGTAATCCCTTTTAAGAAAGGATTCGATATAATGGCCTTCACTACCTTTCATTCGAGTCACAGTCGAGCTACAGTAACTTGCTCTCCTCTCTTTTATATCTGCAGGATGAGTGAGAACACTTAAATGTCTGATTTCACGGGGGCAAGCCTGCTGTGAGAGGCAACTAGTTGACATGCTGGAGAGGCACTGCAGAGGGTTAAGGTATCACCGGGACGCTTGTGGCAGTGAAAGAAAGAAAGCCAACTTCCCAAACGACAGACAAACTCTGGGCTTTCACAGGGGCCTCTATAGCTACAAAATATTCAACAATTCAGCTGTCAGAAGTGTGGTTTATTAGGCAGCCCGCCCTCTATCACAGCCACCTCCGGCCCCCTCCACTCGGTCTCATCTGACCTCCTCTGCTTGCGTGTCATATCACCATGGCAACAGGCGCACGAGAGAGACATGGAGGAGGAAATACAGAGCCAGAGAGAGAAAAAGAGAGAGAGAGATTTGGGGGGTTGACTCATTTGCTAATTTTGCTTTGCACTTGAAATTAGGCATCACAAAGTAGCTACTCTGGAAAGGCCCGTGAACCCGTCTTTGAGGGAGTGACTTTCTGCATGGCTGCCTGGAAAATAATCACTGTTGCAACACATCGGAGAGACTGCATTGTTGACACTTATTTTATGTAGATTAATCTTTTGGCTTACCAGCTGTCATCGGAGACAGAGGCTTTTATAGTTTCTCACACTTTAACATAAATTTCCATGACTGTAATCCACTTAGCCTGAAAAGCCTGACATCAGATGATTCTATAATACAGAACCTTGTAAATCTGTTTCCGACATTTCAGCAGGAAGTTTAGTGGATAAAACAACCCACAAAGTGAAATTTTAAAATTCTTTTTGCCTGTGGCCTACAGGTTCACATTGTTAAAAATAGTTAAGAGCAGAACTGGCCTAGTTTCGTGTCCATGGTATTAAGACTGCTGAAGGGCCAAACTGACTCAATAACAGGTGCTGTTATGTCTCTACATTTATTACGCAAAAAGCTTAAAGAGGAGGCATTGTGTATTTTTTTCATACTCCATACTTCCTCTCTGATACCTCTTGAGCCCACTTTCCTCTGATTGGCCATTCTCTGAGGAGGCTTTCTGAAAGCTGGTCAAGGGAACATCTTGACGTTTTGGCCCCGCCCCCTCTATTGTGTTCAATCAGTAAAGCAGTGGAGCAGCATTTACCAGCTCCACAGTGGGTGTCACCTCACTCTGTTGAAGACAGGCTGCCGGAAGCACAGACGAACTAGCAAAGACCGCCTATAATAACTGCATAAGCACTTTAGTGAGTCTCGAGTCTTCGCGCAGGCTCCCGTTTTGAGCAGTTTATATATATTTTCTAAGATTGTGACAAGATACATTTACCTTGTGGTCTGAAACTTTGCCTACATAAAGTATGGACACCATGGAGGAGCGTGATACCACCCCCTTAACTTAATTTTTCATTAGAACTGCTAAATATTACATATTTACATATTCTCCAAGAGAAATAAAGAGAAGTAGACAAGCAAAGAGATCATGTGACTCAAGAAGCTTCCATGTTATATGTTCATTTTATCAATCAAAAGCTTGAACGCATTAAAGTTAGGCAACAGAAAAGACCCTCGTAGGTGACTGTTTTAAGGCAAGTAGTTAGTTTATCACAGCCAGAAAAAAATGAGAGTTTGAAAAACTGTGTGCTTTGTCACTGACCCTCACAAATCTCCACAGTCTGGCTCAAAATCAAACATGGAGGATTTTTAGGACCTGACAGCTCAATTTTCCAGACAGGCTTTCACGTCACTTCAAACAAAGTGAGTGAATTTGTTTTTAAAAAAGGTTGAACTCAGCTTCAGCCCCCTGGTAGGACATAAATGTGAAGATTTAAGTGAGGTAACAGGGGTCACTAAATTTAGACAGGACATTTAGAAAACTTTCACAGCTCTGATTTTAATTGTTTTAAAAAATTTTTAGTACTTTGTATTCCCTTTTTGTTATTCTAGCCTAGATGCAAAGAGTGCCAGTCACACAGATCCTGTCATCCCAGCCATGTTTTCAAAAACAGTAAACATGAAAGTGAGAGACTGGACATCTGGCTAACAGAGTTCCAACTGTGTAATTACACCATTTACATCTGAGACTGTTTATCTACCATCATTGAACACTTGCTCTCAACGCTCCCTAAACAGAAATTACGAGGATTTTAAAGAACCTTTAAAATGTCTGCAAAAGACCATCATTCATTTTACTGTGTGTCATTTGGCAGAAGGAAAGTAAAATATGAGAGTGAAGATTTCATCAATCACGTGTTAACAATTTCAGACCTACAGTAACACACTGCTGTTTGGACAACATAATGGGTCAGTATGGGACGAGTAATGTGCAGGCTATACAATGAAAACCTGAACTTCTGTAGAGCTCACTGAAAAGGTCTCATTTGTCAGTGGTGTGTTCAGCTCTCTGCTTATAAACAGATCTGTAAACAAAAAGGTTCTCTGCACATCTGACTGAAATCAATGGCAGATGAAAAAAGAAAAAAGATCCAGTTAATGATCTTTGCAGCACCCTGTGGTGCATGAATGAGATTAATTCAATGTTTTACCCAGCTGTTTTCTTAGTCTTGTTTTATTTCAATATTATGATGACTGGCATTATGCATATATGTACATTTTCTTTTTAACCAAACACTTAGAATTATCTTTTATTACATTAAAAAATAAAATGTTTAACACAGTTTAACCCTGTGGCAGCAAGTAAAGAGATTTAGAGCACAAGAGAGAAATAAAATAAAATAAAAACTAGTGCATCTGAGTCAGCTGAGGGTTTCAGGGACATGCCGCACATACAGTCGCTTGAGTAAACACTAAGTGACTTTAATAGAAATACAAAGGTTTAGAGCACTAATGTAAGAGGGGTAAGAGAGCAATATGCAATGCTTTTTTCGTTGATTAGGGCTCTTACTCTTGCCAAATGCCAAAATAAATTACTCTTGAGTCTGCATCATAAGGACTTTGAGTAAAACCTTCTGAAATGAAAATGAAAAACACTATCATTGTTGCAGCCGTGCTTTGCTTCTAGTGAAAATTAAATGCTTCCTCTGTACTTTTAATTCTACAGCAGAGCAAGCTAGCTAAAAAGTTAAGCTTCATCTACATTGGCTCTCTTACTAAGGTTTTTTTCTGGAAGCCACAGCGGGTAAACTCTCCTTCATTTGACATACAGTTATCAAGAACTGAAGAAGCAATGACTCAAGAACTTGTTCTGAGTGTCCCAAAGCCATGTCCCAATTTGTTAACATATCTCGTCCTAATTTCCACCTCTTCCTCAAGCCCTTCTAGGGTTTTGGTCATTTCATGATTCAGTTGTTTAAGTTCTGTAAAGTAGAAAATGTCCTGAGAGTAACCTTCCTGAGCAGATCCTCGTGTAGCTTATACAAAAACTCTTATTTTATTCTACCTTTTGAGCTGAGCTGTTGTTGGAATGAATTGTTGTTGACAATAAAGTGCATGATATTTCTTAGTCTGTCGCAGAACTGTATGAGAGGCTGGACGATTGAAAAATGCACCTAGGCTGTGGCTTGTAAAACACTCATTTGACTTACATCAAAATTGTTGAGGGCGTAGGCGAGCTCTCCACCTCCTGCTGGCTGACTGAGTGCTGAATCTTCAGTGGAAGTGGCCTGGGCAGCGTTAGAGATGCCTGAGACAGCATGCTGCAGCTGCTTGTAGATCAGGTCACGGTTAGCCTTGTAGGCTGCCACGTCAGGGTGCTGCAGGCAGGCACGGGACGCGGTGTACAGCATGGGGATGTTCCTCTGTAGAACCCCGCGGGCGGCAGCCATTTGGTCCTTGTGGTGGACGTCCTTTAGCTCCTGGCAGGATGAGATGAAAAGGAGCGTTAAATAAAGAATTTAAAAAAAAAGGTTTGCTGGAAAATGGAATACTTACAGGGGGGCTGGGTAGTAATCTACTTTAAATTCAGAATGGGCAAGTCATACCCTTACAGAGACACTAAGTGCGACAGAGTTTGTTCTGGATGACCCAGATTTATTTCTGTCCCCTGCGGTAACACAACACAGTCATAATCAGGCCATTATAATACGCCTTTGCAATTTAATGCTTTGCTATTCAGACCTCAGCATTATATTGCAATTACATCTTCATAGGAGGGTGGAGGGGAGATAGTGATCACTGGCATAGATTTATGACATTAAAAAAAAGGCTTGCACACACAAGACTGAAACCTCCCCTCCACTACACCCCCTAATTCCTCAGACATTCACTGAGAAACAAACAGCCAGTAAGCCCCATTACTTTCAGCATGACTTTGGTTAAACACATTCTGCTGTCCACAGAAACGACAAGTAGGAGTCATTTACTTTCAGAATCGTCTGCGATTAATTGGTAAGTTTTGCATCTTAAATAGAGGTAGTTGAGTGTGGAGATGTTTAAAGACTTTAAAAGCATGAGCTGGTGCTTCACGGTGTTACAATAAATGTATGTAATACAGTATCATTCAAACCATTATTCAACTTAATGTTACTATATCCAGGATCACAATTCTATTATCCACTTTCTAGATGGGAGATGTGCATCAGAGAAAGGTTTCCAAACTTCTGATGCAGCAACTACTCTTAGATTATGAGAGGACTGTGAAGAATAAGGCCGTCACTTCTCTTTAAGATAAAAAGATTAGTTTAACCAAAAGCAGATCATGATCTGGTGAGTTCAAATAGATTTAAACCCCTGAAACCAGCACAGACATTCAACATTTTCTTTACTCCATTCAGCAGTTTTATCGAGTTGAACACAAAGCCTCCAATATCAACATCTAAAACGTGCCAAATGCCAAAGGTTTTACAGTTTGGCTCGTCAATTTGAGAGGGTTATGCACAACCTGGTTGTTAAATGCTTGTTCTGTAATAGTCACATAATTAAGAGCTGTTTGCTATTACAGTGGTAATGCTCAGCTGAAGCTGTTTTCTCAGGATCAAAACTTTACACTAACTTTGTTCAGTCTTCAATTAGTGAAAAATGGATCCAAACTTTTCTTCAAGTGTTACCCCGGCCAACTCTTTTAAGTTTATATTTTAGGTTTTATTATCTTAATAAAACAAACTTTGGCAAATATGTGTCATACAAAAAAACAACAAATGTATTATTTTGATGATGATGATGATGTGCTACTAGACTGTGGCGCCTTCTCTGCTGCCCTTAGAGGTGTTGTCAATGACAACAGCGGCCCTGTCTTTGTCCTGTATTATGCTATCTGCAGTGCAGAACCTAAAATACCCCAACAAGGTATTTCCTTGATATTCTGGTGCCCCATATAAGACACCAGAAGGACCGCTATTTCTGTATAAACCATTACTGTATTTATCAACGAAGATGAAGAGTGAATGAGATGGTCAGGTTACAATGAGAGCACCCTCTGCTGGATTAAAAACCATAAGACTTCAGACAGTCTGGGTGGGCTGGTAAACTGTATATGACGAGTTATAAGAGCTCACTGCAGTTAGAATTCAAATTTTGTCCCCTTATCCCAACCAAGACTCAAATTTAGGATCAACAGAAAAATCACTCTGAGAAAGTCATATCATAACACGGCCTGTGCAGGGCTCTGCCAGGTAGATTTTAATGAACAAAATACACCCACACCTGATTTTTTGGTTAGTTTCTGTGCGCACCAATTAAGAAATGGCAGCTGTTGTCAACTTTTTATTGCGAGTTTATTATATTTGTGGCATAATCATATCAGGATACAGCTATTCAATTTCAAATTAGATCTTATTTCAGTAAGCTTTAGTTGTTCCTTGTAATTACAGGAATGCGCAATTCTGGATGTTCACCAAGAGGCTTAACAAGTTGTTCTGTTTGGGAAACACACTGTAAACTGCACTTCGCTCTTGGCTACCACCCACACCTTCATGGAGAAACACAATGCTACACTTCTCATCAAAATGAAATTGGTGCTGTCACATTTAGTCAAGCCTTTGTGCTTCCTGCACTCCAAGACCACTTCACTGATATTGGCGCAAAACACCTTGTTCATGCAAACTGCATCTAACCACCCACACTTGGACTTAATCATGCAGCATTTATCTTCCGCTTTTCCTTCCTTCCTGTTTTTCTTTCTATTAGCTATTTAGACGAGAGGGATGTTTTGATATGACTCATAACATGCGAGATAACCTTCCACAGCTCCTCTGCAAGTTCTCTATCATACAGTGCTGCCAGGTTCTTACTTTGTTTTGATTCTCTATGCAGCAAATTATACGATACCTGCTGCCGCTTTGAAGCCATGAGGTTCAGCTTGTCCACCTCAGGCTTCAAGGCCTTGTATTGGATTCCAAGGTCCTGCTCTGTTCCAGCGTTGCGCACTTTCACCAGGTTATCCTCCACCTGAGACCAGCAGATAAAAATAAGTTAGACAAATCCTCACTGCGAGATTGCATTTCTCTTTAAAGCGCAGATGTGAGTTAGAACTGAAAAACATCAAAAGTGCACAACACAATAATCCAAACTGCAATTAAACCAACCAATAACTGAAGATGTGATTCAAATTAGCCTTAGCTCGGGATCCTTGGAAATAGTTTTAGTTGGTAGAGAGTAAATCAATTAGGAGAGGAATTAAAAATTAAATAAAGCCAAAGAGGAAACGTTTTTCGTTTTAAAATATTTGAGGGGTATGAGGAGAATATTGAAAATGTCAGTGGGAGAGATAAAAACAGTCACAAAAGGAAGATGATACCCTCCCCTCCTTATACCCAGGCAAGCATGGGCTAATTGCTGTGACATGGTAACACGGAAGAGCTATTCCAAAAATCTGGCCCATTTGGTTTTACTCGATTATCTACGCTCAGCGCTTGTGCTCAGCTTCCCCTGGTCCTCAAATGTTTCTGAGTGAGCAACTGACAAAGAGATTAAAAGTAGTAGGAATGGTAGATGACAGGATCACTGCACTGCAAATAGTATGTCTGTAACTTCCAAACAGCAATGACCCAAAAACACAAGAGCACAGATTATCCCAGCATCATTACACAATTTTTTCACTAATGAATGAATTGGATTATTAAGTCCATTTAAAATTAGTGAATCAACTCAGTACCTCAATCTTAATCGGTCAACTTGTAGTATGTGTGAGTAGAGACCAATGCAGTATCAAAGAAACTTGCCACAGTGTGACTGCAGCAAAGGTTACTATCTCACCAGCTTAAGCTGTACTAGAAGTTTGTAGACATCCGACATGTCTGCCAGCACCAGAAGATGAGTGACTGCTGACAGGAGGGCCCTGGCAGCACGAACCATGTTGCCTCTCTTCACAGATGAGCAGGGGTCTTCTGCAAACTCTCCAGAGGCCTGCCGCATGGACTCGCCTAAAATGGGACAAAACAGAAAAAAAAAAAATTTGTTTTAATTGTGTAAAGTGAATCTTCTGATGAAATCTTTTTTTAATAGAATTTTTTGAAACATGAACAACTATTAAACATGGTACAAAGTAAAGACATAAACACAAAAAAACAGACAGAAAACACAAACAGACAGTCAAATAATTTCGTCATTTGCATGTTCAAAATGGAGTGGGAGCAAGTCGAAACTTGTCTAGTCCCACCTCTTCACCTTGCATGAATCATCAATAATTTATTTACCTGCTTCCAGTTGATAATAACAATAATCATAATAATAATCGCAACATAAACAAAACAAACAAATAATACATCAAAACAAATAATTTAATCTTAACTGTTAAAAAAACACCATCTGATTTGAACCGATAGAAAGATCCTTCCTTGACTGTGACAGGCTTGCACACTCAAAACAAATAAAACTGTTATGTTCAAAATGAATTTTAAAACCTGTGTTCATCTGGTCCCTTTTAGTGACACAGACAACTAACTAAAGTACACGACAATCATACTTCGTGGCTACGTCTATGTTTTTGGCCACTACTGTTCAGTAAAGCAAGCACTAGACTTGCCTTAAGTCAGTGCTTCTCGATCCAGTCCTCGAGCCCCCCCTGTCCTGCATGTTTTGGACGTTTCCCTGCTCCAGCACACCTGATTCAAATGATCAGCTCGTTATTATGCCATTACAGAGCTTGATAACGAGCTGATCATTTGAATCAGGTGTGCTGGAGCAGGGAAACATCCAAAACATGCAGGACAGGGAGGGCTTGAGGACTGGATTGAGAAACACCGCTTTAAGTTGAACTTTGCATTTTTTCCCCCATGTATTTTGTGACTATTGTTACTATTCACTTTTAGATGTGGCATTGGTATTGATGTAGAAGATGTAGCAGTGCTAGTGGGAGTCTATCAGGGATGGCAGGAGGTATCTTAGAGCAGCCTGTTCCAGACTTACAGGTTTAACCCCTCAGAAATTTTTATTTTAGACAAAGAGGAGAGCAGAGCAGAGCGGCAACAGTCTGATGCACTTATCTACACGCTACAGGTCAGCACGTGTCATACAGAGTGACAAAGACACAGACACCTCACAATGTCTGGTAATAATGTGTGCCTGCACATGGACATGAACACACAGCGCTCTGAAAAAAAAGGAAAAGAAAAAAAGGGGTCAAAGCCACTACAAAGGGCTCACTGTCTCGTTTGTCCGGCACCATTCTTCGTCCTGTATTGGATGGGTCTGCACAGTTGACTGAGCACACAAATGGACTTTGTAGGCTCACATTATGAACAAGACAGTAAATCCGTAAATAGTTTACTTCAGTGGAAGCACAGCCAAAACAAACTTAGAAAAAAAGGACTCTATAACAGCAAGACTGTGCTTGCATTTACAGATCCAGAGCCAACGAGATGACAAGCACTTATGTTGTCCACTCTCCTTCAATGTAGTTCAGCTCTATTGAGGCTGGGGAAAACATCAGATGACAAGCAGCAAGATGAATTATTTTCTTTTAGTTCTGAAGTGTACTCTGGTAAAAAAAAAAAGACAAGTGAGCGCTAATTTAGCGGCAGTTAGACTCACCAGTTGTTACCATCTTGCTAAATACCTTCTCTATGGCGCTTTCAAAGACGAGCTTTCATAAAGGATGTTTTTGTCTTTTTTCTTTTACCACCTGTGTGCTGGGACTAACTCCAGACACCAAGAAACTGAACAGGGTAAGCAGTTCAGACAATAATGAGCTTTCAGAGACAACAATAGGGTTTCAGTAGGAATACAACAGACTGCCGTGGCATCAAATTCAATTATGCAAGGGTAAAATTTAAAAAAAAAAAAAAAAAAAAAGACTCAAATACACTTTATTTCTTTTAACTGTCTATGTAAGAATCACAGAGTAAAAGCTCAATTTCATGGTGTGGTTTTGCAACAGCGCACACTTTTATATAAAATACAGGAGGCTCTATTTAGAAACTAAGTTAATTGATGTCTTGACTTTGACCAAAAGGACTGCTTTCTGTGTGTTCTGACCACAAGAAAACCCATGAAACTGATGAATTCCTTCACCGAAGAGTAGAAGGCGACTCTATTTTAAAGCTGAAACTCACTGTTTTCTTATTACCTTCCATACCATCTCCTTTCAGCCTTTGTTTCATTTCCATCTCTCTCAGACATGCGAGTCAGAAGAGATGTAGAGGAGCGTTTCACCTGAATTTTAACAGCTTCAACTTGAGCAGATATAATTTGCTGCGTGCAATGCAACCATCAACCATCTACATTAAAGCTTGCATGACATGAATACGTGCTGCATAGGAATGAGATGTTACTGAACATCAACACTAGGCTTTAAAGATGTAGGCTCCAACCTCGCTGAAATAACGTTAGTCAAACATTAGTCATACATTTGCTATGAACATTACAGAAATTATACTTACTCATCCAGGCAAGACAGACTGCTATCACTCTTGAAATAACACAAACTAAAATGATAACGCTATGCTTGAGTTTAATCTGTTTTTTTTTTTTTTTTTATCAAAAACACTAAATCTAAAGAAAATAGAGCAAAACAGCCGTTACTCAGATAAGAGACTGTGTTATGGAGGATTACTCCTGGAAATGTCTCCATTACAGATGGCAGTTTTAATAATAAGTTTACGTGTAACACAACCTTAATTTCTTCAGACTTGAGATATTAAGTAAAATGATGCTGAAAACAGAATTTGATGGTTTGTGAATCACTTCAAGCCTGTATATAATTAAAAACAAATCAAGTGTTAAAACTAAAAACTTCTAAATTTGATACAAATAACAAAAGTTCAAATAATTACATTAATTTGCATAACGTTAGTGACATGACTGGATATAAAAGGGCATTACAGAGATGCAGTCTCCCAGAGGTAAAGAGGAGAGAGGTCAGGTGAGTACATATTTCAGTAAATCCAGAATAATGCTCCTGAGTATAACCACACAGAGCTTGAGAATTGTATCAATCCGAGTACATAGTATCATCTGAAGAGTCAAAGAACCTTGGAAAATCTCTGCGCTAAAAGGGACCAGGCAGAAAATCGATACAACTGTAGGTGGTTGTGATCTCTGACCTCAAGCAGCACTACATCAAAAAAAGGCATGACTCTGTGGTGGAAATCACTGCATGGGCCCAAAATCCTGTCCGAAAACCTGCTGTCTATGAACAAAGATCATTGCTGCATCCACAAATGCAAAAAACTGGACCATGCAAAGTGGAAACCGTACATGGACCTGACCCTGGAATGCTGCCCGGCTCTCTGAGCCTGACTTCCTCGAACATAGACTGAGGCGAGGCAGAAAACTTTCCTGTGGCCTCATCAGTCAAATGTGATTCTTTTTTGGAAATCATAGATGCCACTTGATCCAACAGCATGTCTCTGTATCAGAAGAGTCCAGGTGAAATACTGGACTGCCTACAGGTTTGAAAATATTTGGTGCCTCATGACCAAAAAAAAAAATCTCTAAGGAGATTCTTGAGCAACTCAAATCTATCTCAGGCAATTCTACATTTAACTTTCAAACCCCAGAAACTGGTCTTTTCCTGTTTCACAAAACCCTGAGAGGGATGTTCGAGGAAAAGGTGATACATCAAAAACGATAAAACATCTCCCTGTCCTTCGGAAATGAGTAGCTGGCATTAAATTTAAAAATGAAAATATATTTCCCAGAGAATAATAAAACTTGTACGTTGCTATATCTGATTTGTTGTCTTTGCACTATTTGACATCAAATACAAGCTTTGAATTATTTATGAATCTCCAATTTTGTTTTTAATACACATTTTACTACGTTTCCCAACTCTAATGGGATTGCGGATGTAATATGGATGTTATTTTTAAGGCTTTTCATTACTCAAATGCATTCAAATCACAAACCTAAACAAACTTAATTTTTAAATATGCACCAGTCATATGCATTTACTTGCACAAGGTTTTTGCTTATTGGTAAAACAACTAATTATATTTCACTTAAGATAATTGTTTGACAAATTTAGGTTGTACTTCTACTCAACATAAATCCATAGAAACAAGTGGTAGAAAGCATTCCTCCTGATCAGTTTAACTGTAAGTTAATGTTGCCAAGCTACAAGCTTGACTGAAGTGAGAAGCTTCAGTGACTAATAAAATCCAAGCAGCCTATATGAGTGAATGAAACATCAGCAGCCATCAGCAGAATCTACTCCTTAGAGGCTGGTGATCTGACAACCTGTGAAACTAAAGCGTTAGTGACGATGCCAGTGAACACACGACCCAACTCCTGCTAATGCTGGTATCATGCGTGCCCACGAGCACTCTCTGTCTAATGTATGTACACTTCGAGGACTACTTACAGGAGCTGTGAGTCAATAAGTCAACAATCGGGTTTAAACCTGTTCAAGTCCTGACAGTGCTACAGAGAGATAGACACCTTCAATCTAAAGGTGTCGTGTTCAACTCTGGAGATATCAAAAATGCCTTCTTATAACATTTTCAAACATGTTTTTTTTTATGTTTGAAAGGATACTACCCTAACCTTATAACAGTGCCAGTGCCATTCTGACTCTGCATTAATACCACATTACCATGATGCCTGACATCCAGTGCAGATTTGAGGCTTTTCAGCATCTCCATCATGTCCTAAACATTTTGCAGATGCTTCAGTGAAACACTTACACCAATAGATGAGGCAAACCAAAATTAGTGTTTTTTTTCATCAAAATGAATGTCTCTTTCACAGCCTAAGTCACTGGGTGTCAGAGGCCAACTGTGAGACATTTTCACAGGGCTGCAGGCAAAGAAGGCGTCCGTGCCCGGCCAGTGTTATGCCACAATATTGTTGTGCAGCATGCTTAGAAGAGTTTTGACAGTGTTCAAAGCTCAGTACGAAATCAATGAGCTACACTGAGCAAGTTTAAAAAGAAAATTCTTGAAGCTTGAAAAGACTTGTTATTTTACAGGACCAGTGCCGGCTGCGTTGTCAGTTATAATGAAGCTTATCGAGCCTATCAAAGAGACATACTGAAAAACACCGCCATAAAATGGGTGTGAAGCAGAGGGAATGGTGGTTATAACTGCAACCCATCAGCAGCAACTGTCACCCTTTCAGCATATAAAGCATTTAACACATAAAACCTCAGCCGAGTACACAGCAGTTTATAAAATTTCCTCCAAAAGGGGTTGCAACTGAAAATTATTTCCATCACAACAAGATACTTCTTTGCTCGGAGGACACAGTGGCAATGTCCCACTTTATTTTCTATACAAATGCACTAACAATTATCCACATATCTATTAACCACTTAGAAAACTCATCTCTTTAAAAAGGTCAGCTTTTAATTTCAGATACCAAAAAACTCTGGAAAAACTCTACAGACGATTCCAAGATTTGACTTTATTTTGAATATTATCTTTTTTTTGCAGGTAAAATTGTAGTTTATACTGTTTTTTTTTCCTTTGATCTATTATTTTATAAATTATTTTTATAAATTAAAATGGGCTTATCTTTTGGTATAAGGATTACTTTCAAAGACCGCTTTTTGGATAAATAAGATAAATGTAATGCCATCTAAGTTGCAGTCATGTATCTTGAATGGATTGTCATTTTTATTGTATTATGTTTTATTCTGTATTGAATATGATTATTTTATTTCTTGAACGGGGTTGTATGAGGTTCTTGTCATGAGTAATTCTATCACTTACAGAGGATGTCAGTCTGCTTGACACCCTTCGTCGGGAAACTTTCAGGAGGGTTGACATGGAAGCAAAGCTATCAATCACTGCACAAAGGGTCACCTTTACCACAAAATTTAGCCACCACCCGAACACTAATGTCGGTGTAAGTGTATGCTCCTTTTAGAAATGTTTTAAGTGCTTTACTTTGCTGTCAGAAAGCTCATTTGTTATTTTACTTTATTCCCAGATGCAACACATAAATTCTCTCCCCTCAGAATATTGATGAGCTAATCAAGTCTATGACTGCTTTGCTCAAGTCTGTGAAGCCACTAGTGATTCCCATCAGCATTCAAGCTGAGGTCACTTGCCTGAGAAAGGGGAAGGACTCATTGATAGTAAGATGGATCGTAGACAGTTTGAGCAAGTTCGTATAATCTTTGTAGATTTAAAGTCATCTGTGAGTCTTTATAGATAAAATGTGTTCGGATTAGATCTTTTGTTGGAGCTTTGTTTGGTTGTGGGGAGCCTCTCCGTCGCAGCAGGAGGGAAGTGGAACAGGGTTTTCTACAGATTTAACCGTGGCATTAACTTCCATCGATTTTTGCATTAGGTTTTTCAGAGAAGTCCTATTGTTGGTGGTCTGTGCTGGAGAGGGCAGCAGCTTTGCCTCACAAGCTAAATGGTAACTTGCTATGTGAGATCAAATTCAATTTGTTTCCTCATTTCGCGGGGATCATCTCGGAGCACTTCGTAGATTGCAGAATGCCACATCTAAACTTGCTGGTTCTCGCAGCTCATTTAGCCAAAACCTGAAATGTTCCCCGAGGAGAAGAGTTTTATCTAGTTTAGGTACCACTGCAGCGGCCATTGTGTCCATCTGAGCAAAAGTTGGGGTGAGGTGACGTCACGTGTAGTTGTGCGGTAACCTACCATACTGTGTGGTTGACTTGTTGATACTGTGTCCGTTTTACAGCCAGATTCTTAATAACGGGCTGAGCCGAACAAGATCCTCTGTGGATAATGCAAGTACCTCTGGCATCTTCATACAACCCCACTTGTAAAAAAACGAACTAGCCCTTCAAAATACTCAGCTCGTCATGATGCCTCACAAAGAAATGCATCAATCCTCTCATTCTGCAGCAATTGAATTTTTTATTAACTACAGCAAAACTGACCAAAAAAGAAATTATTGCAGAGACATTTTTGATCGACTGCTCACTTAACCAAGCTTGACTTTTTGATTATGAGCTTGGCTCCTCAAACACAACAGCCGTGCATCCATTAGACTTGAAGCAGCTTGTGGCTCTTACTCATGCAGTTTCCTTTCATCCAGATCTTTGCTTGTGCTGTACCTACACTCAAATGTCGAATGTGAGTCACTCTGGACAAAAGCATCTGCTCAATGACATTGTAGCACTTGCTGATAGTTAAACTGTAGTTCATGAGGTAGTCAAAAGCGTAAAGAGTAAACTATAAATGGGCATACAGCAATTACAGATCAAATAGCTCAAGGCAAAAAGAGCTTTAAAAAGACCAATGTCAGATTTGTAGAACAGAAATCACACGCAGAGTCTTACCAATTCACCCCAGCTGGGAACTTAAGCAGTTTGTGCAAATGACTGAAACACAGACCTCAAAGACAGACCACACCTTCAGGCTATTATTCCCCCCATGATCAAAATCAATAAGGCCATTTTCAGAGGGCAGATAGTGATCAGTACTCCATTAATAAACTTCCATTCATCTAACGCTTACCTGTGGCCCACCAAGAGCACACAATGAAATGATTAAAATGTATATCACACAGGAATACAATAAACAGCAGGGCAACAATGACACAGACAGAGAAGGAAGGACAGGACAGAGGGAACAAGGACACAAGCAGGCAGAGACAGCTGAGTTAAGTCTTCGACAAGACCAGAAGAAACGTTCGCTCAACTTCAGGATGCCTATATGGTCAAGACAACACAATTTCGAAGATTTATTCAGGAAATATATTGACCCGAGCAAAACACCTACTGATTCTCCAACAATCTGAGGAAGCCTAAGCCCACCCAGCACTTCAACATGCATCATATGCACAATTATGTTTGAAGATTTAGATCTTTTTCCCACTGGTATGCCACAGCTGGACAGAAAATGCTTTCTAAATCCAGGGGTGTGTGAGGGTGTTGTAACCCTTCTCAATAGCCGTATTATCAGTCTAGGCACGCTCCACTGAGCAGCATGGCATAGCTGACAGCCAGGCCTAGGCACCAGCTAACAACAGTCACTGGATTCCGGCCTGTGACAGCTTACCACAGCTACAGTAACATTCCTGGACACTGAGCACTGCACAAGCTATCTGGCAACATGTCATTTACCTCCCGACTACTCAAGAGCAGGGGCTCGAACTCGACTTCTAACTGGCTGGGCATCTGGGGAGAAAAGGCACAGTGACACAGATGTCACTTCACAAGGTGATAACAGCCACCCCTCAAGTCACGGTGCCCTGGTCTCAGAAGTCTGCACGGGAGTCACAAGGCAGCTAGATCTCAAAAGTAAAATGAACAAATGAGGGTTCAAAAATATGACAATGAAATCTACAAAGTGATGGGCTGTTTGGTTAAAAGGACTGGAAATCCATCAGTAATTACATTCCTGGTACAGACAGTGGCATGATTCAATACAAGCAGTTTCAATAAAGCCTCCATGTAATGAACGCCCATGTCTCAGACTAGGCCTGCACGATATATCGTTTGACTATCGTCATCGCGATGTACGTGTGTGCGATAGTCACATCGCAGAGCCTGCGATATTGGAGGTGAATGAACTCATTTAATTTCAAGGGTAACTGACTGAGACACACTGCATGTGACTCTGCATGTGCTTTGCAGCGATCCACCAATCACATTCGTCCTTAACTCAGGTGCCAATCAGACTCACTTCTCAGTTGCCAATCAGACTACCCTGCCAGCTGTCAATCAAAATCAGAGAGGAGGAAACCCACCCCTGCACATGTTCTGCACATGGAGGGAGACGTGTCCGCTGAGAATTACTTTCGGAACTTTACTCATGACTGTTTAGCCCAACAAATAAGAACTGTATGGGTTTTAAATTGTACATTTCCGTGGACCACTCTACTATAAGCGGTGCGCGTTTTGCGAGGTGCATGCAATTCTCGGAGGACATGCGTTTCTCGGCACAACACCGCTAACAACAACAACAACGATCGCAAAATGAGCAACGAACAAGCGAAAACCACCGAAAATGAAGATTTGTTGCCCAAAAGAAAAGGAAAGTCAGTTATCTGGAATTATTTCGGTTAAAAGAAGGACCAAAACACGTGTTCTGTGTTAATCTGTTGCCACAATAACGTCCCAGCACAATAAAAGCTAAAAATATCTCTGAGACAGAAGCCATTTTAACATTCACAAAAAGAGGTAAGATCAGTGCAGGGTAACTGTCCTCAAGATTTCAGCAGTGCAGTATAACATTAAATGCTATTCAGGTCATCTGGTGAAAATTCCTGTATTTTTAATATCGCAATATATATCGCAGGGTTGAAAAAAATCGCAATATTATTTTTTTCCAATATCGTGCAGCCTTATCTCAGACAGACTTTCTCTCATATGCTGTCTGCTAGTACGTGCCTTAGTCACGTCTTTACTGCACTTGAATGTCACTGAAATAATCCTCCTTGAGAGAGCTCCTTAATTGATACCTCTGTTATAAACATCCTTGAGAGATGTCAACATTCAACAGCTGATTCACACAGCATGTGCATTTCAGTTGCAAACCAATGACAAAACAAATTACCAAAATTAGTTGAATTGAATTGTTTACCATTAGTTGGTGACATCATTGCGTGTATTTTTAAGCTGTGAACGGACATAATTCCATGATTTCACAGTACATCATTTCACAAAGTACATCTTGCAGCCTTGCGTTCTCTACTGGGTGGCACATGTGCGACAGTGATGGGGACCGGGCAGTGAAACAAAACATCCAACACCAAATTTATGAGGAGGAACACATCCCGAGTCCTGTTTATCTGTGTGTGGCACGTGTAAAAACTGGGACGGGGGAGTGACGGATAAAAAGGAACATAGCAACATGGCCAGCATGTCCTAAAACACAGCCTGCAAAATCTGTCAATCACACCTTGTCTTTCAAGGCAACGTGACAGTAATATGCGAGAGTTTGACAAGAGGGCATACTGGCTTATTTCAAACATGAAATGACAGTCAACAGAACAGCCAACCGCCCGTGTTACCGCCACACCGAGCAGGATTTACATTTGTAGTCCCTCGAGATAAAGCATTCATCTTTCTTCACAAGGGTTAGGCATCTGTATTGTGAGGCCAATACGATAAATATCTTAAAACATTAGCTACACATATGCAGCAAATTGCTACGTGATATAATGATTTACAGCCTAAAAACGCTAACTGGTAAAAAAAATGAAAAACTAGTATTAGTTGTCACATGCTACCATAATCAAACACCATCATCACTGCCAAATAATTGACAGTCATTACCATCAATAATGACAGTAATGATATCTTTGGTCTTACTTCTGTGTGTGTTGTTGTATCTTACTATATCATGGAGTAGAAAGGATTTGTTTCTCAAAGAATAGTTTTTGCACTGAGGCTCCAAGGCGCGGAGGAGGTTGGAAATCTTTGTTCTCTCTAACAGTGGCTGGATAGCTTTATGAATAAAGACAGAGGCCGGGGATGCTGGGCAGTGGGCACTAGCAGACGCCTCCACACCACAGTCACACTTTGTTGCTGCTTCAGGTGAGTTACAATGTGAGTCGTGCTGCTTGTGCGCTTCAGAGCAGCACGGCACGTTTTGCAAATCGTATCTGACTTGTTGAGTCGTCTCTCTCTCTTGCGAAACCCTGTCGTGTTCGGAAACTTTCGATGTGAAGTTCACAGGCGGTGGGGATTCTCACTGTGCCACCAGCACAACTACTAGGAAACACTCCACAAATACAGTAATGTTTATGCTGCTCATACTACAACAGTGCTCAACTTATGTACTTTAATGTGACATAGGTCTTTACACAGGACCACTGAAACACAAATTTCCAAATATTTTGGGTTGGTTACATTTCTAAATAAATTCATGGAGCATCTTCTCTTAAATGGACTGGATTTACAGATGCAAAAATTCAGAAATGGATTTCTCTTGAGCTGACTCCAAATTGCTTCCATGTTCAGCTGCTCTACTGATGCACTCCGGTCATGTCCACACATATCTGTGAATCAATACCAACCAGTTAATCTTTCCATCCCTATTTTTAAACCATCTTTTTCTCTCCTTCTTACCTCCCTTTCTTCCTCCACTCTTAACACTAAATAGTATGGTTAACTCTTCCCACATCACAAAAGATTCATTGTCCAATTGGTTGATACATCATTTCATTGCTCCAATCTTAGATGACAATCAAAACAGATGTTCGTAACAGTCCTTAGTCAGTTTGATTCCTGTCCTCATGGTCAAAGGTTGGAGCGATGGGATCTCCCATGTAAGCAGCACAGCTAAGGCTCTGATCTGGGGCTGCGCACAAGTAGGAAAACAACTGCTAACAGTGTGGTTTTCAGCCGAAGCAGTCTGTGGAAATGATCTTAGGGATTGTAATACTGACACAACACCCAGTACAATACACCTTTCACAACACTGTAAACAGCTATTTGTAGTGAGAATATTCTTTTTTTCCCAAACCCACTGCAAATATTTTCAGATTCTGTTCAAACTTAGTAAAAAATGCATGTGCAAACAGAACAAAGAACCTGCATTTCATTGCCATTATCAAGGGCTCATTTAAATATAAAGAGATGGGAACGGCTGCAGCTCGGCAGCAGCACTGCCGCTGAGGCGCAGCCTGTGTGAACACAGTGACAGTCAGCAGCAGCACTTCAGAGAGGCAGCCATCACACACTGTTTTGGCATGTTGTGTGAAAAAGCCGTAGGGGTCACAGCTAACTGCAGCTGTAGATAGAGCTGATCAATGGCACAGCAAAGACGACTTGATTTCTTTGCCCCAAAAAGTCCCAAAAGCAACGACAAAAGCAACAAGAGGACGCAGAGCCCACTCGCTGTGTGACTGTGTGCTGCAGATGCTCCAGTTCTTTTGCTACTGGAGTGGGATTAAACCCGAGTGACGGGTTTTCGCTAACACTTGTACAAAGACAGTGGGATGTCTGTGCTACGAAAAACTCCACACAGTGATAAATCTTATTAGTCACTGGGGGCCATTTCCATCATGTAATATACGATGACCACATTTTGAACCTGACCACAGTTGATACCAAGATATGGGTGTTGGGAGCAAAAACTGTAAAAACAAGCATGTGACCTCTGTTCATGATGACCTTGTACGCCAAAAAACAACTCAGTAGGTAACCGTTCAAACAGAATGCCAGACAAATTACAGCCATTACCACAAAACCCCAAAAATAATCTACACAGACAAGATGAGCCCTCTGGTGTGTGATGATTCCCTTTTTACCGTGTCAGCATCTAAACAAACAACTTTAGCTGCAGAGGAAACAAACTATTATGTCTTACAAGCTGACACGAAAATCCAGGAAGTACCAGTTTTTGCCTCTGGTGTGAGAAAAACATAACACTTAAAATTAAGCTGACTAAATGCTTCTGCTCCTGATATGGGTCCATCAAAGATTTACACAACCAAAAAAATAAAGCAAGCTTCGAAGACAGCAAGCACCTACAGTAAGATCACTGGCAAGGCTGAGTGGTGTAACTCAAAGGTACAAGGGGATGTTAAAATATAACCACAGTACTGACAGGAATATGTAATTGTTTCGACTGGTTATTACAAATAATCCTTTTTGGAACAACTGAGAAGTCCATTTCTTTTTTGTAATATGCAGCAAATCTTTACATTCTGCCATAGAGAAGCATAGCAGACAAACATATCAAGGAAAACTATTTAACAGTCACGACTAAAAAGTTTGATGTTACGGTGCTACTGTGAGCCAGACAGTGGTTTACTGGAATACCACACACACACGCACACACAGGTGTGTTTTCCTGGAGGAGACATGGGTCACTTGAATCCTGATTGAAAAGGACAGTGACGGCAGTATGGCTGGATGTGAATGTGACTCATCTGCATGTTTACATGAAAAGTCGCTATTAATGGGCTCCCTGAAAACACTGCATAGAGGAGATCTAAAGAGCTTAGAACATGCTCTTATTTCAAGGTCTTCCACCGGGGCAGATGATACGTACATAGTTTATCATTTATTTATCATCCCTCTCATCTAGAGAGGCAAGCTACAATCTACACACTGGCAGCATTTCTTGTAAATATACCTTGCTTGCGGACATCCTCCACTGCAGCAGTCAACTCATCCTTGAGGAACTGACTTTCTTTGGCGATCTTTTCTCCTTTCTCCAAGAAGTTCTGTGTGGCAGTCTCCACTGACGCTGCCAAGACATGAGCCTTCTTAGAGCGTCCTTTCTTCTTGTTGGATGGGCCTTTGTTGCTGGAGTTGACCAAAGTGGTGACCTATGGCAAGGATACAGGAGGTTCAACAACAGTAGCAGCTACTACAGCTCAGATGTGTTTGGAAACTAGATTTACGCCCACGTTGTTTCTCTTAGCAAAAACATGTGACTGTGCTTCGTTAAATTTTTTTATCAATGCTAGTCCCTTTTTTTCACATGTTGAAAATTCACTCATTTTTCATGTAGAATTTATCAAAACAAAATAAACAAATCCTGAAAGGGTAGAGAAAAGACAATTTTCCATTACTAAACTTAACATAGTGTGTTTCTTTTTTCATTTTGGTGTGTTTTATGCACTATTAGCTTTTAAAAAATCATAATGACATTAAATTATTTCGTATTATTTTTCTGAAACCAAGATCCTGTTAACTTCCAGCAACAAGCTATACAGCTCTTTCCATTATTCCGATGAACAAAATGCAAACATGTTGTTAGTATAATTTACCTGGGTGACAAGGGGCTCCAGAAGCCGCTCCACTGCCAGAGTACGGATCTCTAGGCTCTTTGGATCCCATTTAAAGTTGATGTTAGCTGTGTTGATGGTTGTCATGGTGTCTGGATTTCTGAGGGAAAAAAAAAAGAAAACGCAAAGAAAACTTGAGTTAAAAGAACTGCTTCACAGGACCCAGGGTTTTTTTTTTTCTTTAAATCTCATGCTAAAAACACAACTTACACTGCATCAAACACTTTTTTTTATTTCAAGAAAACATTTAACAGATTCTGTTGAATTATTTGAGTTGGTTTGTTTGTTAAAGAGAAGAAACATAAGCTTGGCAAGGAAAAATAGGCAAGAAACACATGAAACAGTGTGAGGTAAGTTTGCTGACAAAATGAAGCTTCCTGACACACAAGTTAATCTCTAAAAGTTGGATGACAGTCAAAATATTACAGTCCTAGTTTGAGCCAGAAATGCTTCATCCCCTGCAGAATGATACTGTGGCCCAATTTTACTTCCTCTTTTTTAGCGCTGACTCCATTGATTAACTATCTAACATGGATGGGCAGGGACAATCTGCAAAGCCTAAGGGCGGAGGGACTTCAACCAAAACTTGGTCAGCTGTAATGTGACAACAATGACATAGATTGCTGTTAACCTACATTATCAACAAAAGGGGCTAAACCCAAATCTGAGGGAAGGCACGCAGAGGTGAAACTGAAGGATGACTGTCTAATGATATATTAAATTTGTCTTTATTGGGTGAGTGTACCTTCAAATTTGCTGTCACACATCCTGAGGAATGTTTGCATTTGGATTGGGCATACTTTTGAAATATAGCTCCTCTTAACTTTTAATTTAAAAAAGCCAGCCAGTATGGATGAAAGCGGATTGCCTGGGCCAGTTGTAACTCATTTTATCATTGAAAAATATCTCGGGGCACAACCATCCTACTCACAGAGGCTTTAATCAAAAATTACTTCTCAACTTTTGCAATATTTGTGATCAGCTATGATACCAAATGGCCACTCCACACAAGTCACCTTTCTAGTGGCATAGTGTGGATAAGTTTCTGTTTCGCTAGCTTTGGTTTTAGAGCCCCAAATAGAAAGCTGTATACTAATACCCCTTCTATTACTAATAATGATAACAGTTTTATGTACAAAGCACCTTTTAAATGAGGGTTTACATGGTGCAGAATCTACAGAAGCCCACAAGCCCAACAATTATTACCTTGGGGCCACACTTTGGCACGAGCTATTCACTCACAACTGTGTTAGATGAGTTTTTTGTGGTAATGTTTATTTCCATTTAATCATTTCTAAACGAAAAGAAAACATGGTTGCATCAGTTACTGCTCTATATGGACTGGTCTCTCATATCAGTCAGGTGACGTGATTCTGCTATCACCTCCTCTCATGGGTGTGGCAGTAGTGGTCTCACAGAAAGACACTTTTAAATGTGACCAAATGAAGCCAAAAAACGAGATATGCAGATGAAATACCCAGTCAAAACTAAAAGGAGCCCAAGATAAAATATTTATAAGTATAAATATAGATTTAAGCCAGGGTTTGACGCTATCGGAGGACTCCCTGTTTAATTAACCCAAGTAGGTGCTGCCGTGCTAACGGTAAGTAGCTTACGTTCAGTTACACCTGTTGAGGCTAACTGAACCTACTTAACCTTTACAAAACAACATCTTACATCTCTAACTAGCAGTAGTAGCGTAAGTAAAAATTCAAGGCTGTAGACAAAACGGAGTGGGCATTAACTTATCAGAAGTAAACTGTTAAAAATGACGAAATACTTAGGCGCTCTACCTGCTAACGTACAGTGTGCCAAACACGGCACCTTGCTAACGCTAATGCTAACCGATAACAATCTTGAACAACAGTACTTCCAGCCTGCGGGAGACCGCGGAAAACTCTCAACTTCATTAGTGATTTAATCCACCTCCGCAGGTGGTTTCGGCTGAAGTCTTTACTCGAAGTTCAGCTGTAGGGAAACATTGTAAACTTACCGAAAGTAGCCCTCTGGAAAAGTGGAGTTTAAAAGTTCAAAATGGAGGAATGAGAATTACGGAGTTCCTTGCCTCAAAAGTTTTCCTCCCTTTTCCTCCCCTCGCTGACACAGATCTGTATTCCTCCTCTATTGATGACTTCACAAAGTGCGTCCTTTCTACTTCTATGATAAAAGTTTGCAGATGAGGGAAACGAAAGCTCCTCAGTGGTCAGTTACCTGAAAAGTTTCGGTCCACAGTGTTTCGATGTCGCTGTGTTTCGCCCAACAATGGATGAGGAGGAGGAGGCGGCGGAGGGGGGGCTGGGCGGTGACCGAGTTCCTGAACTTCCTGGCAGCAAAGCAGGCGACCACAGGACACAGCAGGCCCGCAAAACGAGGAGGTGTTTGGGGCGTGGCACTCGCTGCATGTGCCCATATATGGATTAATTACAGTTTTTTTTTTTTTTTTTTATGGAGGTAGTGTACGGCCAGGCCAAGCTACGGCGCTCTAGTTTTATCATCTGAACTGTAAGGCTGTGGAGAAAGGCAGTCAATGTAGGAAAAAGAGGAAAGTTTCTAGTAACAATTGCAAAAGTTTCATGTCCAGATAGTCGACTGTTTGTCTCCATTGCACAGTTAAAACTGAATAGCTTGTTCAATCCTCATAGCAGCACTTCACTTTATTTCTATTCATTGGTTTACTACAGGGGAACTGTCTTATTAGAGCCAGAGCTCACTGGATGAACTTAACAAGCACCGTATTGCCGCGTTGTGATCCACAGGGTTTCTGTTTTAATTTTACTTTTTAAGGGAACTCTAATAGTTATCCTTAACCTATTTTTTTTTATTTTTCTACCTCTGTATTTTTTTACTGATGAAGCCCAGACAAACAACATCTTTGATCCAGGTCACGAGCTGGAAATTTATCTGATTATGCACTTTAAATCCACTTTAATTTTTACTCACACAATGTCATGCTTTTAGTCTCCACACAAATATAAGGCATCTGAAGGATTTTTATTTCAAGCATAGTAAAAGTAATGCATATTCTTTAGATCAGTGATTCTCAAGTCCAGTCCTCGAGGCCCACTGTCCTGCATGTTTTGGATGTTTCCCTGCTCCAACACACCTGATTCAAATGATTAGCTCGTTATCAAGCCATCAATAAGCCATAATAACGAGCTGATCATTTGAATCAGGTGTGTTGGAACAGGAAAACATCCAAAACATGCAGGACAGTGGGCCTCGAGGACTGGACTTGAGAACCACTGCTTTAGGTGATACGACTATCTAGCTATAGGTTATAAAAATAAAAAGTCTTTCTGCAATTACTTTGCAGAACATCTGGCATTTTTGGGTGGGGTAACTGATATACTCAGACATTAAATGGCCGAACTATAAAGCAACTCAACTTCTCTGAGTCCAATTTAAAGACTCCTCATTTGATATTTTACTGTCTAGCCTTGGTATCAAAGGAACCATTCTGCTTCCTATTACTTTGCTTTAGTATACTAAAAAATATAGCAGTGTGGCTTTAACCCCAAAGCACACACACAATGTAGTTTTGTTCATTTACGATAAAGTTGTATAGTTGTTTATTTCTTTGTTGGAGGTCACTGGGTTCAAATGTTTGATGAAAACAACTTTACAGAGGATACTGGGGATAGAGAAAGCTCCAGTGTCAGCGGGTGCTGCTGGATCAGGTGCACACACAATGAGCAGGTTGTATATTCAGTTTCTCATATTTTATTTATACATAATAAACATCCCACAACAGCGGTGCTGACATTTTAGATGTGACTTTTATTCAGATAGCTAGAGATCGCAGGTAGATGTCACAAATTCAGCAATTTCAAGGTGAAAAAAAACCCATACAATATCAGATCAGTATGCAGAAGTCACACTTTATATGGTTTGTTGCTGGTGTGACTGATAACACTGAGACATTTGATAAACATATTCAAGAGCCAAGTATTTTAGTTTGGGCTTAATCAAGTGTGAAAGCCATAAATAGATTATCTAAAGAGGCCAGGTGCCACCCCTCCTGCCTCGCTTGTCAGCCTCACACACACACACACACACACACACACACGTCTTTAAACAGAGGTATCATTCTAAGAGAATTTTCCCCATGGTGGTAAAAATTAAGTGGGTCTGACAGTCGGTAATTAGGTGATTACATTTTTTACAGCCTGCATCCTTTCGCACCTTTCAGTTGATGTGTGTGTTAAAAACCTCACTGGCTTAAGATCCATCTGTTTACATAACCAAACAATCTAATCAAATATGACAGAACACCCCTAGCAGATAGGTCATGATTTCAATTATACGAAGTGTGCAAAATCCTAAAAAAAGAGGAGAAAAATGAGCAGACAGTCTCGAGCAATTCAAAGAGGTGGCCACAGAGAAAATTACTAACAACAATGGTGTTTTGTTCTGCAGGCAAGTACAACTAACACGCTTCTATTTGTTGGCTGAAGTAGGTGTTAATTAAGAGGCTCCACCAGTGCAGCATGAATTATAGTCTTGAGGAGAATGAGCTTACAAATGTACTTAGGAAGCTCTTAATAAAGGTCTCAGAATATTATTATCATCAAGAAAGACACTCCTGAATGATTTTGGTGGGAAAATTAATGGCAAAGTAATTGTTTTCCCATAGAGAGTTTTGACCACGGTGAAACAGAAGGGTCATGTATTAAATAAGCATATTATAATCCTGCAAATGGAGATATAGCTGTTAACTATCTTGTGTATAAAAGTCAAGAGGAGGGTGATCCACCACTCCCTCAGTGCGACAAAGATTTGTTTTTCCACTTTAAAGTGAAAAGGGAGTGGATGTGGTGCAGATGTATGCTTGAATGATGAGTGTTTGTCAGGGTAACAGCTTGCTGGAGGGGACAACTTTTGGGTGCCCTTGACCTCCACTCTTTTTTTTTACCTGTTGGGCCCGCCAAATGATAAGAGCACAGCATGCTATAAATAATTCCTTCTCATTATAGGGAAGTGCACATGTTTGTCACACACTGAATGTATAATTGAGTGCATGCAAATCTGTGTGAGGAACTACAGTGGATGGAAAATAATGGCGAAGATGGTTAAATTGTTGGAGTTATTTGCATGATTATTGCCTAAAAGTGCATTTTTTTAAATGGAGCTATTCTTTTACGACTTTATTTTCATAGCACTTTTCACAAAACATGTTTTAAAGTGCCTAAGAAAGAAAAACTATTAAATCATCTGACAAAAAAACAAGGTAGGTAACATTTATAAAAAGGCAAATACCAAGAAGCCAAAGTAAATAGCAAATAATAACATATAACAGCAGATAACAAAGAGGTAAGATGTAATACTTTAATAATACAAGACGGAAGACACAAATAAAGCATTATGTTTTGTAGTTGTAGAGCTTCTTTAAGATTTTAGCTCAGTGAAACTTACCGTAATCTGCTTTCATATGCCCCATCTCTCCTTTGTGCAATTAATGCATTTTCACAGGATCAATATATTTCTATATTTTGTGTGCATTAAACTGTTTTAACCATGCAAAATGCTAATTTTTACTGTGCAACATACATTTTTTAACATGCATTGTAATAAAATCTACCATGCAGTATCATTTTTTCCATGCTGTATTCAATTTATGCCATACAGCACTCATTTTTACTGTGCACTATAAATATTTTAGATCCAATATCCATTTTTAAAGATGTAATGTATAATTTTTACTATGCAATGTACAACTTTTACCATGCAGTATACTATTCTACAGTGCAATATACATTTAAACAGCACCATATGCATTGTCTGTGGTCTAATAAAAATAATGTCAAGATGCCTGAATGTCCTGCATGTATGTAAGGCATTTCATACTTCCATTCCACTTTGTATCTAATGACACAGAAAGCTTTCTATTTCTGCTTATACCGCTCCACGCTCATTAGAAAAAAAGCTCTTGATCATTGTTGTAGATGAGCTCCCTTCACGATTCTTACTTACTCTATTGTTCTGCGCTCATGCCGGTTACTGTATTTTAGAGCTCCCTGTCAAAGCAGTTACTCATATTTTGATGTTGACTGAATGGGAAGGTCCGTCACAGCAGGAGGATCTTTTTTTTCCTGACATAAGGAACACAGCGACTTTCAGTCTGCCCACATTCACCTGACTCATCTTGACAGCTGTCCATAGAGCCGCATGATGTCATCTTCAGGCTCTTCCTTCCTGATAAAAGACCTTGTACCCCCGTGATTAGAAATGAGTGTGTTGCTGCGATGTAGGCGTCACTCCTCCACAGCAGTACTCCAGGGGAGGAAAAGGCGAGTCAACAGACTAGTAACAGTAATGATTATCCTCCATAGCAGTTATTCAGTGTGACTTTCCCACAGAGGTGAAAAGAATCATATATTATCAGAGTGAATTAACCAAAAGTCCCTGGGGAGGACATCTCACACATGCTCATGGTTAGGTGTTGGGACAGTGATGATAAGACTTCACAGGGTAGGCTTGCTTTCTTCTGATTGGACTGTGGAGAAGGTCGCAGCTCTTATGACTCAACTGCTGCAAATCCATCACTGACAGACTGCTGAGCTCCACCTGCTGGTCCAGACTTTGATATCAGACTCTTGGCTTCTCTAATGGTTTGACAGAGTGTAGCCCCTCATTTTGGCTTAACCAAAGAGCAGGAAGCAACTCAATGGCATGCTTCCGCCCATGTTGCCGGACACCAGAGGAACCTGTGATAGTGAATCACTTCCCCGAATTAAGCTATCTTTAGTTAGTGAAGCTTATGAAACCTCAATCTGTAAGCGCCGATCTCTTGTTATGTATTTTCAGGGCTCCAAATCAAACCAGTGTTTGTGCAAAGAAGGTTTTCTATTTGAAGAACTGATGCTGACAAAATTAATAAAACTGTGTGAGATTTATTTTCTCCTGTTTCCTTGTAGATCTCTTTGTGATCATATTATCTCTGTTGTTGTTGGATATCTTTCACAGGTGGAGAGACAAAAGCATGTTCATTGTCATTTCCACACATACAATGATTACTGACTACAGAAACGCAATTACCAGCAAACCACCAGGCTGCAAACACGCTGTCATTCACAGTGCACACTATTCCAGAAACCTTGTTTTATTCTGAAATTCATCTGGGAGCTACTGCCCTCATTTCTTGATTTCCAAGAGGGATTCAGGCTAAAACGGAGGTGAAAGATGTGGAGAAAACCACAAACTTAAACATCATACATTTCAAAGCTGTAATGAGTCACAGGTCCAAAGCTTGTTCAAATTGCATCCCAATTGGAAATGATGTTGAAGTTGTGCTTCTAAATAAGCTGAAGACAGGTTATATAACATCAGGCAATACACTACTTCATTGCTTTTATTTTTTAATCAGCAGCTTTGAGGGCGTGTATAAGCCATGGGCTCTTTTGGA